GAGTGGTTACCAGTTTTCTCAACGTCAACAGAGGGGTTCCCCAGGGAACTGTGCTTGGACCCTTATTGTTCTCTATCATGGTGAATGATATTAAACCGGTCAGTCCCCAAACCTTACTGATCAAATATGCTGATGATATCACAGCAAGTGTGCCTGTCACAACTGGCTCAAATCTTACAGATTCATCACATTATGAAGTAGAAAATATCAAACGTTGGGCGGATAAAAACCTGATGACACTAAACATGAAGAAGACCTTTGAGATGGTTGTTAAAGGTAAAACCACAATGCCCCTTCCAGAGCCCGTGGACGGAATAACTAGAAAGAGCGAACTAAAGCTGCTAGGAGTTACTGTAAACGAAGATCCATGTAACTGGGACGTTCAATTTGAAAACATGCTTAGCAAAGCAAGTTCTAGACTGTACATCCTCAGAGTCTGCAAATACTACGGCTTCTCACTACAAGAACTTACACTGCTGTTTGACAGTCTAATTATGTCACTTTTCACTTACGCAATTGAGGTGTGGGCTTCTGCCCACTACAGTAAATATCTCTCTCATATTGACAAGTTTTGTAAGAGAGCTTTACGTTATGGCTACACTAGCAAATACACTCCCATAATGGATGTAATTAGAATGAAAGACAGGCTTCTTTGGGACGAGATAACCTCTGACGGCGCAAATCCATTACATGAACTTTTACCAGCTCAGAGAGCTAGGAGCCTCAGGAAAAGAGGACATAATTACATCCTGCCTCCAGTCAGAACCGAATGCTTTAAACGTTGCTTTTTCAATAGATGTCTTTTCGAATTTGTGAAGTTACCTAGTTTTGTATATACATAATAGATAGATATATGTAGGAAATTGTAAGTCCAGACGTTTTGTTTCTGGACGTGCTTCTTTTAATAAAGATCTTTATATATTATATATAACTAGGTCAACAGGTCAGGTCCGGACGTCAGCGAAATGACCACACCAGTCACGTGTTCAATTTTTTCAATTGACTGGTCAGAGACAGTCGTTCGGTCGATCAGTCTGTCAGTTAGTCAGTCTGTTGGTCGGTCAATCAGTCAGTCGGTCTGTTTCTTTGTCAGTCAATTAGTCAGTCAGTCAATCAGTGAGTCAGTCAATTAATCAATGAGTCAATCAATCAGTTACCTAGGCAGTCAGTGAATCAAACATTCATTCAGTCAATCAGTCTGTTCGAAAGTCACTCAGTCGGTCCGTTCGTCTGTCACTCACATAAGAATTAAATCAGTCAGGGGGTCAACTAATCCGCCTTCTGAACTAAAGTGATAGCCACTTATTTTGCCAATATCTTTGCTCAGTTACCGATACCGTCTCTTACGGCAAAGACGGTTACCAACCCCTTTGCTCACCAAACATGAAATAAAATGCTTGATGCGTCAGCACGTATACAACCTCTCCCGGTCGCATCATCACTTCCAAGCATTCCTTAGGCATGTCACACGGCCTACTCCCATATAAGGCACTGCCAAGTATCCTGGCCAGACAGGGCTGATACTCATGCAGAATGTCATCAGAAAGTTTCTTCTTGTCGAACGGTGTTACGAATGTAGTTTTTATTTTCTTATACTTTTTTAATGTTATCCAGGGCTGTGACACTGTGTATCCAACCATTTTGAAGTAATGCCTATCTCTGCGCCTTAGTGAAGCCATCGATTTTGAACTAAGTAATAACTAACTAATGGCCATAGTAAAGTGTAAAAAAGCTAATATGAGAGACTTGATGCTGAAGTTGAACGACTTGCTTGAGGATGCAAGACTTCGTCAACACTTTGGTCGTTTATTTTGTCAGATTAACTCATATGAAATACCTGAACAAGAAAATGTGTCGATTATGTTAGAGAGGTTAGGAAATATCAGAATTATTACCGATTTTAGCGCATATCAAGGTAAAAAATTACGTTTCGTTTAACCTAAAGCCAAAACAAAGTGCCAATAGAGGCCTTTCGTTTCAATTAAAAAAACATTTCAAAAAAACTGAGGAAAAATCGCTTGTAATTAAGTTACATGTTCGCTTATGGAACACTCTGTTCTTACCTTGCGATACGAAGACCAAAATATGCGTCTAAGTTTAAATCTTCCCCATATTCTTTGTAAACACTGCCTTTTCGAGAGCCGTTAACACAGGTGTTAAAGATTGATCGAGTGGTGTGATCGGCTAGTCCCGTTTAGAGAGATCTCCAAAGGCTGTCGTCAGAGAAGTAAAATTTTACGTTCCGGTTTTATTCCTGGGCGGAATAAAATACGGTAAACCAAAATCGTTGATAAAGGATTAAAGGTTGATACCCAGTTGATTCATCCTCCGGACCGCGGGCCGAGAAATTGAAGTATACCCCTAAGCCATGCTGTTCTTTTTAGATCATTTCGCCAACCGTAAGGAAGTCGGTCTAATTGCCATTCGAAAAAAACCTTTAATGTATGTAACCATTTTAAAAGTGCAAGTGACTTTCGTTTGCGTCAGGTGAATCTATATGCTTATAACCTGAACTAGATTTTCTAAAATTAACTGTTTAGCAAGTCTTTTCAGTTAAAAAGACACGACCCGGATACGCGGGTGTGCTCTTCTTCATTCCGCACTATCTCGACAGAAATTAGAATTTGATGTACAGCTGTCTCTCACCTGCCATGGTCATTTAGACACGGGTCTACTCACATGGTAGTGGTGATACCATCAAGTGGTGATAAAAAGGTGAATTCTAATGTTTTATGAAGGCATTAAAGATATCTAGAAATGATGATGTCGGGGTAAAATGAAACGACCTACCTACCATTGGACTGATTGGCAAGAATATTCTCATTTTCCCGGGAATATTGATTCTTCTCGCAACTTCTCGTTAACCTTTTTCTATTTAATTTACTTGAACTCTTTCCATTGCAAAAATCTCTCTCAAACACATCCTTAATAATTTAGTAGTAAGTTATTAAAGTATTCATGCTGGGGTCCTTTATAATGTCTTAAGAAATTAAGAGACACCCACATCTTAAAGTCAATACCGTGGCATTGGACCACTAGTTCTAACAAACAATCCTTTTTTCCTGCCGATTGGAAACCAAACATAAAACTATACAATGTGTCGATGTCCTCTGAGTTGCCTTATTTTTTCTTCCTGTGCTTAGTAAAATAACCTTCCTGTCACTATTTAGGTCGGCCACTTTCAACAAACGTTCCAGGTATAAAACCACGAAAAGAGTCTCAAGAACAAATGCCAGTTCTCTATTTGAAGACTGCAGGTTGCATATTGATATGCAACCAGAAAAAGTTACATTTTTATTGCAGTACAATAAATGGTGAAATACCAAACATTAAATAAGAACAATTATTTCCACTTGCATAAATAATTGATTAAACACATTACCAGGCTAATCAAATGAAAATCTTTTTGTTGTTAATGCTCAAGCTTGGTGACATCATGAGGTTCGCTTATTTATTAATTTTTTTTACTGACTTTTTGAGACCGTGCGAAAAGATTACTCTGATTGTTGCAAATTATTTTCCTTTGTGTCATTCACTGGCATTTGAAACTTTTCAGGACTGCATGCCTCTCAACAAAGGATTATTTGCTTTTCTTTCATCTTAAAGCAATATTTTGAACAATAGTCCTCAAAAAACTTATGACAATAGCAGTTCGCGCGAAAGTTAACCAGCCGTCATTACTATTGAGTAAACGAAAGACAAAAAGGGGGTTTGGAAAACTTTTTTCTGCGAACCACATAATCAAGCCATCTGTTAATTCACACACTTGATTTAATTGGAGTTCTCAATCTCAATCAATCCTTACCCACGCTGTGAAAGCCAGATGTGTTGACCAAATGTGTGTATATTAGCTTTCACAAAATGAATTTTTGTTTTCATCATAGCACATCGTAGATTTTTCTGGATGGGTCAAGCATGAGCACAGAAATATGTGAACCTTGTTTGCTCTTCAAAAAAAATTTTCTCGCTAAACATTATGATGGTCATTGATCATTGTTGATCTTTAAGTGACTTTTGAAGTTTTACTAACAAAACTGGACTTTGTAAAATACCGATGTAGACTAGAGATGACTGACGGCGAACGGCAAAAAATAAAATTGTAATTCAAATGAGTAAATAGGCAAATAAAATACTTCAAATTTTCGTATGGAAACTTGTTACCGCTGGTGTCTCACAGGGTCCTCCATTAATAAAACTTTTTTTTTTATTGACGATACGAACTGCTCTGTGTGTGCCACATAGCTGCGTCCCTACATCTACTAATCTTGCTGATGACCCGCCCGTAATACTTGAGCAATTAATAAACATTGGCTTATACGAGATAACGAAATAGTTTGCCCTTAGATTTGCAACAGCAAGTACTCGTGCGACACAAGCCCATATCGTCGCACCTTAAAGGTACAATCTTGAACTTCCCTTCAATGGTGCTCCTATCCTCATCACTGAATGATCGTAGTTTGTATGTGTAACGGTCGACTCAAAAATTTTCATTTCGGGTTGGTATCTCGATCGAGCCGTAGAAGACTTTAGCTAGAATCACCGCCCTGAGCAGAATGAGAGGCCAATTTGGAACCCTATCAGGAGTGCTGCGGTCCTCCTTTTCTCGGAATGAGTGACAATCAAATTGTAAGTCGGGAGATTCTTATTATTATAGCATAAGATAAATCCTGGGTATCCTTAATGAATTCATTATGAAAATCCCGAAGCAACCGAAATATTGCAGTCGAACTTGTATTCAGCGGTCACCTACGGAGAATGGCGGAGTGACCTATTTACTGATTCAGTTGACATCATCCACTGTATGTTTCACGTGTACATTATTCATTTGTGCAAGTGCTTTTATGCTTCGCATAATAAACACTTGACGATTGAATAAGTAAGTTGGCACAAGTCGCTGATATGATTAAAGAACAGAGAGACATCACTGTATCTCAAAACAGTCAAGTTTGCTTTTTGACGCTTCTTACTAGTCCTTAGGATCTTTCTTATCCATATTTTCATTAGCACCGTTCATCTTCGTCGTCGTCATAGTCATCGTTGTCGTTATTAACTTTTCCGTCTTCGTCGTCGTCGTCGCTGTCGCTATCGTCATTATCATCGTCTTCGCCTTCGTCATCGTCTTCGTCATCATCATCGACACCGTCTTCTGCTTCGCCATCGTCATCGTCATAGTAATCGGCCAGTGCATTCCAATCTGTCATGATGCTATAACGTCTTGCGTCGGCGACGTAACTAGAAAATTTATTGTGGTTGACAATTGTAAAGCCTGTTTCAGCAGTGGAACTTTTCACTAACAAATGTTCTGGTCCGTATGTTTCCCATACTGAACACTCTACGAAGTCCTCACTATTTCCTGCTGGGGATCCTCCTGTCCTGGATATTTTCTGTGTGCAGCTCCGGTACATGACTGGTGTCCACTCAGGTGAAAAGGCGTCATTTTGAACTCCATTAGAGGAACTTTCCGCTGGCGAAGAATCTGGCTCGAAAAGTTCATGGTTCCTCCAGTTCTGGTTTCTTTCCGATTTCTGTCCTAATACGGTCTCCAGAATTCTTTTAATTATAAATTGTGCAAGCTCATAGTCTTCTCCTTCCCTGTCAGCGTTCGAGGTCGCATAATATTCATTTATTACGGCGAGAAACATATTCAAAATAATTACACTGGAGCTGCAGAAGAAAGTGAAAAAGAAAAGGCTGCCTATGATGGGATTTGTTTCCTTCAGCTTATCCACTGGGAATGGTTGTCCCAAAAGCATTAGAAACTGAAAGGAAATACCGTCATGCACTTGGGCGAACATCTCTACACTGGACCCAAAGGCAATGAACCCTAATAGCGCGTGGGCCATCGCTGCAATCAAAAACACTATAAAAAAAGAAACTATAGGTTTAAACAATCTACGAAGTGTCCTTGTAAAAACAATTATTTTTGGATTGAAATAGAAGCATTTCAGAAGACGTAGTGTAGCAATCACGGTAGTTACACAAATAGCCACCTCTTCAAACTCGAACAAAAGTAAGACACGATGGAAGCTGACTGGAAGGTAAGGGTTATCTTTCAGCTTTTCGAAAGTCTTTGTGGCCACCTTAGTCCGCATCCACTGCAGTAACATCGCTGATGATGCCGTGAGTATCTGCAACATATCCAACAAATTCCACATCGACTTGAAATAAGAACACTTTTGGCGGCAGAGTTTGATGCACTGGACAACGAAGAAGCAAACAAGAAGAATGCCAAACAACAACACGAACAACAAATAAGTGCTATGAGCTAAAGAGTTCGTTGCGCTCAGAGACAAAATTCCATAGCTCTTGAACGTGTCAGCAAATCCAGAAGGAAGGACTTCGAAGTAGTACGTCATTACTGCAAAAAGGTTACTCGGAGGATTATACAGTGAGAACTCCATCAGCACAGCTCTGGTCTGACGATCGATCCAGCGGTTTTCTTTCAAGTCGTTGATAATCCTTTTAGCTGTAAGCCTATTGTAGCCTAAATTAGCAATGTATCCTCCACCACTGTAAACAGCAAAACGACCCCAGGAATCAAAGCCGCCAAACCTTCTATCTGCATTATACTCCCAATTTTCTGGGCACAGAACTGAGGAACCATTCATCTTTCTAGGGTAAATCCAAATTCCTTTTTCCTCCTTTGTGGGGGAGTAGAAATCGAAACAAGATGTGATCGTGTTTTTAAACAATTCTTGAACTTCACAAGAATCTGCAAGGGAAAGAAAAAATTTCATTATTTGAACATGACTGTTTCAACACCTTAAATCCCCTCTTTGGTGAGTTTGTGGAGCTCATCTGTAAAATTTTAATTATTAATTTCTATATCGTAAAATCCATCTCAATTTAGTTATTTTTTCTGTTCCAAAATTTGTTCCCATTAGAGCATTAAAAGTCGTTCAGGTTTTGATGAGTGTGAATTCTGTCCTCAATCAGTTTCGTGGTCACTTTTTCAGAAAAGTGAATTTCGGACGTAGTGGTTATAATCAAAGTCAGTGAAATAAGTTGACAGCAAAATCTCAGCTAGAAATTCCACTACAATGATCTCTTTATTATAGATGATATACTTACTTTGCTTAACCCTTAGTTGCCGCAAGCGAGGCATACCGACCAGAATCGATCGCTTATTTCCAATGTATTCTGAAACTCTTTCTTCACGTCCATTGTACCAATCGTCAACAAAAGCTGCAGGCAAAAAGATGTTTTCGATCCATTCCCAAAACTGAGTGGCATCGGTGATCTATTTTTTTAAAAATGTGGTTAAAAAGTCATCAGCATACAAAACGAAATCTTAAATAAATCTTAAATAAGTGATTCTCTATTTGCGATAACCTCATGTGTGATAAAAGCTTCCAGGAACTTCAGGAAAGGATTAAAAAATTGTATTATAATCAAAGAAAAAGACGTACTCTCAACAACACTTATATCTGATGGATCTGACTTCCTATTTTACGTCAGCATGTTTTAAAAAATGTCTAGAATTATCACTGTGATAGTCATGGTGCACATCCATCACATACTTGAGAGAAATGATAGATTTGATGGAGAAGACCTACAATATAGAAGTAGTGTTTAAGGGTGTATAAGGGTGGTAAAAGATGGCGAGGATTCCAAAGAGCAAACTTTCAAAATTCAGCTTCTTCTATGTCCTGCAGAAACTATTGGCTCCTTCGCAAGGGTCGCAATTTCGTGATTTTATGCTTACCATCCTTGAGATAATATTGTGATATTTTTGCCTTGCTAACATAAAAGCTAACGCACCTTAAAGCGTCCCATATTATGAGAAAACTGGAAGCTGCGCTCCGTGGCCGTATTTAGTTTGTATCTGTGATCATTTTTGTCTCCATAGCTGACAATCAATAAAAGTGCAAAGAATGTCATTGAAAACAAGAGTTCCTTAAAGTATGCGTACATTTTCCTCTCATTTTTCTTATACATTCTTGCACGGTCAACATCCATGGATGAAAGATCTACAACACTACCTAGCTGTTCCTCATTGTGTCCGTTTATTGACTCTGCTTGCTTTCTTATCTTCCTACCATATCCACACCCTGAAGCTACAATGACGGATACGATAAGTATCTTGATGGGCTGTGAGATTATAACGTCTGCAGACAGCGAAAGCACCACGGATTTTAACCAACAAGCCGACTTCTCTCCTCCCCACATGAGAGAGTAAAACACTGTGAAAAGGGCAGAAGCGATTGCAGTACTTACACAAAGAAACCATGCAATGTAAGCGCAAAAATGAGGGAGAGTACACGATACTTTTCCCTCACTTTTCACGAAATGATACCTCCTTCCTTGAGTGTTTATCTTAGGTTTGCTTTTACGAAACAGAAGCACAATTAGCAGACTTGCTGGAAGAACAATCAAGGCACTTTCCAAAGCGATTAAGAACTGACTAGGAGTCAGTGAAAAAGGCCCGATCTGTATTTTCCTCTGTGATAGATTCTCTGTTTCATAAAACATGGCGGATGTTACCATTGACAACAAGAGAAGACTCCAACAACAGGATGCTCGCTGAACACGAGTGAAATGATCTCTTGGCTGCTTCCAAAACACTGACAACCACAAGTGATCGTCAGCAAAACCATTTCTTCGTAATGTACTAAATTTTCTTGTAAATTTATCATCTGTTTTGAAATCATCTGCATAAAATCTCCTTGTGGTTTCACCGTCATCTCTTTCTAGTGCAAGCCAGCGGTGGCAACTGAACAGCCATTGCTGTCCCGTTTGACAATCCAAAGCTACAATTTCGCTGATAAACCAAGATGGGTCCTCTCCAGAAAGGTCATGACCAATCTGCACAAAATTTATCTCGCCTAGTGGCATATCTTGTCGGAGAAGGAAATTATCAGTGTTCCCTTGAGCAAATAGCGTCCTGTTAAGTGGGATGTCGCATGTCAATTTGATAACGTCACTGGTATTTTCAGTCCCGTGAAGGGTCATGGATACATTGGCAGTAGTACCACAACTTTTCCATCTGCCAGTTGTTATGGACACCTCGTACATATATTCACCCTCGTGGTGCCCTACCAAGGGCAGAAGAGGACTGTCCTAAAGAAAGGCAGATCGGTTAAAAATTAAACACTGTCAGACAATTAGTGTTCGGGTATACAAGAAACCGTCAAAGATTGTTGTATATTAAGCTTGTCTTAACAAAGGCTTTATTCGGCGTCTTGCCTAATCAACGAAGGTACTACAAAATAGCTGTGGAAGAAATCGAAACATGACGTGAATCACAGTAGCTAGGGTTTCAGAAGTTATTCATCTCTTAATTTTTTTTCCCGACATGACTGTAAGTGTAAAAGTTAAATGGTCAATTAAATTAAAATTATCAAAAATCTTAGCTGTTAACTGGTTAAGTCTTTTAAGCGAAGAAATGATCCGCGCAGACGTGATACGATTAACGAATCACGAAGAAACAAAAACAAAATCAGACATCGATGGGAAGCTTCATTTTTTTTAAAGATCTTTTCCTTTGATTTCTGTAACTGTAACTCAATTGTAACGATCTTTTCTTGATCATTTCGTTGTTTGAATTCAGTATCCTCATAATATCTCTGGTGTCATCGAATAATTTTTAATGACATGACACCAACCTTTGTGGCATCCACTTTGTCAGCCCTGCGTGCTTTAACCAAAACAAGAAAGTAGAACAGAAAGGTAGAACACAATGTTATCAAGACGAGAAGGTCATCAGGATCCACGTTGTCAAATGCCTGCTGGACCAGTTGAAAGTCAATGGTATTTGGTGCAACAAGAATATCTCCGCCAAATGCAGTCAAGTGATTGCAGAGACATTTCAGAGATGAATGGTTTGATTTTCGGCTAACCTAAAAATTAGTCCGAGCATTAATGGCGGTCAGTTTATTGTTCTAATTTTAAATTACTTTAAGTCCAAGAGGAAAACAACTTTAATGCAACAACTTTCAGTATTAAGCTAAATGGGTTACACAGCTCACCTCCTATAAAGTCTGTAAACACGAACATTGCTACAGGAATTTCTGAAAACGATTCAGAGCTCTGGGAAAAATTGGCTCGAGTTCTCTATTCTCGGCAAAAAATGACAGCTTTTGTATCTTAGACAACGAAGTAGTAAATCAAGACCTCACCCACAGTAGTTTCAGAGGAAAATTGCTAATGCATAGATACGTAATAATTTGGGTTACTGTTTCTACTTATCCGCCAATACAAAAAAGTAACCGTTGTAGTTGATGATGAAGTTTTTTTTCTGCCAGCTATATTGCCCATGTATCTTGGCTCTGGAGAACACCCACTGGTTACAACTGCTATCTTGAAAAGGATTAGATTGACATACTGAGAATAGTAAGTGAGTATAAAGCTATTTTTCATCTCCAAAACAAACCAAAGCTTAAAACCAATATTCAACAACTTCCGTTAAATGACCTGAAAAGTAAATTCTTCGTCGTTTTTTGTAGCTACTGACTTATTTCATTCTATCTAAAGTTTTTTTTCACCTTGCATCCTTCATTTGTCCATTTTTGTTCAGCAACAGACCAGAAGGCACACCATATTGTCTCAACTTGTAAACTGTAGTTAACTGACTTATCAGAGTCGTACTGAGGAACAAGAATGACATACTCTACTTGAGGAGCAACTGTCGGAGGAGGATCCTTAAACTTGACGCACTTCTCTTGTATCGCTCGCCCTGAAAGAATAGATCTTCTACCTCTTGACGGAGGAAATTCTTTTCGAGATTCACTGTTCTCCAATAAGCCAACGTAATATTTACCTACATATTTACCCTTTACGACGATACTATGAGAGCAATTCTCTTCTAATTCACAATCGGGGTTAATAGATGTTTTCTCCTTGGATAAGTGAATCACCTCGTCGTAGGAAATCAGTGTTGGCTTTTCAGCGAATTTTGCATAGACAGTAATAGAAGCTGTTGCTTTTATTATAATGGTCAATTTTACGGTAGCGTTGACCTCACGAACGGTTATCACATGATATTGCATTCTGCCAGGATTCAAGAAATGATTCGATCGAGTGCTGTTCACGGGAGCATAATTTGTTACTGGAATGTCAATTTCTATGTTAGAGGGAAGGTCAGCTGTGTTGAGAGCTCTCCCAGTGCCATCCTTTAGGGCAAGGCTGACAACCTTTGATCTTATTCTGCTGCTGCTATTGTCCGTCACATATGGATTGAAATTATAGCTCACCATCTGAAAGACATTAGAAAGGATGTGGAAATAAAATTGATGAGGTTGTAGATTTATCAACAGCGCAGGGTGGTAAAAAGTGTTATTCTTATTTCAGGATTGGAACTGATTTCGCGTCACGATGCGGAACCATTAGTAAGTGGCTAACAATAAATACTAGGGCCTCTTTCATTTTTGTTCAAGTCTTTTTCTGAAATCACTCGGTTATCCTACAGCCCTATGAGGAAAACCGAGAGATTCTAGGAAAGTTCATTGCCACGAGCATGCCAAATATAAAAAAGTTAGCAAATTTATAAATATATACCACGATTGGCTGACAAATTTTATGATTTATTAACTGAAAAAGTTACAAACCTCTACCCCAACCTCGGAGGTGTCGCCGACCCAACTTTTCAATGCCCTGCTATCCAGATATGGCATTACAAAACTGGTTTTTCCATCGCTGATTTCTAAAAGGCTCAAGTCATTTGATTCATGCTTGCCGAGCATCGTCGATTGAAGTCCATTGCGAATGGTGCTGTATTCTTCTCCGGGCAACTTTAACGATAGCAGTATGTTGGTTGTCATTTCTGTCAGCTCCTGGCAACGGGCTGAAATTGTCTTTCCCATGATTATCTAAAATTATGAAAAATTTCAATGCTACTCTCATTCCTTGCCAATAGAACAAGAATAAATCCTTGGGAAGAGGAGGAACAAAGGGATGGAGATTTCTAAAACTTAAAAAAAAGGGAAATGGGACATTTAATTTTCCTCTCTCATACCAAGGAATTAACATATTTGTAGGCTCAGCGGATTTTCGAATTTTCGATTTTCAATGCTTTGGCTGAGGTACAGGTCTTTCTGATGTATTACTAGGCTGCACCATTCTATTTATTGATAAAAGAGAATTGAAGGTCTTTTCCGTTTTTGCTTTGTTCGTTTGGATACAGTGTGTAATCACGCCCTGTCTAATTTCTTTTAGAAAAAGAAAGAAAGAGCTCGTCCCTTTAATTCTTTTTATCCAATCGTCTTCTAGACTCTAGTTTTTGATTAGTCTGGCGAGATTAAAAAATCTCGTCGACATGGGTCAATAGGTTGGTGTAAAACCCCCTCTCCTAGAAATACGTTTCTCACGTTTGCTTTGTGAAAATTTTTAAGTCTTTAAAATTCTGAGAAATTAGTTAGTTACAGTAAAATTCTCTTCAATGTGGAAACAGATAGTATTTTTTTAAAATACCTCTTCCCCTTTATCAAAGTTGCCTAACAAACTACCCATGAGGAGTCGTCTGGAGCTGGAATCCATGATATTTGTGGTGCAATGCAACAGCAGTCTTGCTCCCTCAAGAAGAAGACGAGTTTCAGAACTGCGTTCGTGCACATTTTTCAGTGAAAGCCAGATGGTCATCTCCTTGAATTTGTCCAAAACAGTGAACTGGAAGAAAAAAAGGTCAATATGTGCTTTTGGGTGCGACATTTTTACTACGTAGTTGATATATATATTTTTGTTATGCTAACTCCTTGTCAAAAACTTCTTGCGTGAACTTTGCTATAATTCGGAATGTCGAAAAACTTTCATACCGTTGTATTTTTCCAGATAAGAGCGTCACCCACTGTGGCTTTCTTTAACATGGAAGCAACCTGGACTAACCGCTCCAGTTTATCAGTCGGAACTTCACATATCTTAGAAATCACGTAATTATTTTTCTGTAGCAAGGAAAAAGGACATGTTAAACGGAAGCATACATGTAACAGCCAAGAAAAATAAACCTTAATCTATAGTCCTCTAACAGTTACGTGCCGTTGGCCAAACTAGATAGGGAGAAAAGAAAAAGGAAGCGCTTTTTTTGAAGATAAAACGTGACGGTTTTTGTTTATTGGTCATCGATTAGTATCCATCCTCTTCATTTTAAAATGCATAAAATGTCTATCGATTTTACTTGTGATGTGTATATTGGAAATCTTTCAGCTGAGTTTCATTGACAAATTTAAAATCCTTTAAAAAATTTTTTCAATATTTTATTTTATTAATTCAGTTACATGTTTATGTTTAAAGCCACCTGTTCAATGTACTGAACTTACTTGCAGCAGATATGTTTTTTCGTCAGCCTCCTGTGCGACCATTTTGAGTAAGAAAAGAAGTGTGTCTGCCTCTTGCATTGCTATATTTGTTTGTTTCATTCTAAAAGAAGAGTCCATTTTTGCAATTTTTGCCTCCAACTCATTGTGGTTCACTTCTTCTGCCGTCAACAAGGATGTTTGATCCAACTTTAAAAAAATGGTAATAAAACGGATGTATCTAATTCGACCATTGACATTTACAGGTTATTTCCGAAAATAGTACATCAATGTTGCTTTCACGCAATTTCTAACAGTGCGTCCACTTGTCAATTTCACTGATCTAGTGCACTATTAGAATCTTACACTGAAGTTGGATAGGCATCCATTAGAAATCGTGAACGGACAGTTTAAAATACCTAGGTTGTAAAATGTGAATAATAAAGACAGGAAACAAGAGATCTATGGGTTTTCTTTGCATATTCGCATTCACGCGAATACTCAAACGAGATTGCTCTCTAAGAACTGCCATCAGGATCAATAAGCAATCACTTAACCTACTATATAAATACCTTGAAAGAAAATCGTGTTGTATATGCTGCTCCCAAAACATTTACAACTGCAACTTTAAAACGTACTACATCTTCTTCTATAGGTGCAATATAAACAACACTATGTGGCCAAACTCCATAGGAAAGCATGTCGAGTTCTCCATCTTCCAATTCCCGGAAGAATTCATAGCTGAGTGGCATATGTTCATCTCTCCAGCCATGACAGGTAATGTTTAGCCAAGATCCTACATCTTTCCTGTCCAACTGCACACCATGGCATGTTCCTCCTGATGGACCTGCCACTGTGTCAAATTGGTATACAGCCCAGCCAAATGATCCGTTTGCAGATAGAACGTCGACCTTGATTTTGTAGGAGGACCCGGGCTCAAGCATTTGCTCCTTAATTACAAGGTTTTTCGAATCCACTTTTGTACCCAGGATATTTTTTATATTTATTTGAGTAAACCATTGGGGGTGAGAACTGTTTTCATCCTTTTTCAGCAGGCTCCATTCATACTTGAGGGACACAGGACAACGAATTGAATTGCAGTCGGTTCTTAGGGAGATGCGAGATGATACACTGGCTGGTGAGTCACAGTTCATAGTGCACCTGTGCAAAGAAAATAAGAAGTGATCCTCTCCTCATCAAATCGTCTGTTTTCGTCCTTATTCATTCCGTTAAGATGGTTCGCATTTGCGAGGGAACGAATTTATGTCATTGTTAGTGTCTTTGATGAAGAAGTAGTAGTATTAAATACACAATTATGCCACCCTTTTATCAAATAAGTGCTTATGTTTTTGTCTGTATTTACTTTCATTGCAACATAACCAATTGGACATTTGTGTCTAGGTTGGAAAGCCATTGATGAGAGAGGGATGTTGTTTTCAACCTTCTTATGACAAATAATAAATAACGACTGGATGAAGTTTTTGTTATATACAGAATAATCAAGGTTATCAGCCGAAGCCAAAGGCTGAGCCAGATAATCCTTACCGAGACCTTAATCATTCTGGATATCTCAGAATGGCAAGCAACACAAAGTGCGCCCGCTTGACATGATTTCCCTTAGAAATCATGCATCGCGGTGAAACATGGCATGATTGCCTATGACCTTGAGTGACCTTAACATGATATTGAATAATCTGCACCTAGATGATGTCCCAGGTGCTGATTCGAAAATTCACTGTACGCCTTCGGCCGATCAGGAAAGAGATAGTGAGTTGAATTAATAATGATCTAATATATCTCTCGGGATTGCATGGAGATCAACAGATTTCAATCTATTCGACGTTGTTCATTATCGGCACCGAAAACGAGGAAGAGGACAGTTCATGTAAGATACTAAATATTTCAGCTCTGCATCTACAAGTGGTAACCATTAACTTCTTTGTATCCATAAACTATTAGAATTAAAACTATTTGTTGTTGTTTGTTCTGAGCACTAAGATTAGGAAAGAAACTGCTCTAGTCTTGGATTGTAAGGATTCCAGCCGGGCTTCTTTTACCATCAACGACTTTGCATCTACATACTATACTTACAAAATACGAATGTCGAGTACATCTTTGTCGCCAACATGGACAATCTGTATGCCACTTGCTACGCGGATATCCTTGGTTACCGTCAGAACCACATAGTAAGCTTGATTGCTGACGAGTCTTTTGGTATCTAAGGTCACTATGGCTTCATCCTTGCCCTCAAGAAAGACATCGTCTGGCAACTGAAAGAGGGTTCCATTTGCAGCCGCACGGACGAATGTGTCGGATATGCCATCTGAGCCTCGTTTAGTGGCGTTAGACACTGGTGTATAATTTCTGGAAACGTTAGATTGTGTTATTGTTAAGCAAGACCAATCATAGTTCACTCCCGAGGAACTGCCAGCATTAAGGTTGGTGTCATACGAAGCACTGGCATCCAATAAAATTGGCTTATCTATGGATCGAAAAACTTCAGTTCCTCCCGCAATGGAAACTTTCAGTGCCGAATTAAGAACTTCGATGAAAGCAAAGTCTCGAGCTGTCAGCTCAGCTCCAGATATTCCTCGCAGCTCAAATGTTACAAGTTTAAGCCCTGTCGACAGCAAGTTTGGCCGTATGTTCAACTCGAGAGTGTCGAGCACGAGCAACTCCGGTTGATCAGAAATGTTAAAAGGTGACAGCGACAGTTGGCTTATTTTCCAGGAGAACGAGGCCTGTTGTGCAAGAAAGTTCTCCGTCTTTAAAGATGCAACCAGCGTTCTTGTTTGGTCTCGTGTGAACTTCATTGGGCTGCTTGGTTGTGTATTAATACCATGAATTGAAACCTCTATTGAATTATCAATATTTCTCAGATCGCCTGAAAATGGAGAAAAAGAAGTTATAATTGGAATTCCCAATTTCGTTTGGAGTCCTCTATTTCATTACGTCAAAAAGCTGTTGAGACGCAATTCAACGTTGAAGGATAATTATACTCTGTTTGATTATTGAATCAGTAATTAAATGACTTATATTTCAATTTTACTTATAGTTAGAGTTAGTCTACTTTCTCCCATGTGTTACTTTCTGTTTGTCTTCTGTGCGGATCAATTTCTGGATCTCCTGGGTAAAAGTATTTACACCAGTAACCATGAACGTTAAGTGATGCCTCGATGCATACGGAATGTTTTGGAAAAGCTACAATGACATACAAACAATTCAATACAATCGTGTGAAACATAGAGAAGAAAATTAGTATTTTTAACAGCAGATGTACACCGGTACATGAAAAGGGGAAAACTGTGGTTGAAAAGATGTGTGCGGTTATATCAGAGCGTCTCTGAACCGACAAAAAATCCTGAGAAAAAATTTGCCTAACAGATCCCACTGGACTGTCAAAGCTCACAAAGAGGGGCCACATAGTAGGGAAACCGTACAACGAACCCATAGCTGAAGATCAAGTTTTTAGTCTATGACAAAACTGATCAAACATCAAACATCTCTAATGGAAGATGCGAATGTTAAACTATTTTTTTGCAATTTTTTTCTATTTCCTACATATCCAAACTGACATTGACAAATATAGGATCCGATCTCGTTATGACAAACACCATATTTATGGCAGTCATGGTCTTCGCTTACATATTCGTCCAGATCTACTGATAGAAACTAGTTTTTTTTTCACTTTTCTACCATGCAGTCTCGTCATCAAAACGGATCAACAAAAATTTAAAGTAGTTAGTTTTATCGGTTGGTATGATTTAGACTGCGGTAAAAACAATATAAAAAGACATATTCGCATGTGTTTACGAGATCAATCAGTAACTAAGAAGTTGTTGCAGCTTCTGAGAAGACCTCATAGGTCTTTTTCGGTGGTATAGATAAATTACCCGCCGACTTGTAGAAAGGAGACTCTTTATTTCACTCTTTAAAAGTCATCGAAAGCATTTTGTAACCGATACGTCAGTGAACCGCCAGCCTCTTAAAAGTCATCGAAAGCATTTTGTAACCGATACGTCAGTGAACCGCCAGCCTCTTAAATGTCATCGAAAGCATTTTGTAACCGATACGTCAGTGAACCGCTAGCCAGTTCAGGTTACGAAGCACAAGAGAGATTGATTCACACATGTACGGTCGCATTTCTTAGATCCATTTACCAGTATTTTTGCAATGTTTGGGACACATTTTAATTAATCTAGTTGTGATTTAGGAAGCTAGTGAAGGATGGTATTACAATGATTGAGTTCAGAAACAAAGAAGGCATGAACTATTCCCTCACATTTACAGAAATAAAAGAATTCTACCAATGTTTTTTAGTCTATGTCAAAACTGATCAAACATCAAACATCTCTTATGGAAGATGCGAGTCTTAAACAACTCTAACTTGCTCTTACACTCACCCCTGCACGGATCTCCTTCATAACCATCTTGACATGGACACTTAGAGGAACCACCAGATACGCGACATGCGTCACTTTCGTCTGAAAATTTCATTTTAAAAAAATGTACCAGAATAGTGTTGTGAGATTATCCACCAAACCCTAACCCTAAGGTTTTGTAAGAGGAAAAAAATGTTGGATTTCATTTTACATCTGGAGCAAAATACGAGAAAAATCAAATTTAATCGTGTGCCATTAGTTCCCATATTAGTTCTATAATCGCTTTAGAAAATTCCCATTTTTCAACTTAATCTATTTTCTTATGCACATAAACCCCTATGCGGGATATCAGGAGAATACTGAAGTTATGCAACTTACGTAAAAAAAAAAAGGTACATACCGTTTACACCGCAGTAACGATTTAGGCAAAAGATCGTTTTTTGTAACTTATAAATATAGTATCCACTGCAATTTCGTATCTGAACTGGAAGTGACCATGCACAGCAGTTTGAATTCCAGTGAAAACATACAGTTGCCGACACCAATTGGTAAGCCTCAGAAGGATGGTTACCGTCAATCCAGCCGACTGCCCTGCTATTACAACTTCCCTTTGGAATACAGTAGGTCGCCATCATTCTACCAGCGGCCCCAGTGAAACGGTACCATTTACCGCTTTCAATACGGTTATCACAGGAAAAATTGCCTGTGGAGTGTTTCCAATATCTCTCTACTTCATTTAGTTCTTCGTACCGCGTACACTCAGCTGGCATAAAATCTGTTTCAAGTTGAAATACTTTAAGTGAATTGCATGGCAAGAGAACCCTATAACTTAATCGTAATCGTCGTTACGTTTAACTTGATGATAGAAGTTGCAAGAGTTCTTTTCTAATCCAATGTATGAAATAGAGTTCGGTGAGCAATTCCAATAATTTCAAATGATTAAAGAACTAGTTTCTGTAAGAATTCAACATCTTGGGAAATGAACATTTTCAATCCCCCTTCAAACTTTGCATGTAGTAGGGCACTCAGGTGGATGCACAAATATGCCCTGACGGCTGGTTTGCTACTGATTTTTACATGTAGTAACTGCCGCTGACCAGTTTTGATTTATTTAGGCTGTTCCGAAAAGAAGAGCAGTAAGAGAAATATTGCCTCGAAGCAACGAAACGAAAAATCAAACATAAAAACGACTAAAAATCCTTTTTCCGCGCCAAAGACAAACGCATGCACAAACGTCATTCAGCTTACGAGCGTTCAGGCCTGGTTTTCATGTTTTTTTTGTTGTTTTTGTGTGCGTTGTTTTGCTTTCTTACTTTAGAATGCGCAGAAATCCGCTGAAATATCGAAAAAATATTCGTCTTTGTCTTTTTCGGAGCGACCAATGCAAACTTTATAAAGGAATTCAGCGTCACGCCATCATGATGTTAAGAGTATATGTTTATTGACAAATGATCGATGTTAGGATAGTTTCGTGTAAATCAGCTGGCTCTAACATGTTACAAATGACATAGAAGTATAGCATTGTATCATCAGAGTATTTAGAATCGCTAAAATTCACATGATAGAAAGTGCAGCACTCAGATATCCACACGATTTGAGGTATGTTTTTGTAGTTACCTCTCAAGTAGTCCTCCATAAAAACTGATCAATTTCTTTTAAAAAATGACAGTCAGAGACGATAATTCTCTTAGGGATACTGCTCGTGAGATAAGATTCTTCTAAAGCCATTGCATTTGCCCGAAACTTTTGTTGTTAAGAACAGTAGATGTAAACATTGCCAAAATATGCAATATCTGATTGGTTTGTTTCGTTCGCAAATTGCCCCTATGAAAAAAAAGGCTTTCCTGCAAAGAGCTTTGCATATTTAAAAACTAGACTACTACAATTGACTAGGTGCTAAATTCCATCTCCTTTTGGCGAAACTTAGATAAACGTTTTCCCCTACATCAAAGAAGTAATCGATTAGCACACTCATATCCACTCTCAAGGAAAATTGGATGCATCAGAGTAAAGATGAATGATATTACTACGTATGGTAGTGGTACCAATTTATAACGTTGTATCGAGCTTGAGATAGAGAAATAAATATTTTACACTTTTGGCGACGTTTTTCTATAAAAATGAGGGCCCAGTCTGCAAACAAGCAGTCTTCGTTACCATTAGAACGAGACTGCTACAACCTTTAAGACAACAGTTTTATGCATCACTCCTGAATGCCTAACTGCATGTAAAATTGAAGACGTGTCTATAATTATGATTTCCCAAAATGTTGGGGATCCTTACAGAGACTAAGAAGATAGCATGAATGGCATTCATCGGAACAATATTTTTATGCCTTACAAAAAAAAAAGGGTTATTCTTCGTTTGTTGCGATTCAAAATTAGTCGCATACTCTTCAATAATGTTAGATTAATTCCGATATCAGGACAATCCAGTGAAACACAATTTTATCCCAGTAAGACTTAGGAGTAAGATACAAAGGTCATGTGTAAGGGTGAACCTGAGCCTTCACTTTTGTCCGGGGTTAACTTAGAAAAATGTGTTCAATAGTTCCTTTACTACTGAAATGTAAATTTAAAAAAAACATTTGGTGATCGCATAAGGTCTTCTTCATTGCCATAACTTTCAAAGACAACATTTTTATATTTTTCAAAAATACGCCTTTTTCCTTATCTTATTACGATTTTAAAATTATTCGCATACTCAACAATAAGAAAGCGGTGAAAGAACTGACAAAAAATATTTCCCCTTGGAGATATTTGAAAACTATTTGTTTAAACACTCATTCATTTATTAATTGCTGTTTTGTTTTATTCCTTGTTCTTATGAATTCTTCACGTGATTGATTCAGGTTATGTACTGTACCTCTCCCAGTTAGTCCATCGATAAAATTCGTGAGTCTTACCGCTACATGACTTTCCATCACCGGTGTAACCCTCCTTGCAGACACATTTAAAAGAACCGTCGGTATTGGTGCAATTTGCATTTAAGTTACAGTTGTGGGTCTTCGTTGAACACTCGTCGATATCTGTCAAGATAAAGATGATCATTTGAACATTCACGATGATTAAGGTAGGGCGAGAGGTTTGAGTTCAAGTTTTAAGAAATGTCTCAAAATTTTCCTTATTTAATAAAGATAACTCAGTTTCCATAAATACACTCACCGCTGCACGGATTTCCTTCATAACCATCTCGACAACACTTTGCGAAACCATCCGTAACTTGACATGCATCATTTTTATCTGTAAACAACGTTGAATAAATTTTCTTAATTATTGTTGATTATCTTTCGCCAGGAGTTATGATGCGTTAATTATTATTAATTTGATTGACATTTAAAAGTGATTTCGTCAATCTGTACATCAAGAAACAAACTTTATGCGGTACGTGTTTAATTGACCCATATATGCCATTGTTTCACGTGCTTACAACGGGTGTGTTAGAGTGTGTCCTTTTCGAATAAGCTAGGAGCTTTGAGTGGGAGTTACTCGAAGTGTTGTGGTAGAATCGTTAAGAGAATAAACCATAACATAATAAGGAACCGTGTAATCTATGTGTAATTACTTCCAAAAAATACAATAATAGACGAAAAAGACTTACATTTGACACCGCAATGACGAGCACGACTGTCACTCGGCTTTTGTAACTTATAAACGTAGAATCCCCAACAGTTCATTATCTCAGCTCGATAAGAGATATAACAGCAGTTTTGGTTCCAATGAAAACATACCGTTGACGACACTGGTGGGCTACAAAAGAGAGGGAGGCTTCCATTAATCCAGCCGGCCATGTGGGCGTTGCAACTTAAATGCGGAATACAGTAGGTCGCCATCATTGCACCGGCGTCTCCAGTGAAACGGTACCATTGGCTATTTTCAAGCGTATCTCTATCACAGCCTAGATAGGTATGGTTCATATAACTCCAATATCTGTAGGCCTCATTAAGTTCTCTATACACACAAGGATGGCATTCAGATTTGTAACTTTCTACGAGGGAAAAAGTTTAAACTGAGTTACATTGTTGTAAACCAAATGTCAAACACTTTCAGGGAGTTTCTCTATGAATTCATACAGCTCTTGCGAGAAAATTTGTCAGAAAAAAGGATAAAAGTGCACGCGACAATCTCGAAAGGTAATCTAAGTATCCGGTAATCAAGAAATTTTAGTAAGTGAAATAAACAAGTAAATTTATCAAACCCACACTGCCTCTTTCTTACAGTAAATTTTTTCTCAAATTTTTTGAAGTCAAGGAACCATGACCTGAAAACTCCCCACAAAACCTTTGGGAGTTGTCGCGTTCACTTTTACTCTCGAGACATCTGCATAGCATTTTACAATTCATTTATCATGTTTGCTGGTTATCAACTCGCCTTTAAAGATTCCATAAACCTCTACTCTCAGGTGGACCCAAAATCTATGCTTCGTTGGATGGAAGCGAATGTATCTTGCAATCACTGGTATTGGTAGCTTATGGCGGTCCACACCGAAGCCCTTTTTTCTGTGGAATTCCTGAGTAAAATGAGGAAAAAAATGCCACGCGCACGTCAATGTGATCTAAGCAGTCCCTTTTGGCTGAGAGACATATTGAGGTATTACGGTTAGAGAATGAGATATTTTTATGTGTTTGGTTCAGTGATGTAATTTGGATTATAGTCCGGACTCAATTTACAAAACACCTTTAATATCTAAAAGTTAACATAACAATGAAAAAGTTGATGTGGGGTTATGCAGTTTTTTGTTAGTACACGAGTTACTCGCCGTAACGTGAACACTAAGTTTATTGAAAGAGTTATCATTATTGATCAGTCGTTGGGGGTCAGTTATTCATAGTTTGATGAGTTGATTACTTCCCATCATAACCAATTTGTATATCTTCCACTTCTGTGAAAGATCTCTCATGACTTCCCAGAGCAAGCCATGTAACCCGGAGGAACAGGTAGAAGTGTTTTTTTTTAAATAATTCGTTAAACACAGTTATCACAATGTCAAACAGGGAAATTCAAAGCAATAGCAAATCTCGATAAACTTAATTATACGGCGCGTGGCCTGGTCATTTTTGGCTCCAGTTTGGGACCTTATACAATGGATGAGGGATTGGGAGAGTTTTCTGGAACTGACACAGGGTTTACTTTCGACAATTAATCGGAAACTCGTCAAATCCTCTTTCAAATTACCAATTCTTCACCATTTCCATTCTGGTACGTTTGCCATGTTCCTTCATCGTTAGAGTAAAGCAGCTTAAAATCTGTAATAAAACCAAGCCGGCCTCCCTGGGTAGCAACAGCACCCACGTAAAACTCTTTACCAAAGTCAACCTGGAGCCAGTCGCTTATATTGTTGTACCCTGCACACCATCCAAGACCTGACACATTAAAAAGTCTTCCATACATGGCACCGCACTGTATGAATCTCCACCGAACTGGTGAAGCTGTCATCTGACTGTCAGGGATGATAGTGGAACTGGCAACACCAACAGGTTTATAAAAGCACTCGTCGAGGATTTCTGTGCCAAATTGATAAATAAGTTTAGATAATAAAGATAATTTTTTAACTTCTCTCAAGATGTTACATTGATAATGTTGTTTGAGGTCATTTCAATCAAGACAGGCTGCTCTCTTGTCTTGTAAACATCAACAACTCTGTTCCGATACTGTCAGTTTTTTGGCTGCTCGTTTGATGTTTTTCGAAACAACTGAAGCTGTTGCTTTTACTTAATCGTAGTTGAACATCTTTGCTTGTATTTGAACCATTTAACACGCAAAAGGATGCAAAAGAGAGTTACTCAGAGTGACAGAAATTGTGATGAGTAATGAAATAAGCTGCAGTTTAAAAACTTTTGCTTTTAGACGTCAGATCGTCTCTCCTTTCGCCCCCATCGAGAGACATCGTCTCTCTAGAACAATGGATTTAGTCGAACTTTGGTGGCTGTTGTTCAAGCCACTCGTTAGTTTGAGCGTTCAATGATTTCATCTCGATGAGTTACTTTTTCATAACGACCTCTCTATGCTCTATATTCCAGCCACTCTACGCTCTGAAGCCAATCAAGAGGGTGCAAATTATGCTTATGTTGGAATCAGGCTTAAGACAATTACATGATATACAGTTGAACCTGTATTAAGCGGCACCTTATTAAGCGGTCATTCCCCTTTAGTAGCCGTTTATACAGGTCTAACTGTATGAATAAGCATAGTTTTCCATTTCTGTTTTCTGTTTATCGAATTTCTCAAGAATTTAGGGATGATTGTAAACTATAAAATAATTTATTATAGTAACATCATAAAACTCAGAACAAAACCTATTTAAATTAATATTTGTGTGAACACACATACGTACCAGTGCAAAGTCTCAGAGAACATCCTGTTATGTTTGATGGTCTGTAAACATAATACTTGCCACAATTTCGAATTGAAATTTCGTACGAGTCATATTCGCAATCGTTAGTCCCATTAACAAAGCAAAGCTGTCGATTCACAACCCCTTCACTCTGACTAGGATGGCCTCCATCAATCCAGCCCGGATTAATTGTTCCGCATTGGTGTGGCTGTGGCGGGTTATTAGGAATGGCAGCTCCGCCGCTGCCTGTGAAGCGAATCCACCGACCAGGGGTGAAATGTTCTTTGATACAGACTGTCTCAGTACTGCTCGAATTGAAGGAGACAGAGCGGTTGGGTTCGTTTATTTTGTCATGAACGTAGCATTCTGCGATAAATAAAGATAACCATCTTTCATTAACAACACCACCACCTCCTACAAAAGAGACTAATCTTAAGATTTCAACTTTAATAATGAAATTAAATAAGTTGCTCTCATCAAGCTCGTTTCCCGTGAATGCTGTATCTCTCGCATAAGCTTAACTTTACCACGGTTGCAGAGTGGATTTTTCCAGAGGCACCGCTATACCCAAGGCTAATCATTTAGCATCTAGTTTGCAGTCGAGGGACAGCTTGCTTTTTGAAAGAATCCGTTGAGTAATAAGCGTTCCTTTTCGTTTGAAATATCCAGATGATACAGCTTCTCGGGAAAAAGACCTCCCAGAGAACAAGACGCCACGAGGCGATTCCGTCGGATGCATTGGTTATTGAGCGTAGCATTGGAAGGAATTTGGCAGTAACAGTAAACTACCATAATTAGTCAGTTAGATCAGACGAAGAAATTACTCTAGAAAATTTAGCGTTGAAGAAGTTGAAAATAGCAAAGAGTGGCAGCCCGAAATCCTTCGGATTTTTCTGAAACAAACTGGGACTCGACTTACTGATCTCCTTATGCTTCTCATCGCTTGTTTCACCTTCCAAAGAGCAAGAGCTCGATAAAAACAATCTTCATTTCCGCTGACAACGACTTCTCTCCTTTGAGGATGTATATTTTCAGCTGTCGTAATTTTTTTCATCAGAAACGTTAACAAGTACCAAAACAAGCTGTACACACTTAAATTTCCTAACGATTTTTAGTTTATCTCAAACAAAAGTTTTGTGATACTTTGAGATCATTGCGCGATGTCAATTTCACAATAAGCCTTATGTAAGGTGGGAGGTTTATCGGTAGATTTTATTACATATTTCATGGTTAATCACAAAAACGTACGTTTCTATCAACTCTAACTAAATCCATTTGTGATAAAATGGCAGCGAAAAAGCGATGATCTCTCACCAAAATCATCGAAAACAACCTAGCACGGAACTACACACTATATAGGATTCTAAATCTGACGTTGGGCGTATAAATCTTTCCACCGATGAAACAAGGAGTTGACATCAGCATCACAACGTGCATCAGTTGTATTTTCTCTTTACTACGCTTTGTGATGGATCTAGAAAAGTTCAACCACCTCGGCAGCCAATCAAATTCTTGATCAATTCGAAGCCAGGCAACAACAGTTATTCCAATCATTCTTGGATTTTCGTTAGATCCTTGGGATATCTCGCTTTTTTTTCTGATCGGTAGTTGTGTTCGCGTTGGTTTCGATTGGTAACACTCAAACAGCTTTCTATGTAATGTTATTATGACTAGCGAAATTAAATCCTCCTTACCATCTAGCCCAATTATAATGCTAACACCGCCATGATGGAGTAAAAATGCCGTCAGCAAATACAGGAGAATCTGTCACAAATAATTCACATGGATTGAAATTTATTAGTAAGAATTTATCACCGAGCAATGGGTTTCTTTTAGAGTAAATGGTTTTCTGGGCCTTACTGTTCAAAGGCCGATTATCACCAACCCAGAGTTATATTTTATTCCGGGTTCCTTTATTGTCAAGCCTCTTTCGGGAGCATCCAATCATGAAATTGTGGGAAAAAGGGTTATACTAAAGTTTCTTTTAAAGCTACAGATCAGAAATCAGGATTCACACTGACTCTGGGTTATCTTGACCCAGCTTTGAACAACCCGGTCTAAGGTCAACAGTTGATCATGTAGTCTGATCGTCCGGTTGAGGGTAGGCCTGAGAAGGTCTGTTGTCAGAGATAGCAACTGACGTTTAGGTAACCTGAGCTGAAGTTATCATCAGTGAGGAATTCTTTTCAAGTCTAACTTGCAGATATATGGATTGCATCTAGTTTTGAATGCGACTATGGATAACAGGTTACGTACAGCTAAAAATTCCTGCAACGACTAACCTTTAAATGCTGATTGATTGGGTTAGTTGAGAAACCTCCCCATAGATGTTATCAAAGACGGGATATTGACTTATGCTATTGCGAAAGCCTTACAGCAAATAAAAATTACGAAAAATCTGACGAGTCGATTTGAATAAGCCATACCAGTAACATTCCACTGTCAAAAAATTCCGTTTCTTGACTCTAACGACGACTTCTTCTCCACTTTGTGGAAAATTTTACCCTGGTCCCTTTTTAAGGCTGCTCCGAGCTTAAACGATGGGTAGTTTTCCTACATTTCATTTTCATTTTTTATGCTGTTACAAATTATCCAAGAAATATTGATTAAATATCGAATAAATACGAAAAACTCAGAAAGGTTGAAGTATGCAATATCACTCCTAGTTTGTGATGAGAAAATTTGAATCTTTGCCTTGCAAATGACTTTTGGTAACCGAGATTAAAATTGTATCTCATAATCAACTGCATTGTACTCATTTATACTCAAAGATAACGACTGTGGTAAAGGTTTTCATCTTTCAGTGGCTTAGAAAGGATATTATAGGATATTATAAGTACGATTTGATCTAAGTTCGGTTCCTTTCAAATACCCTAATATGCAATGTTAAAGCATTTATTTGACCTATTATTGCTGTTCGTTGATATGAAATCAATCTAAGTCGAAAAAGAATTGCCCGGGGTAATCCATAACTGAAATTTCCTATTGTCCAATAATGAATTTCAGCACAATAAAAAGGTCTACTTACTATAGAACTGAATGGCGAAATTTTTTTCAGCAGTTTCGGAAACATCGCGACTTCACATCATTTGTTGTTAACACGCCTCCATTCGGTTTACCTGAAATTTCTCCTTTTCAAGGTAAAAATCCCTAGAACAATCTCCTCAATAATTTACATGTGAAACGTAAGTATTCATGCTGCGATGCTTTGCAAGAAATCAAGAGATATCCAGATGGTAGATTCAGTCCCCTAACTCTAACTTCACCAGGAGTGATGCCAATTGAAAATCAATCGTAAAACTATACAATGCATGGGGATCCCCTGGGCTGTTTTTTTTTCCCAAATGAAAATAGCCTGCTGTTCATATATTTTTCATTATTTTAAACAGACGTTGATCAATTTGGTGCCTGTTAGACAAAGTTTGCCTTGTGAAGAATTTATCTTGTTTGCAGTTTTGTTAGATACGATGGACTTTCTATTACCATTCAGCTTTAATTAAGTAAACGAAATCAGTCAACTAAAATAGGTTGCGAGTTATTAAATAATTAACAAACAGAATATCAGAATAACGCTATTCACACGAAGCGTATATTGCTTTTGTCTAATTTGTATCACTAATCAGGTAGAATTGTTAGATACTGTTTGCTATTATTGAAGTTTCAATTTACTTCTGACCAAGAGAAATTGTTATTCCAAGGGTTCTCAGCTTTATTCATAGCTTTTATACAAAAAAAAACCTTCTTGGGAGTACCTCTTGAAAAAATTATTTGGTCTTCATCAAGTCTTTTGAAAAGTAGTCATCGACAAACTTTTGCTCATGACAATTCGCCAGCAATAATGCAAATTAAAGTAAGAATTGAACAAAGGGAACCAATTAAGGTGGGTGTATAAAAGATGTTTGTTGTATCAAATGCATACTGAGACCAACCTTTAAACAAACAAATGTAACTTATTTAGTTTTAACCTTTTGAAATCGCCAATCTGCATTCACACTGTGAAAGCCAGATGCGTCGACCAAATGTGTGTTAATTACTCTCCGGAAATTCAAGCACTGGTTTGATAGAAACACAATGAAGATATTCCTGGGTGAGCTCCTAAAATATATACATGTATCTTTTGAAGTGAATTATGAGTGTTATTCGCTTTGACAAAATCCATCGCTTGACACCAGAACTGAATTCAGCGTATGTTTATAGGGACAGGGAGCAAATTTCCCTAACTTTGACTCTCTTCGTTGTTGAAATTGTTCCAATTTGTCTGATACAGCCTAGCTCCGTGTTCTGGTTAGATAATAAAAACAACAAGTTGTTAGGGAGAAATCACGTCGGCCAGAGATGTCGCGCAAATTCGTCTAAAGAGATCCTCTACCATAAGTAAGCGATCCTTCACCAACTAGTAATTAACATTTGAATGGGTCTTTTATCATCTAGATTGATCTTGTCACCACGAAGGAAGAAATTTCTTTATCAAAGAGGAGCTTAACAAAAAATACGTACTATCAATTCAGAATGAGCACATTAACGAAGTTGAAAGGATGCACGTGCATTCGATTTTAACAAAAACTGCTGGAGAATAATATAAAATCTAGAGCACATATGAAATACTGCTCTAAATTGCAGACGTGGAAAGCCTAAAGCCAACAAAATAATAAAAAAAAATTCTTGGTTGGTTTATTCTGAAAAAAACCAGAAGTAGTTCATGTTTAGCGTTTAGAGAATTTAACTGCGTCTAGTGAATAATCTCTGTGCGAGCTATGGTGTGCATGGAACATGCTTTCATGGATTTTTAAATGCCTTACTTTGCGGGAAAAAATCAATAATCAAGATACTTAAGAGGTTAGATTTCAAATTCAAAGAACCTTCATCCTTTTTTATTCAACTAAACACATCATACGCTTTTAACCATTAAATTTCATCTTATCGCTAAGAAGGAAACAACTGTCAGTAATGTCTATTGTTTGATCAAGAGGCTTCCAATTAGAGGCGAAGGTCCAATCAGTTTTGCTCATTGAACTCCTGATCAAGGAGCTCGGGCCCCAGACTTCTCTCCGTGCTTCTCTCCATAAAATACTCCAAGTAACTTCATTCCAAGAGAATCGGGGTTTTCTCTGGTTTAATGGATCAGTTGGTCAGGGTCGCTCTGAAGGGTGTTGCTCAAATCTCGCTGGTTTCTTCCTCGTTCTTCTATTTGATGGAGAACACCCACCGTGTTTGCTGATCCAAAAACTCGGCTCTCGATCTGTTTCACTTGTCTTTGAGTCTTGTTCATGATAATTTTAAAGAAGGCCACTCGAAATTGTCTTTTTATAGTGGCATAAATAAATGGATTGACCGAAGAGTTTAGGATTAGGATAAACCCTCCAATAGAGTAAAAAACAGCGGCAACAGTCGGAGAAATGTTGGAGGTTTATTTAACTAATAGATAAGAGTTGCTCGTGTATGAAAGACTAATACGGATATAAAAACCAACTTAGTCACTTTCGAGGCTTTTTGCTCTCTAAGGAATCTTCGTTTCACTTCTTGTGAAACTCGCTAGGCACTGATTACCTTCTCGTGTCTGCGAGCTTCCCTGTAAAGTACAAACTAACCAATGACAATGATCGCCAGCGCCAGCCAAAAATGAACATGTTTACTGTAAGAACCTAAGTTTTATCAAAGAGAGGATGAATTACGAAGAGCAAACTTATGGCCCATGCAAGAATTTAGGCAGCCAATAGACGTCATTCAGTGATCGAGGCCCTAAGAGTGTACAGGTAAAAAATGGCCATTAAACGTTCGAAGAAAATCCAAAATGAAACCTAAGTGAAAGACAGATGCTGCACCGAAAATCCTAAGTCCGCTCACAAAAACTCATTGACTATAACATGCAAACATTGATGCCTCTCTATGAAGAATATCTATCTATACTAGGTCAACGTTGACCAAGGGCTGCGTGATAGCTACCACCAAAAAAATCTGTGACCGCTCAACATGGAATCATGACGTCATACTTCGTCCTCAACTGTGGTTTAGTTTTCACGGCCACCATAACCGGCAGATTAAGTACAATTGTGAAGGGAAATGGGGCAGAGTTGACAACTAGAATGTAGATTAGAGTTGCATAAACTTCAGAAGGCAGAACTGTACCTGGTTTTCTTCTGAACGCACGGGGTAGATTTCACATCAACTTAGTATAGCTTGCCAAGAAGAATCTATTAAATCCATAGCTTCAATCCAGTACTTACCGATTTTATGATTGATCATCACATTTAATGCTACAAGCAAGCAAGCAAGCCAGAAGGGGACTTACTCATTTTATAATCCTCCCATTAATTCTCCTATCGCGCGTTGACAGCGAAATTTTGTTTGATTTTTTGTGATTTCCCGAGAAGCATTTGAGATCAGCTTTCTCAACCAAAGGACAATACAAAACGAGTTCGCCTTTTTTTCCATGCTAAATGATAAAGATGAGAAGTGAAACTCATGAGCTGGCCTCTATTTGCTGGCTTTATTTCTCGGAGGACAAATATCAACGTAAATGGGTTATGAATTGAATGATAACTGTCCTGTGATTTTGCTTAGAGTCGCGCGTAAATTAATGGTCGGTTATAATCCGTTATATTCATTAAACGATTAATAAGCTCTGAGACATTTACGTAATGGAGTAGAAAAATTGCTCAAAACGTATCTTTGAAACCCTAACGGTTGCTGAAGACTACAGTTTACCACAAAAATCGTTCTAATAATACCTAAATCGCTTGAAAGAGAGCACTAGACGGCTCGATAATTTGATGGCTTGGGTCATTCAATGCTTCAGACATTGAAAGTATGGGACTGCTTTCTTTTATTTATTATCAATCACTTTTTTTAAGCTAAACAAGCGCCTCTATCTCCCCTCCACACTTCCCAGCCAATGCTGAATTTTATTAATAAAACTAAATAATGAAAACCCGACATTGTGATGTGGGTGACGAGGTGGAGTCGAGATAACTATCCGTTGTTCAGGAAATGAGCCCGTATACCTCCCCCGAGCTGAAGGAGGGTCAAAGAGGAGAAACGATAAAGCCTTTTATCAATGACTTTAGATCTTAGAATTCGCCAGCTTTGGTTGAATTTACCATCAGCTGCTCGTTATCAATTAAGAAACGAAGGTAAATTGACAATAGGGCTGTGCCAACTCCAGTGATGTGTGACTCGCATCCATCTGCGAATTGAAAGAATCCACACTGTAACGATTAACTTAATTTCACCTCACAATTTATATAAAATACCTGGCAAACAGGCAGTGAGAATAGACGAACTTATCAGCCAGAGTTACTGCATTGATACAACACTAAATTTTCTTGATTAACTCTTTGGCCCCAGCTGGATTGACAAGCATCCAACTTCTCTTTACAATATCACCCCTGAGTCAAACATCAAGGTCGCGAGAATATTTAATAGATAATTACTGAGGTTCGCAGCATTATTGGGTATAATGCTGCGAACCTCAGTAATTAACTATTATAATTATTGACCCTCATAAAATCCTATTGTTCTCTCTCTGCATTACATCGACGATTTCAGTCGCCCCTTCATATCTTCATATTTTCTCAGGCTGAAATCGCCGATATAATGCTGAGAGAGAACAATAGGATTTTATGAGGGTCAGTAATTATAGGAAATGATCACTCGAGATTGTTAGATAAATTCTCCTTATCAGTACCCGAGGAAATGTATAGAGAATAGTATGGAGAATATGTTTACTCATAATCTCACGATCTCACCTCGTGATTCTGTCAATTATTATCAACTGTCATGAGCTGTTTGAACGCAAACGTGATTGTCAATGATGGTGAATGATGGCTGAATCTATCATCAACCATCTTCATCTATCACGAATGTTTAAACGGGGCTTTATTTTTATTGATTGCGCTCAAAACGTACCAGACAATTCTTTCCCCACAAGCAATTTCCTCATTGTCTTCCAGCCCTGTTTTCTATTTAATTCCTCCTCATTTTCGATTTCTCCATAACAACCATTCGGTCGCTGCCAGCTTTTAATAATCGCCAACCGATGAGGGGTTAAGAACTCAAAGTATCCAAGCAGGCCACACACAACACTTTGTTCCATCATTAAATCAGCGTCGATCCGCTTGAAAGGACGAACTTGTTCGACCAATAACAGCTGAGTGTAAATATTGGAGCAAATCTTGTCGTATACTTTTTCCACAGAGCTTCTGAACTCCTTCATCTTTCTTGAGAACTTATACAGGCATCCTGAGGAGAGAATACATCGATAGAATTATCAATCAATTTATCAACCCAATACATCTTGTTATCAGCTGATTAGTTAATGAATTGATAAACGGCTAATCTTTTGAAATAATTCAACTAAAGCATTAAGTAACTTAGCAACTAAACAATTGATAAATCAGCTGGTCAGGTCCGGACTTCAGCGAAATAAGCAAATCAATCACGTGTTCAAATCTTTCAATTGACTCATCAGAGACAGTCGTTCAGTTGATCAGTCAGTCAGTTAGTCAGTCTGTTAGTCGGTCAATTAGTCATTCAGTCTGTTTGTTTGTCAGTCAATTAGTCAGTCGGTCAATCAGTGGGTCAGTCAATTAATCAGTTACCTAGCAGTCAGTGAATCAGTGAATCATTCATTAATTGAGTCGGTCCGTTTGTTATAAAATCAGTGAGTCAGTCAGTTCGTCTGTCACTCACATAGGAATTAAATCAGTCAGGGGGTCAATCAGACTGGCTGTAAATTGTCAACTGATCCGCCTTCTAAACTAAAGTGATAGCCACTTATATTGCCAATATGTTTGCTCAGTTACCGATACTGTCTCTCACGGCAAAGACGGTTACTAACCTCTTTGCTCACCAAACATGAAATAAAGTGCTTGATGTGTCAGCACGTATCCAACCTCTCCCGGTCGCATCATCACTTCCAAGCATTCCTTAGGCATGTCACACGGCCTACTCCCATATAAGGCACTGCCAAGTAACCTGGCCAGGCAGGGCTGATACTCATGCAGAATGTCATCTGAAAGTTTCTTATTGTCGAACGGTGTTACGAGTTTAGGGTTTATTTTCTTATACTTTTTTATTGTTAGCCAGGGCTGTGACACTGTGTATCCAACCATTTTGAAGTAATGCCTATCTCTGCGCCTCAGTGAAGCCATCGATTTTGAAACAATTTGAGAGACTAAATGCTGAAGTTGAACGACTTGCTTGAGGATGCAAGACTTTATCAACGCTGTAGCAGTTTTCTTTGGTCGGATTAACTCATGTAAAATACCTGAACAAGAAAATGTGTCGATTATGTTCGAGAGGTTAGGAAATATTAGAATTATTGGCGATTTTAGCGCCTATCACGGTAAAAAATTACGTTTCGTTTAACCTAAAGCCGAAACAAAGTGGCAATATGGGCCTTTCGTTTCAATTTAAGAAACCTTTCAAAAACTGAGGAAAAATCACTTGTAATTAAGTTAATTGTTCGCTTATGGAACACTCTGTTCTTACCTTCAGCGATACGAAGACCAAAATATGCGTCTAAGTTTAAATCTTCGCCATTTTCTTTGTAAAATAACACTGCTTTTTCGAGAGCCGCTAACACGGGTGTCGCGTGGCTAACAGTACAACTTTCATCTTTCCTAACGTTTGTTTCAGTGATTGCTAAATGAGGAAAAATTGCGGAGAGAAGGAGAAAAAGTAACGACAACGTCATCTTAATGCAGTAAAAGCCCATTCTTCTAAAATACTTCGAATAAAAGAGAAGTGTCGGCGCAATATCCCAACTGAACTGTATGTCTTTGGGTAAGATTTTATATGCTGGTCAGTCAAGCACCGGTTGTTTTCGACATTCTGTGACAATTGTGGAAACTACTGTCATGTAAATCTTGAGCGCAAAAGTTCTTTTGGTCATTAGCATAAATGTTTCGATGTTGCCATAACATAACGGGTTTAAAAGTGACGCTAGTTTCATCTTTCGGGCTTTTTCGGTCATCCAATTCCAATTTTAGACTTAAGCATAGAAAGTAGCATTTAAATCATGATTTATGTTTTTTCTTTTATAAAAAGATTGATCGAGTGGTGTGATCGAGTAGTCCCGTTCAGTGAGATCTTGAAAGGCTGTCGTCAGAGAAGTTAAATTTTACGTTATTCCTGGCCGGAATAAAAAACGGCAAAACATCGTAGCTCAAAATATCGGAAAACGGAAAAACGCAACTAACATTAAGTCATTGTGACTCCAAAGGGTACATTTTACATAGGGATTTTTGGCTTTTATTCCGCAATTTTTTTTATGGTTACAAGAAAGAGGAACAGATGAAACCAAAATGTTCTATAAAGGATCAAAGATTGATACCCAATTGATTCATCCTCTGGCTGTTTAGGAGGACCGAGAAATTGAAATATACCCTAAACCATGCTACTATTTTAGATCATTTCGCCGACCGCAAGGAAGTCGGTCTCATTGCCTTTCAGAAAAAACCTTAATGTTTCTAACCATTTTAATTTTAAAAGTGCAGGTGACTTTCGTTTGCGTTATATGAATCTATATGCTTGACTATTTAGCAATTCTTTTCACTTGAAAAAAGACACGAACCGGATACGCAGGTGTGCTCTTCATTCCGCACTCTCTCGACAGAAATTAGAATTTGAAGTACAGCTGTCTCTCACCTGCCATAGTTATTTAGAGACGGGTTTTAAATTTCTTTGAGCTAAAGGAAAATATATACCTACCCTAAATGTCATCTAATCGAAGTTAAAAACCACCAATTGGAGACAAAATGCTCTCCACCTAGCTATAGTGGTAGGGATGGATCACGTTATATCGAGGTTCCCCTCTAAGGGACTTTAAGAAAATTACGAAGGCGACGGCAACGAGAATGTAGCGTGAACGCCATCGTAAGCGGTCAACGCATCGAGATGTCAGTTAAAAATCTTAGAAGAAATAAGCTGCGTCTTTTTGGCGATGTTTTATCACACGTCGCCGTCCTGAAATCATATAGGGAGTTTAAGAAAACCAAAACGGCAACGTCAACGGGAACGTCACTAAAGAAAAGGGTTAATGAGCAGAAAAGTGGCTGTGCACGTGCGTAGTAAAGCTTTGTAAATTTCTTTGCGTCCTCTGCAAAACAACAACGCGAAACGACCAAACTTTGCGTCGTCTGGAGAACATGAACGGCGACGTTTAATTTTTTAAATTTCTATTTCTAATTTAACTCCGTGTTCCATATTCAGTTTCGAGATAGTTTTGACAGCAAGAAACAAACTAAATGACTGAAGAGTATCGCGAGGTTCGTGGGTAAAATACAAGTTCATTTTTTAACCGACGTTGTCTGCGGTGTCGCCGTCGTCGTTTCCTAAACTCTCTTATAAACTTCCTCGTAGTTTTATTGCCACAGAGTGAGCATTAATTGACTGAGTGTGAGGGCCGAGCGGATGACCGGGAGCCTGGTATCTTCCTGTTAGGCCCGACCAAATTCAATCAGTGAGTATTACAGCATCTGACCACTAAGTTGCAAAATTTTTTATATATTTTTTACCTAAACAGGACACGATTTCATACATAGGACGGAAGCGCGCTGGGTAACTATTAAAAATATTCTACACATACCCCTTTCTTTCTTTCGGTCAGAAAGAGCCTGAAAGTTAAAATTTATCGAAAAACACGACTTCTTTTCTTAAGTCTGTTTTCATTTTAAGTTTACGTCCACAATACTTATTAGCATTCGTGGAAAATGCAAAAGAACCATGCGAGTGTGGATCGAACGGAATTTTTCAGAACGGCTCGCGGCTACACACTTCACTGAGCTGAACGGGGATCTCTATGGGGTGATGGCTTTTTAGGCTGACAGTTAAAATTTTACCGGATCAATTTACGGCTTATGGTCAATATCTTTTCATTGTGGTCACCAGAAAAAAAATTTGGGTTAATATTTTAATCGAATAAAGGTTAAAATATGTAAAATTATTTCGTGTAACGGATAAATTTTTTGGCACTTTTTTTCGACCAACATTCAACTTCAAAAAGACACTCCCGAAAGGATCAGACGATAATTAGGTATAGGCCTAAGGTAACATGGCTAGTTTTACATTTTATGTTATTCACCTGTATCCATTGCCTACGTTTATGTTGAAATTTTTATGACCTCTTCATTTTTCCGGTTGCTATATTCCATAGAAATGTCAGTCAAACTGACCTTAAAACAGCAATGAGAATAGACATGTTGGTAAAACAGCCGAGTTCCTTTCCTCCGATCCATATATGCTAATTTGTAGAACTAAATATTCCTCTCTTTCTGAAGAGGTCTTCACGCTGCATCGACGATTTAAGTTTCTCACTTTCAAATGTAAGTTAAAAGGTAAAGCCGTCTCGCAACAGTGAAATCGCTTGTAGTCAGATTTTAGTGGTTCACTGAGATTGTTAGGCTCCAGATACTGAACAAGACGAAGAACCGCTACTCTCTCGTTAATTTAAGAAACGGCGTTCAGATTAGAAATCGGTCTGAATTGCTAAGAACTTCATTATCGAGGGAGGAATTCTTAAATAAAGAGGATAAAGTAACAATTTTCATAGACGTAAGACTCTGGTAAATATCCATGGTTCAATTCAAGGGACAGGTTGAAAATCTTGCAAATTACTGGCAAAAGTGTACCAAGGGGACGTACAACAAAGGTTACTGAAAGAAGGTAGAGGCAACAGAACTTTTAGAAATAAGGTTGAGGGACAATTTTGGATAGTTCTTGAATAGAATTGCATGAAAATCTGTCCAAATGACCATGTAAAGCTAGGACCCTCTTGAAGCTGTAGACGTAAAGAACACTTGGGTGTCTATAGCTGACGCTCGTGAGATGCTCAAATGTCGTGGATGAACAAAGTAATGAGTGATGTAAAATGGATTCATTAATTTGTATTGTAAAAATTGCTTAACTCAGTTGCTAAATAAGAAGCCTTAATTTATACCTCAGGTTTTCCTAAGTTCAGTCACAAGTCGCCGTACGTCAAGGATCTAACGCGTGTGAGTGAGTGCAACCTTTTCACTTGTAGCTTTCAAGAACTGGTTTTAGACCAGGAGAGAATCTTGTGGTAAAGTAAAGAGTTTTTCTGCATGATTTCCAAATGATTTTCACTTCCTTTTCACATGCACGTGCGCCTAAATTTTGCTGTTACAAACGCCCGAGCACTCACAGACATGCATCCACCTTTGAAACGACATTATAACGTTTCGAATTTATCAGAAGCCGGTGGAGTCTCGAATTTTCATTATAAACATACTTATTGGTGATCAAGATTAATCCTTTGGGAAATCTGTTCTACCTCCGGCAACTCTTGTTGAAGTCTTCCAAATTAGCTCCAGGCACTCAGCCTCACAGTAATTGTTCACTGATTGAACTATTGTAACTGAACGCATCATAACAGGAGCCAATTTTGTTCCTTCCGATTTTCCGCGAAACAGGTGCCAGATGTCTCAGCTGTAGTCAATGTTTTGGGTACAGTACATTTCACAACAGAACTGTATATAGTATAGTATATATGTATATAGTACGCATAATCTTATTGGTCGATTCAAATTCAAAGCCTGTGCTTTTTCAGGCTATGAGCTGCTTCAATGACGATAAGAGCAACTAGGAACTGAACTGAGCCGACAGTTAAATGAAATAAAATTTTACGCTCCAAACTTTGGCGTGTTTAAAGATTTAAGGCACATTCAAGTCAAATTCATTGGCAAATCAATGACAAGTTTCGTGTAACCTCACGTGATACACCGAAGGATGATCCCATGCGGTAAATGCCATTTACTGTAGTATGTGTAACCACACCATTTAAGTCATCACTACTCCAAGTACAATTGCTTAACAAATTGGCCCCTTACTTGTGCAGTAACAAAATCTCAGCTCTCTTTTCTCTATCTCTCACTGATCTGTATGAACATTTAGAAGCTGCTATCCTCACAGTCTAACTCAAGGATATTTTGATGCAGCTTCCAAACTGGATTTTTTTAGTACGTCTGAAGACATGAACTGCCTTCGTTTTGCAATTGTTTCGTGAGTGAAATAACCTAACCAGACCTGAGATGTCAGTGAAATGACCTTAGACCTTGGTGAACTGGTCCTTAGCAAAATTAAACATAGGACCAAACAACCAGTTACCCAACCCAACACATAACAAGCAGTGAACCTTCCAACATAATTTTATTAGAGATAGAAAAAATATGGCCTCAGGAGCAAATCTCCTCCAGCCTTAGCAACAAATGAAATATGCAGTAGTATTCTGGACTCAGGTTTGCTTGGAAGGAGAGCTCTGCATCCGAGCCTTAGATTGGGTCATAGGGTCAGGTCAAAAGGTCAGTTCACAGTTTTACCCAGTCAATTTTTTTCTGATCCAGAAGCACCACAAAAAGGGGTCTCGTAAAGTATCACAGATTGCTAAGAAATGTGTTGAGGGCAGGAGTTACTTGTAATGTACAGAGTGAGGTTCTAACCAAGGGGGAGGTAATATTTATGACCTCCCTTAACCTTAAGTTACTAAATCTTCCTCCACTGGGCAAAGGAAGTAAGAAGTATATGGGTGAATGATTTAAATAAATCTTGCATTAATGTATACACTGATGAGTTTTGTTTCATTCTTCCTGAAAACAGGAAAGTGTTGGAAGATAGTACCCGATCAATTTCGAATCTCAGGTATGGTAGAACCAACACATTGATATTGTTTCAAGAGGCATCACTTTTCTCTGAAACACTTTCTGCTTTTTCTTTGTACTTCAACACTTTAATCAGCCACTTTTGCCAGAATTTCTCACAGGTATCTAAGTCCATCCAATGAACATCTGCCTCTGAGCCATCATGATGAGCAACAACAATCAAACAACTTGTTACAGGAATCCTCATAACAGGATGAGAATTGATAGCCCCTGCATAGGCCACCACTTGAAATGGAGCATCAAAACAACTATCCAGTGTTGGTCTGGGGTTTTGTGATGTTTTCCATTCGATCAGACAAGGTACTCCATTATATATGGCTAGTCCATCAAAAGTGCCTGAATAACCAATAGAAGAGTGTGTTACATACTCCTCTGTGGCCAGCACTTTGTCCTTTGTAAGCAGCTTTAAAATCCCAGTTTTGGAGACGCTTTTAATCAAGCTTGAAACAAGTTCTGGAAACTCCCCTGTCTCCTCAGTCTTTTTGTGAAGAATGTCTGTCATGCATGAGTGAAATTTTTTACCACTTTTTGCTAATAAATTTCTGTACTCATTAAACATTTCCTCGCCCATCTTTTCTATCTGTTGTTTCTGCCAAATGGCAATCATGAACCTGTTTGATGCACTATTCAAAATGGCTGAAACACTAGCATTTTTAGCCAAATACACGTCTCCTTTAACTGGAAATTCCCCTTGTTTTGTTTTATCTGTTGTACCTTTGTACTCTCCCACAGTCTTTGTGATAATTCCTTTTGATTTCACGGCTTTGTGTAGTTTTTTCACCTCACCACTTATCCACTGACCAGGGGACTCAGTAGAGCTAAATAAGATATTATTTTTATCTAGCTTCAGTCCAGTTGGAAGAAAATACTTTTTGTCACCCTTTACCGGGGTAAAATTCGCAGAATTAGTTTGAGCTATGAAAGGGAAGCGCAGAACTGAATTCGGGTTCGTGAGTTGAAGCGAGTGAAATTCCTTCAAATCACTAACAAGAATCGAAGTTTTGTTGTTCGCTTTTATACCACATTTCTTGCAAAGCTGTTGTAGCTCTCGCCGATTCATTGTTTCAAGTTTATCGAGGTCGAACCAAAGTTGTGAGGTCTTGTTGCTGTCTGTATGGGTGCTTCTAGAGGATTGATCACAGCCGCTGTTCCCTGCGAACCTCAAAACCCGTTCCAAAGCGCTCGAACAAGGATTGACACCACGATATTGTAGACATCTCCATAGATGAACCATTTTTTCCACTTATGCTTTAAATGTATTCTCAAGTTATTTTTTGATCTTGGAAAAAAACCGCGGGAAATTGGCAATTACGCGCAATCAATCTAAAACACTAATTGTCTGTGTTCGTCCGCCATTTTAAAACTTCAGTGAGCCCGCAGTCAATTCTCGCCCTAGTCCCTTCTCGTCTCCAATACTAAACAAACAATTATTTACCCCACGTTTTTCAAACGCTCGTTGTACGATGAGAGGAACTTAACAGGAATTCACTTACGCAATCCTATGAGCATGTTCAGACGAAAACTGAAAGCCTTGGGATATCATAACCCGGAAACTTTTCAAGTAAACAGTAAGTAAACTGTAGTCAATGTGAAAATATTTACAAGAAAAAATTTTTGATTTATCGGCCCGATAGTTTTGTACAAGTACAATACCATACAACGCTTCTGTAGAAGTTGGGCACGTCATCTCATATCAACGTGGCGTCATGTAAATGTCTTGTTTAACCTTCAGATGAAGATGAATTCAGAAACCTTGTTGTGTGGCTGGAAGACCTGAAAATTCGATATTACAGAATAGAAGAGCGAGAAGAACTCAGAGATACAAAAAAGAATGAATGGACAAAAACTTTTAAAAAGGTGAATATTTCCGACCAAACCGGATAGAACAGTTTCCGTAGTGAAATAAAGAGGTTTGATGGAAATTTTGCTCGGAAAGTGAATGCTTATTCATGTCTTTGTCCTTTGAGTAGTCCAGAAGAATTGTAAGCTCGAGTGAAGTTACACGTGGAACAAATAATAATTATTAGATACATAATTTATTGTTTTTTGTTTCTTTTTTACGGTCAAACGGACAAGAAACTTAGAGGCGGTTTAAGGTTAAGCACATGTTACCCATTGAAACTTAAGAAAAAGGTTATTATCTGGGAAAATTAGGAGAAATTATTTTGCAGTAGTCACAGTATGGGAAATATCCCAAGATGGATGGCCTTGTGTGGTCTCAGGCTGTCTTCAGGTATCAATTTCCAGACTATTTTACCCACTTGAAAAACAACCTAATTACCTCTTAACCTGCAGTGCCAAGTGCATCTTAGTAGGGAAAGCAAGTTTAAGTGCTGTAAGCTAGGGGTTGTTTGCTGGACCTCCATGTTTCAGTTTAGTTGAAGATTAGAAGGACAATGGGGAAAGAGAGAACACTGAGGAAAGAGAAAAAATTTTCCATTCCTCACCACTCCCCTCTCCTTCATCTTGCTTAATGTCCAACCTCATGGTTGAATTTTTTCTTTCTCTAGCTTTCCTCTGCTTTAAAAACCTAAGACGGTAGCCATACTTTTCACAAAGAAATACTTGGTTCTTGCTTGCCTAATAATTGATTGCCCCATGGGCTGTTAATACTTTGATCCCACATTTTATTTTTGCTCTCCTATAGCTGGGCTTATTGGCTTGATATTAGACAAGGTCATCATTTTTTTCTCTAAAAATGGTGCTGATGCTTACTGAACTTGGGACTGAAAAGAATTTAAATTTATTAATTTTTTTTTTCAGTATTTAGATGATCTGCAATGCCCTTTGGATTTTTCACAAAAGCTCAGTGTAGTTGACTGGTTACTGTCTCATGCTGTGAGAGTTGAATATGCCGAGAATGGTTGGTAGTACTTAAGTCACTCTTCTTTTGTTATTAATAGGTTCTTCATAGCCATAAGTTAACATCTTCTTTCCTCTAGCTCATTCCCAATCGCCATGAAGTGTATGTACAATGTCATAATGCCTTCTATGCGTATATGCATGTGATAAGCTTAACCCCTACACCCTAACATCAGTTTGTATATTCTCCATACTGTTCTCTATACATTTCCCAAGGTACTCACATGGAGAATTTGTTTAACAATCAAGAGCTTCTTTACTTGATGATCATTTCCTTTATTCCTGTGACCTAAATATGCAATTCTGAGGTGATCATGTAAAGAGAAATTAGATGCTTGTCACTCTTAGGGTTATAAGGTTAACAAAGGAAAAATAAAAATTGCAATGATTTGCAGATGATGTGGTAGCAGAAGGTTATAAGGGCTGGATCATGGGTCAAGAGTTCTGAGCTGGGTTGTTCAAAGCTGGTTAAAGATAACCCAAGGCTAGAGTGAAAAATTAGATTTGAAAGTTTCAAGAGAAAATTCATTCCAATACCATTCCTTTTGTCTATAATTTGATGATTGGATGTATAGGCCTGTAGCCTAAACCCTTCAACTCCCAAGATCTCATTAGTAATTCTTCTTACTGTCTGCCCAGAAGTTCATGTGATGCTATTTAGAGAATTTGGTATTGGATCAACCAATAACCCCCTAAACTGATATTTTTCTTTATTCTCATCATTTCTCTGCTTGATATTGTAATGATATTGTAAGAAGAAACTCTTTCTTGGTCACTCATGGGAGTTAAAGGGTTAAGGACAAACTCCTTTTTTCTTTACTCTTTTCTAGCTGAAATGTACAATGCAGTTGGTCAAACTGTCAAGAAAGAAGAGGTTGAATTAGTAGGAGAGAGTTCACTTGATGACAGCTTGATTAATTTGACTGGTATGAATATTTCTGTTGATTTTATTCTATAGAAACTATACATTCTGCACATGGATGCTCATATTCAAAGTCTATGGTTTGGGAAAACAGATTTAAAATGCATGTAACATGGCCGTCAGAGTTAAATTAAGTGAAAGTGTAAACAATAACATTTGCAAAAAAGAACTAAGAAATTGTCCAGAGATTGAATGAGGACTTGACCCCACCCATACCCTTCCCTCCTTCCTCATCTTGCATACCTTTGGTTGTGTCTATTCTTTAGTCAGTAATTTGGCTGTGTTATGAGCATGTGAGCCTTGATTGACAGTGTATTGTAATTATAGTGTTCACCTCCTGCAACTGCAGCCTGGCTTTGATTCCAGGGCCAGGCATCCTGTATGGGTCAAGTTTGTGATTGGTTCTTGTCCTTGCTCCGATGGTTTTTCTGGGTATTCTCCAGTTTTCCTCCCTTTGCGAAAACCATCAGTGTCATAGTCATTATTGTTTTCATTATCATCATCATCATAGTCGTAATAGCAAAAAAATTTCTTTGATGTCAGCTGTGCAATTCACACAAGTAGGTCATGGGTGACAACCAATCATGAGGTGCATATCCATAACAAACTGCTAATACCCAAGTTGCAAAAGGAGGCTAGCTGCACTGGAACTGAAATTGCAATCGCACCTCAAGGTGCTAGAACACCCCACTGACCTGCCAAACCTACAACTAGGCCCAAGGCCCCCCACCCTAAGCCCCCCTTATGAGCACGTGTCTCACTAAAGCCAGATGGCTTAGTAGAAGGGAAAAATAAAGTGAAATAAAATGACTGAATAAATAAATAAAAAATAAATTAGTTAATAGATATAAACCCTCAGCCAAGAAACCTTGCAGTCAAATATGCATGCACTGATAAGGAATATTGCAGGACAAGGAATGAATGCAACACATGCTGTATGAATGCTAACAGATGGCTAAGACGCTAACAGAACGTCTGAAAAACACTACCGACCAGTTTTGCTCCTAGTGGTTTACTATATATGACAGTCAGTCTCAAGATTCAAATATGGACACTATAAATGTATGAAGCTAATGTACCATTTTATTCTTTAATTATAGTAGATAATCCAGATCTTAAAGCTGGGGTAGCGTCTTTGTCAAGACTTCTTAGCCTACCAGAACACCCTGATCATTTTGTTTTACTACAGGTAAGTGTGAGAGTTTTTATTAGGTCATCTCACCCCACAGCTGGTATTTGGCAGATATGACAACTAAGTTAATGGAGAAAGATGTTACTGAATGTCCCACTTAGCGAAGTATTTTGAAAATTTAACCGAGCCAGATTTTGACCGCACGAGCCAATTGTTTCTTTTCTGTTCTTTTTTTTTTATTTTTTTATTAATTTTTTTGGCTTTTATCATGGCAGGCTATCCGCTCACTTATTGAAGGCAAGCTATCATCATTCGCCTCCAAGACTAAGAAAAAATCGGCAAGTAGCTTGAGATTATTTTTTAGGCAAAACTTATTCTTAATAAATAGATATTTTGAAACAAAGAAATCAATTGTTTTAAGTGAAGGAGTGATACATGCACTGCACTGAAACTGTTTCATTTTAACATAAAGAAGTTTTTAGTGGGGGCAAGTCAAAGATGATCATCAGAGCGAGCATGCTATAAATAGGTTAGCCCCACCCCGTGGTTTTTAGCTCAAATGAAAATTATGCTGTGCTAATGTTATACAATGGCAAAGCGAATCATTTTGAACTTCAAATTTACCGCCACAAATGATGGACAGACACTTAGGTCAACTCTAACTTTGAAATTTGTTAATGGTTTTGTTAGTTTAACACTTTTAATATTTAGCGGAATAAAAAAAATCTTGTATACTGGTGCTATTGAATTGTTGAATCATTTATTTATTTGATATTGGGTGTCATTCTGTCATAGAATCAAAACACTGAAGATGTAATTCCTCTCCACAAAGTTGACTTGGGATTTGACACAGGAGGTTTGTGTTTCCTAATATTCCCAGCGTCTGCGTTTATCGTATTTTGGGGCGCAAAGTCGGCCTTTAATCCAGCCTTTCGTTGCAGTAGAGAAGAAGGGAAATCGCTCGTTCGAAACTTGATCACACTTCAATTCCGTTTCAGGTATTTCGGCGTGAATAGATTTTTTCGGTCGGCGGAGTATTTTTTTAGTAAGCTTGTCATCAACTCGCTGTGTTAAAACTAAGTTTTTTTTTTTTTAACTAAACCCGATCCTCTGTTTTTAATTAATTTACTGTCTCAGACAAAACAGATTGTGTTACTGTTCTTTGTATTTTAGTCTACGGAGGAAATTGTCCTTAAATATCGATTACTCTAGTGCGATTTTTAGATTTGCCCATCCGTATGAAACCCACGTGTATGTCAAGTGCAGTCAAGGTTGCCATAGTCATACAAAACAACGAACCATCAATAATAATTTCACTTCATGACAATCCTAAATAGACCTACAATTTAAAGTGGAAGAACTCTGTAAGAAGGGACAATGCTTTTAGAATCGTCACGCGGTATTATCAACTCCGTTGGTAACGTTAATTGGCCACCGTTAAGAGTTTCCGAACTAACGTTTCGAGCGTCAGCCCTTCGCCCTTACTCTGACGAAGGGCTAACGCTCGGAACGTCAGCTTTGAAACTCTTTACAGTGGCCAATTTACGTTATCAACTCAGTTGATAATACCAAATTACCTTGTTATACTCTTCCACAGACGCAGCACTACAGTTTCTTCAGAAACTTTACCCCTTTATCAAGTTGACTCTCGGGCGACTTGACCGGTTATCGTCGGACCGGCACGGTACACGGTAAAATTGTAGCGTTTTGCTAATGTTCTACTCTCTATGCTTTTTATTTCAGACTCTGCAGTTAACGAGGCCGCCAAAATAATCAGGTTATTGCACGTCACAGAATTACGAGATCTCCAAACGCGGATTAACGAGGCCATAGTAGCAGTTCAGGCCATTACAGCTAATCCTAAAACAGATCAATCACTCGGGCGAATTGGCGTGTGATAAGTTGGTTTATTGTGGAGCACTGAGTACCAATCAGGGGCTGATAGGGCTTCGTGCCCTCTTATCCAGGGTCTTACCTACTGCTTTATCCTTGTCGCGCAAGAGAGAACTTGGATTCTCTCTGATTCTCGGAGAAACCGTAGCTTGGTTAAGTCCGAATCTAACGCGTATGAAAATAAATCACCCATCATAACTGTTGTTTTTTTTTACAAGATCTGTTTGCCTTGTGGCGTTACGCTTCGCATATACGAATGTGGTATACGAAAACAGAATTAAAGAACGAGCATCTTTTGGTTAATTGCTGTATTAATCATTTATTTTTGTAAATGCGGTGTTGTTTGTTTCCTGACCAATTACCGTCTCAATCATTGAAAGACATTTCTAACCCTTCAACTGCCGTAGTGAATTACGCGTACTCCTTCCTACCTAATCAGAACGTTTATCCGGCAAAGAGGGACTGAGAAGAGATTAATTTGTCAGGTTATTTACCAGAAGATGCGTAGCAGCTAGAAAGGAGAATAAGTCATGAGACCGTAGGAGTTAGAGAGGTGTCGCGCACACTAATCCGAGCTGTGAACAGCTCGGCAATGATCCCGGGATTGCAAATGATTCCAGACCGCGAATGGTCCCCAAATTGAACCGCTGACCTCTCGCGCGCTTGTCGGAAACACTCGGGTTTCGCCTTCTCGCGTCTCAGCGCTAATGGGAGCCTACTCACAAGCAACTGGGACATTTCGACGTTTTGACGCCAGGCATATGTGATTATTATAGTGAAATTAAAGAACATTTAGAGAACCTGCTTTTAATATTATCTTAAAAAACTTGATTGTGAAGAATTATAGGCATAAGTGGACTTAATAGGGGGTATATATTTTACCCCAAGTCAAACAATTGTCTTTAAATTTGACCAACTGCAGACTGTCATCTCACGCTGTTGAGATGTTTGACTTGGCCAACTGCCATTCAAGCGGGAACTGCCAAGTTCATCTTCACCCACGGCGAACCGACTAACTCCCGACGTGCAAAGAATTCCTCAAAGCTAATTGGTTCATTGTCTTCAATCAGATCATCTGATGAAGTTTTCAATACCCCCTGGTTGGGTCGGTTCAAGAGAAGGGTCAATAGATTCTCTCGATTTTATCTTAAAAGTGCTTAACATTACTTGAAGACGATGTTAGGAGAAAGGAGAGACTCTAAGCTACTACTGGCATCGATCGTGATATGGTTGCTTATTAAAAATTAAAGTACTTGCAACATGTATACCTGATTACTGTAGTCGCTTTCGCGATCATTAGCATTTCGCAATAGCGGAATTAGCGAGGATTATTTTAAACCACACACTATATGTCAATAGTTTTAAGAAATAAATATTTCAAGTCGAACGACACCACTGCTGCCGTTGAAATAAAGGAAACTAAATATGATAAATAAAGAAATACGTAAATATTAGTACGTGGACAATTACGTTTTCATCGCGTGAGATGTAAGATTTTTTTAGAAAAATCTTTAAAATCTGTTTTAAATAAACAAAAACTGATTAATCTCCTGAGGGTTGCTTTACATCAAGAATTTGTCTTCTGAACATGCCTGCAAGACACACCGTTACCAGCTGTAGTGATACTACACCAAAAGACAGCCCACCGATGAGAGCTAAGTTATCTTTAAACCACTGAACTGAGAGGTTTAGGCAGCCTTCCTCATGAATCAGATCTTGGCGGTAAGACGGACTCAATTTGTGTATACCGTACCCACACTGGCGGTTTGTCTGTAGGTCCTCTGTCTTGCAACAAGAGAAGGGAACTCCACAAGCGGATACAGAAGGAGCCGAGCAGTTGAAGTAAATATTCGCCTCCCAATCGGTGTAAGACCGTGAGCCACAACAACCCAGCTCTGTTTGTGCTGTGTCAATCAAGAAATGAAGATCGGGCTTTGTCGGATCTCGGTAAAACACAATAGCGTTCTGGAGCTTCTCATCGATATTTTCCTCCAGTTTATCACTGTTAACGAAGCCAACTATCCCGCAGATGACCTCCATAATCAATAGCACCGTAATAATCCCTGCGTAAAATGCCAGCAGGCAGGTATTTTCCCTCAGAGCGCCGATGCAACCGGTAAATGTTAAAATAAACATAAGACCCCCAAATACCACGAATAGCACGGCTGGGTCATAATACAAGTCAGTGAGCTTGCTGTAAACGTCCCGCTTTTCCACCATCACAAAAATTCCAATTCCAAGCACAATAATGCTCAAAAACCAGAAGAGAACATTGACAAAGAAGATGATGTATTTTAATATCCTCGATGGATCTTCCTGGCGCGAGTCTTGTGGATGTACTTGAGTCATCGTTGCGTCCAATTCTCAGACGCCGTTCAACTGCAGTGCTAGACTTAAAAAATATCAACGAACAACTATGTTAAGAAAAAAACTAGTTGAAATTCATACTTGCCGACGCTACGCTCGTCATGCTACTGCACTCCAGCAAAGTTTAGATTTAGGGTTACAAGATAAACAGATCGTTCTCATCATAAGTCCAACCATTTCTTACCTTTCTCACATTCCAGTGACTAAATACATCGAAGCCATCGAAGATGATTTTATAGGTGAGAATTGAAACAATAACAGCAAAGCTTATAGAATGTTTAATTGTTTGCTTCTCGCGCGGACATTATTTCATGTATACAAAGAGAAAATGCAAATGATCCTTCATGCTGCGTGACCTAGGATTATGAAACCTAGCAACTGTCAAAATAGAGCTGTAAATACACGTCAGTCAGCACAATATGTAAGCTCCTTTACACGCTTTGTTTGGTCTTGTTACGGCTCGCACTTACCAGACTAAAACAACGAGCTTTTTAGAGCCATTTTTTCACATACACAATATTTTGAAGCATGCTTCCCTTCAAAGACAACATTTCACTCAAAGTAAGGAGTTCTACGCGTATACTACAATTTTTTCTTTTTTGCTCCGGTTTCCGATTTTACTTCCTGTTTAGTTGTATTGACGTCATAGTTTTTAAATGACATTTATGAAAATTTTTCAAAGCTTTTTGATATCTGATGGGTTGGATTTGGATGTGGAAACCCCACTTCATGTCATCTTTTTGTTTCAAGAATCCCAAAATATCTGTTTTGGGATATTTGAGGCAGCCTTTTAGAGAAAAAGCCGGGAGTTTTCCAGAATCTTCCGATCAGAATTTTATTCGCTCGAGGCATTGGTAACAAAAACTGATACGTACAGGATGCGTGGAGCAAGCTGTTAATGTCACGTCACTTACGTCACGCGAACAGACTGATATTGATCTGTAATGCGTAATTCTAAATACAAATGGGGTCGGTTGCTTGCAGTGAAGAAAAAGGTCAGGTGTCATAAACTTTGGTTTCCAGTCAATTTTACTTAACTATATTCTTTTTAAGAGTTCGTTCTTAGCTGTTCGTGATGTACTTGATTTTCAGAAACCACTTATGTTATTTCTTAGTTAGACGACTCTGGACTATTGTATAACGATGGAACTGTCTCTAAAAAGGTCGGCAGATGTTGATATCAATGACCTACAGCTATCATGATGTTTGAAGATTTAGTGACTGAAATGTGATCTACAATTCGACATACTTCAAAACCGTGGTTTTTAGCTCACTTCACCATCTTAAGGAACCAAACTTAAAATGGAGAAGATGCCAAGAGAGTCGCTGACAGAGTATAAGGGATTAAAAATTAATCGCCGATCAACGTCCCACGAGGGGATTCATAAGAAGAATGAATCCTCTGACTCCCCACTACCCTCCCCGAAGATAAAAATTGATTGCTCCCAAAGGGGTAGGGGTAGGAAATAACTGGAGGAAGTATCAAGGAAGGAACGGAAAAACGTTTGCTTGGTTTTCTGAGACTAAGAACAAAGGATTTCAATAAGGTGATTGCATGTGTTTAATTCATTGCATACTAAATTTACAAAAATACAAAAGGTTGCAACTTTCATTCAGAAAGTCGTCAATAGGCATTGCATTGGAAATTAGACATCAGACTACATACAACAATAAAATTCTCATAAAGTACTGTTGGAAAACAGAAGGAACCTAAAACAGCACGTTTATAAATCAAATTTATAAATTTCCAGTTAAAGTTGTTCTTTGTTGATTAACGAACCAGTCATGCGATTGATGATAAGGACCTCGAAACACTTTGCAACTTTAAAAAGTTGTAGTTTTGACGGTACTTATATTAATTAAACAATAAAATTTCTGTTTATATCACAAACTTACAGCTTTATATAAGCCAACAACGAAATATTCACTGTTGAAGGTTTTTTTTTCAACCAAAAACTATCTTATAGTCTAACAACAATTGCCAGAAAAACGACTTTTTAATCCAAATTCTGTGTGCAATCGTCAAACTAAGAGAACACTTTCCTCTTTTTTTGTTTTGCTTTTTTTTGTGTATATTTTTCATCTTTTAAACTGTTTTTCTTTTTCTCGTGTCTCCTTGGCCAAGAGGAAACTGCAAACAAACTGGAAACAAGCGAGCCATCTGAAGGTACCAGTCCCTCGCCAGCTTGCTGTTATCTGTGCCTGTCAGTGTAAGGGAAAAAACAAAACAACAGGTGAGACGAAATAGTGCCAGACCCCATGCAGACCTTCAGCCGGCTCTCATGCTAAAGGCCTCACACTTTTTCGCGGGCGAAGGAACGCTCGTCTCGAAGCGCAGATAATCGCTTCGATTGACCATACTTTGACTTCTTTCAAAGGTGCGGGAGATACAACAATTAGATTTGGAAGTAGAAAGTCTCAGTCTTACCCGTGTTTCATTGATTTAAATTTCTGTAAATAATTTATGCTACTGGATAACCTGTTCAGAAAGAAGAAGTAGGTTAGTGGTACTGAAATAGGAAATATCATACGCTTACAGATCTGACAGGGTTTCCAAGTAAAATATCACAGCAGGCACTTTTAACGGATCAATTTTTGATAAAAGAAAAACAGTGGAAAAAATAAACAATTTAAGCCGATCTCAATCTCCACAAGCCCCAATATTTGATTCCATTTCCTTTGAAGTTGCAGTTGGCGATTTAAATAAACCATAGATCGAAATTTATAAGCACCGCGTTTTCTTACAAACGCCAGTTTTTATCATACCTTCCAAAGGCGTTGAATAAACTAACAATTTCTGTTCTTTTCAGTTGAAAATGACTGTTCTTGTCAAACTTTCCGTCGTCAAACTCGTGACCAGAGAAGAGGATTTTAAGAGCAGTGCCCAGGCCTTGAACCTACGGTTGGTCAAAAAGAAAGGTTAGGTTTAGACAGAGCCCTCTGTTTGAAAAAAACAAACAAACATAGCCGAGAGGAAGAATGCTCACTATCTGCCAGTGTCCTTGGCAGTGCATGAGACACTGGTCCCTTGCAAGTTACCCCCCAAATCTTATCAAGGAAGCGAGCGAATAGATTATTCAACTGTTTCGTTGAAATTGTAACTACGTCACAGTCAATTAACGAACTTAATTACTTTCCTAATTGTGATACACTTCAAGCAAGACAACCATTTGGTAACTATTGTGTTTTGTTATATTTATATTTTACTGTAATTACTTTTCTGATACGCTTACTATGTGTAACTTATAGATTTCGAACAACGCTAACGAAGAATAAACAGCAGTTTGAAACTCATGGTTTTGGATGCGTATCACAACAAAACATCAACTAATCATATTTAGAAACGTTGAACTGCACTCAAAGGTTGATGTATGTTACACCCGCTTTCACGCGCGACGTGCGAATAGATCATTTAGTCAATCATATTCAGAGACGCTGAACTCCACTTCGTGGATGACGTATGGACATTCGTTTCTGAGTTTAGTTTAGTTTCAGAGCCACTCAAATTTTTCGCAAGCTTTGGTTTGGAATTTAGGACTTTTTAATTAATACACTTTAAAACACTTAATGAACCTTCATTGACGGAGACTGGACCAGAGCTCTCTATCAAAAGAGGATTTTTTTTAACATCACTGTTGCCCATTCATACTTCGGTGGAAAATTCAAGGAAAGTGTCTACCCTAAGAACGTAACACACAAAGATGACCCTGCCAGAATAGCGCATGTGCCGTCATGCTGAAAGCTGATTGGATAATACAAATCGGAAAAAAATCTAGGGGTGAAAATATGTTGTTCCCCGTGCAGTCTACTTCCAGCTCTTACATTAAACTGTACAAATGAAGGTTAACAAACCTGAAGCTTGCCCCACAACCGACACTTGTCACAACCAACACAGTCCATGATACGGGAGACATTCCTAAAGTGAAGCTTGAACTCTTCCTACGAAAAAAAAAAAAAAAATAGGGCAACTTTCAATAACACATAATCTACACAGATCTCACTGCCTGAGCATCCTACAAAAATGTACATCATCTGCCTGACTGTTCTGCAGCCCACTTAAAGATCATCAGGCGGCACACGAAGAACGATTCAATTTTAAAATTTGTCATACCGGTGCTTGTACGCACCTTCGACTTTCAGAAAAGAGAAGTATCAGCCCTCATTGATTTCATGTGATGAACGATGGGCATACGGTACATATTGCTCTTCTCTCAAAAGAACAAGAGTGGCGAGTTATTTGTCAGATATTTTCAAAGCTGCTGCTGCGCCCATCAAAGAGCAGGATCCCTAAGTTGTGGAGAATACCTTACCTTTAAGATTTTTGCACTGCCTGGGTCTCTGAACATCAGCTTCTCATCAAATGTGCTTGGACAGGTTCTATGAGGTGTAACAAGACAAAGGGTTTTGTGAATGTAGCAAGTGAAGGAAAAGAAACAAACAAACAAACAAAAGAGAAATACAACATCCTTCTTACTTATTTGGTAGTACATGTACCACAGGCTTGTGTCAATAAAGACTTAGACCAAGCAGAAGCTTGAAATGCATAGTAACCGCGCAAAGACGCCATGAACTAGCCTATGAACTAGCCTGGAAAGCTGGCATGAATTTGGCCAGCAAATGCTGAGTATTTTCTATGTGAAAATTATAGCTGCCACCTCTAGTTTATACAGCAGCAGAAGGCTGGTGAGAGAAGGAATCTTCTTCCATAGGAAATGGGTCTGGTGTCCAGAGCAAGAGACACATTTTCTCTCTGGTTATAATCTCGTTTTCCTGCGGTGAAACAAAGCTTGTTCTCATAAAAGACTTAAAATATCTGAGTTCACAGCGAGCGCGTACACTTTAAAACCGTTTGGTCTGATATGAGCACATGGACAAGTAAATGTACATGCACATGTGCCGGGCCTAACCGGACATGCGCATCTACATGAAACTGTCGAAGTATATCCTCAACGGACTCTCCCTGTTCCTACGTAGCCAGTCTTACTTTGATTTAGCCAGAAGAACTTGAACAAGTTCTTGTACTTCAACGTCATCTCCATAATCCCCAGTGTAAAACTGTTCTTGTTCCCAGAATGGAGCCGCTTTGATTATGGCTCTCAGAGCCACAGTGTATGTAAAGTAAAGATTCTTCAGCCATGTTGGACCTGCCGTTACCCACGGAACAAACATGCAGAAAAAAAAAAACCCTTGAAACCTTCGGCATAACTTTTCATGGAATGAAAATAGCCACTGAAAAAAAAACGAAGAATTGAGAGATCACCACACAAGCAAAAGCCAGATTATTCAAACAAAATTTCTGCTTTAAATTTTTCTCATGTAACTTAAACAGTACCTTCCCCGCTTGTAGTTTCAGGATCAAATCTTCTTCTAAACTCCTCGACGTTCTCACCCCATCTTGGTTTCATGAAACCATTACCTAACAATAAATCGTGTACGATACAGAACAGAGATTTCAGTTTCAAAGATTTCATGTTTTTGAAAACTGCGTAGTTGTAAAACCTATAAAACAAATAGGTGCCAGTGACAAAATACATCTGCATGCGTTAGTACTGAGATTTTATCATCATCTTTTATGTTAAACGTAAGTTAAGGAAGTCTAAAAGTCCCATGACGTTCATGCAACGTAAAAAAAATCATAACGCTCATTTGATGCTACAAAGGGGACACTCTGGTAACTCTTACCTTTAAATAGGTAAATGGCAGACAAATGAATATTGATGCTAGCATGGAGGCCTGACATCATCCGATAGAACACTCGCTTCTCTAGACACATTTCTACAATGAATACAAACATGCGGTTTTTAGAGATTAATGCGCCGTAGTAGTTTTTGTTTAAGATAAAGCACAAAATTGCCGCAGTAAAAGTTAAAAAAAGGAACAACGTAGGTGAATGGTAGTGTGTATATATTTAAAAACACCTTTGTGCTGAATGGGAACCCTTGGACTACGAGCAGTCGCGCCCGTTTCCTTTCTGGCTAAGTCTATCGCGCCCGTCTCCTTTTTGGCTAAGAATATCGCGCGCGTCAAAGAAAACCAGCGTAAAAAGAAATGATGTGCACTCTTAAAGTGAGGTACTCCCAGAGTTCCGTGCGGCGCGCTAAAATCAAAAGGAGGACTAGTCGTAGTCTAGGGAACTCTGTCAAACTAAATTTTGTGAATGAAAAAAAAAAACTATTCCCAGGTGCAGTTTTTGACATACTATATTAACATTTGCAGCAATACATCCTTTCGCAGAAACCCTTAAATCAAGCTTTGTATGCCTGTAATTAGAAAACGAGTTTTATGACCTCCAATATTCATAACTGAAAATGTAATCAGCATATCAAGCTCAAATTTTGTGCAAAGATTTGAAATCTGTGCTAGGGGTGCTAAGCTACTTTAAATTATCAACAAAATGAAGTGTGTCTGCAACCAAAGAATAAATTTGTTCCCCTTCCTTGTTGATGTTGAGTCCGTATTATGATTGCGCTATTTTCATATGACTGTCAAAGGTAATTCGAATATTGCATTGGTTTCATATTCTTCGCTCGGTGATTGGTCTAGAAAACTCGCGCCTTTCTCTGAACCAATCAGATGCAAAACTAAGACCAAATCAGCTTTAGAAAAAACCAGGAAAGATTTATTACTCGACGTTTCGGGGTCATCGTGACTCCATTATCAAGAGACTAGTTCAAAAACATGCAAATAAGGAAAGGTACAAGAATAGCATAAATTAGAATGAACGGCTTAAACAAACACCTTGGCGCGGATGGAATCCGTTTGCACGTTCAGTGTTGGCTTACGCATGCGAATATACAACATTTCATTAACAAGGCAATCAAATTTGCCGTTACATTTCGCGATGACGTTGAATTGCTCGATCAAGCGTTCAGGCATTTCACTATTGTGCTGGAGGTGGTAGTGTTTGTAGATGGAAGATGATTTCCTTGTGTGCCCTTCTACGCGCTCGTGTAAGTGACCACGAGTATAGCCCACATACCCTGCATCACACAGGTTACATTGAAATTCATAAACGATACATTGTTGGTTAACAATAGGGGGCTTAATTTCGTGTTGCTTAAGCTGTTGATCGAGCTTAGGGCTAACGAACACTGGTTGGACAGTCACGCTTAACTTCGAGCTTAGACTGTTCAGTTGTTGTTTAACATGATTAGCTGACGACTGGTCCTTGAAGGGTAACACTAATCTCACAATCTCCGATGGTACGTCTGGTGATGGACAGGGATCTGCAGATGAAATCCTTCTCTCAACGAACCGCTTAATTGTAGTTTCAACCAGTGGCTTTGGGTATTTCAAGTTATGAAAAACCCTTCTAAGGCGGTCACATTCCTCGGAGAAGAAAGACCAGTTAGAAGATAATCGATAAGCGCGATCCACCATGGTGTTAACTAGGCTGCGCTTGTACTTAATGTCAACATGACTCTGGAAATGCAGAAGGAGACCCGTGTTGGTTCTTTTGATGTAGACCTTGCTCTCAATCTTTGGTGCACGGTTAAGCAGTTCAGTTCCTAGAAAGGGAAGGGATCCTTCCCGTTCGACTTCCATGGTAAACTGGAGGGAGGGATGGGTAGAGTTAAGGGTGTCTAGAAACTGGCCAGCGGTCACCCTATCAGGCATTACGGTCAGGGTGTCATCGACGTACCTCCGGTAATAGCGCGGAAGTTGACCGTGTTGTTCGAGGTTTTCCTCAATCGAGCACATGAAGACGTTAGCCAGCAACGGTCCAAGGGGAGAACCCATAGCGACTCCATCTGTCTGCTCCGTCGACTCGGAGAGACCGAGAACCAGAGGACGACCTCCTAAGTATTACCACCCTCTCCTTCAGAAAGAAAGGGAGTTGGAAACTCTCGTTCGAAAGATTCTACCGAAATCCATTGCTGACGCTCTCCGCCCGAAAGGGTCCAGACTCGCACACTTGTATGGCTTGCCGAAGACACATAAAGAACAGTTGGCCGTGCGGCCAATACTCTCTGCTACTAACACCTACAATTACTCGCTAGCGAAATGGCTTGACGACAAATTGAAACCCCTGTCGTGCAACCAATATACAGTGACAGACACATTCCGCTTTGCTGATGAAGTACGAGGCTTCGAGATCAAGAACGGCGAAATTTTAGTTTCCTATGACGTCACCTCATTGTTTACAAATGTACCATTGGAGGAAACAATACAGATCTTAGCTGAAAAAGCCTTTGCCCAGGATTGGTTCAACGAGACGCACAGCTTGAACATCTCTAAAGCGGACCTAATCGACCTCCTCCGAGCAGCTACGAAAAACCAGCTTTTCCAGTTTGACGGTGCTTTATATGAGCAGACAGATGGAGTCGCTATGGGTTCTCCCCTTGGACCGTTGCTGGCTAACGTCTTCATGTGCTCGATTGAGGAAAACCTCGAACAACACGGTCAACTTCCGCGCTATTACCGGAGGTACGTCGATGACACCCTGACCGTAATGCCTGATAGGGTGACCGCTGGCCAGTTTCTAGACACCCTTAACTCTACCCATCCCTCCCTCCAGTTTACCATGGAAGTCGAACGGGAAGGATCCCTTCCCTTTCTAGGAACTGAACTGCTTAACCGTGCACCAAAGATTGAGAGCAAGGTCTACATCAAAAGAACCAACACGGGTCTCCTTCTGCATTTCCAGAGTCATGTTGACATTAAGTACAAGCGCAGCCTAGTTAACACCATGGTGGATCGCGCTTATCGATTATCTTCTAACTGGTCTTTCTTCTCCGAGGAATGTGACCGCCTTAGAAGGGTTTTTCATAACTTGAAATACCCAAAGCCACTGGTTGAAACTACAATTAAGCGGTTCGTTGAGAGAAGGATTTCATCTGCAGATCCCTGTCCATCACCAGACGTACCATCGGAGATTGTGAGATTAGTGTTACCCTTCAAGGACCAGTCGTCAGCTAATCATGTTAAACAACAACTGAACAGTCTAAGCTCGAAGTTAAGCGTGACTGTCCAACCAGTGTTCGTTAGCCCTAAGCTCGATCAACAGCTTAAGCAACACGAAATTAAGCCCCCTATTGTTAACCAACAATGTATCGTTTATGAATTTCAATGTAACCTGTGTGATGCAGGGTATGTGGGCTATACTCGTGGTCACTTACACGAGCGCGTAGAAGGGCACACAAGGAAATCATCTTCCATCTACAAACACTACCACCTCCAGCACAATAGTGAAATGCCTGAACGCTTGATCGAGCAATTCAACGTCATCGCGAAATGTAACGGCAAATTTGATTGCCTTGTTAATGAAATGTTGTATATTCGCATGCGTAAGCCAACACTGAACGTGCAAACGGATTCCATCCGCGCCAAGGTGTTTGTTTAAGCCGTTCATTCTAATTTATGCTATTCTTGTACCTTTCCTTATTTGCATGTTTTTGAACTAGTCTCTTGATAATGGAGTCACGATGACCCCGAAACGTCGAGTAATAAATCTTTCCTGGTTTTTTCTATGCCTTTGCTTTAGCAAATCCCTGCTGATCAAATCAGCTTTAGGCAGTTTGGCTGTTTTTACTTTGAGTTCTCATTGGCTCTTGAAGTTATTGTCCTTTATTCAGATCGGCTGTTACGTTTAATTTGGTTTTGGTTATTTCGACTTGAAAAGCGCTCTATACTACAACTATTCCGGATTACTTTAGTTAACTGAATAATAATAATAATAATAATAAACAAAAAGAAACGACAACGAAACTATGACTTACCATCAACATTTTTGGATGTTACAACCCCATAACGTTTCCCATAAGGAGACGTCGGTCTGAGAGAAAAACAATGACACGAATTACAGGCATTATTTATGTTTAACCCTTTAACTCCCATAAGTGACCAAGAGAGAATTTCTCCTTGCAATATCAAGAAAAAAAGCAATGAGAACAAAGAAAAATATCAAGTTAGGGATTCAAGTCATTAGTTGATCCAATATCAATCTCGTCGAACTACTAAATTATTTTTGAAACAAAATTGAGCTTGAGTGAATGAGAAAGTTAAACAATATATTTCTGAAGGACAGTGACTAAGTATTGTCTTTCTTTTAACAAGAAAATATGCTTTCCTTCAATGAAATCTCAATGATTCTGGACCAGACTTGAGTCAAAGAAAATACCTCCTTAGTTCAAGGAGATAACAGATGTAAATGCCACTTACTTGAAGCAATTTTCCTTGTAAATATTATTCCAAACTCTTTGAGCAGAGAATCCTGCATATCCTGTAAATCTTTCAGGATTTCTCAGTAGGTCGACATACTCCATCCCAGAAGATGACTCATCTGCAACACAATTACAATGAATACATTGAGATTTCAGTGCATAATCAAATACATTTTTTTTGCATGTAAATAATAATACTGCTAATCAGTTTTTGGCAATTTTGCAATATAAGAGGCGATGAAGTCAAGTCAAACTAATGCCTGTAGCCATAGACCAGAGAGCTAAAGGATGAAAAAAAAAAAAAAAAGATTTTGATACTTTATCACTGGGAGAAGCCTAATAAAAGGTAAATACCAAAAGAAGCTCACAATTTTAAGGGGGATAGCAAACTTGCCTCTGATGTACAAAGTTGATCCCTGAGAAAAGCAAAGTGGAAGGGGAATCTCATGTCCTTCACTTGTTGCACAACTTTTAATAAATATTTCCCTAAAAGAATTCTACATGTAACAAGATGACAGATACTTCCCCACTCTCTTCCCCACCACCCCCAACAAAGAAATATTTTAACACAGAGGCTTCTGATCACCAGCTCACAAATTTGACCTTTCCACCCCAGGTATAACCAATGAGGAACTCCTCCTAACAACATCATTACATTTTCAAGAAGAAAGATGATGAAGAGAAAAAATAGTACTGTATGATTTAACAACAAATTCATCGAGCTATAACATCACAGGATAATTTTGGTTTTATCAACTGAGTTGATAATGCAAATTAACCACCATAGAGAGCTTCAAACCTGACAAATTTTCAAACATTAGCCCTTTATCAGTGAGAGCAAATGAATGCTTAAGTTCATTAAAGGACCTTGATGGCAGACAGTGTGGAGAATTGATATCCAGAACTAATGAGAGAAAGAGGCGTGAATCTCAAATAATTATACTTGACTCACCATCCAACTCACAGAAGTTATCTTCAGCATCATCATGAGCATGCCATGCTTCAAATGCTTGTTTGTCTTCATCACTGAATAAAATTCACACAAAGAATTTAATATTAAGCTTTCCAAGAAAAGTGTGCTTTAGGAACTACACATTTCATGCTCCTCAATCCCAGAGTTCTGCAAGGAACACCAACATCCTTTTTTATTTTATTATCTTTTTTTAATTGTGCAACAGACTTTGCACATAGGGGTCTGCTCTTAGTCTACAAAAAGCTGAGCAACCCTGGAAGATACCAGCGGAAAAAAGAAGGGATATAAAAAGAAAGAGCAAGATTCAATAAAAAAAAAACTGCTTATTATATAAGCTTCATGTGGGTTGGGCCTAACAAGAAAGTATAATTGGCTCTTGATCATGAAGTATGCACTGAGCAAAGAGAGGTTCCCATGTCATCAATGACTCCAGCCAAATGTTATCCTGTCCAACAATTCCACTAAGTCAGTAAGTGCATGTAACTGAACAGGTAGAGCATAATCAATAATCAAAGCAAACATTTGTTGTGAATGGTGAAATACCTGATAGTACTGTCAATTTCACCAAGGATGGTCTCATTGTCTGAAGACTGGCAACTTTCACCTTTTTTATCCTGTTGAGATTTGAGGGAATGTAAAGATTCAGATACACATGTTCAAACTGGTTGAAATCCATTTTTCACCAATTTTACAAGTAAATAAGAACAAAACTATTTGGCAATAAATCCATGTATTCAGTTTTACATATAAATGATCACAAACATTTTCTAAAGCAATAACTGTTTGCAAAAGGACATTAAAAACTTAAATAATAAAAAAAGAAGCAAGACAAGTGAACAAAACCCCAAACAATTGCCATTTTATGACTTGCAGCAGAGGATAAAATAGAATGTAAGTTTAGAAAAATTCAAATTACCTCACTGTTTGATTGCATTTTATGTGTGCTTCCCTTACGGTTTAAACTCCCATTACCTGGCCGTCTCCCCTGTTAGATTTCAAGTGATTAATGCCAAAAGAAAGTTAGAGTTATAAGCTAACTAAAGATTCAAGAAGCCAGGGAAATAAAGTAGCCACAATTGTCAAATTTGCCCCAACTCTCATTTAAGGCTGCATGATTAGAAAAAATGGAAAAAAATTTTGTACGAGTTTTTTTTTAAGTTTTCCAGTTCCATGTACCAGCCAAGGCTCTGTCTCTTCATGAAAGGTAGAGCCAAAATATTCACCATCTAGATGATATTATTTGGAGCTTAATAATATGAAGAACCATTATATTATTAAACACTTGAATGTCTAATGCATGTACATTTAAGCCTAAATCAAAAGACAAAATAATATACTGGCTTCAGTACTAAATCTCAACATTTACCTCAGCTTTGATGCCCTCAGGAAGTTCCTCCTGGCAGAAATTTCCTCCTGGTCTTAATAAATTAAAACATTTGTCATATAGGGTCTTAATAAATACAATATTATCTTTGACAATACTATAATAAGCAAACATTTTTCACACTATATATATATATATATAATGTATGTATTTTATAGACACTGATGAAATACCTACATAAAATTTCAAAAGAACCCGCCATGTGCCTGAGCAGGAAGCTCTCTTGTAATTGGCTAATCATTTTAGTAACCATGGCAACACCAATATCCTCACATGTGAAAGATAAAAATAGTATCTTCACAGCGTGTGTAAGGATATGATTTTTTAGTAAAAGGAAAAATCGTGGTATTTCATCAGTACCTATATAATAAACTACAATGTATTACAATACAAAACATTATATCTGTACCTGTGATAAACACATCGGACTCCCCCTGCACATTCAACCAATTTTGTAATTACTTGTATAATTATAGTAGACTGAATTGGACTCCACTCAGTCCTGTTGCCATTACAAACAACAGATACACAAATGGTTCATGATCATACGCAAACAACTAAAAAATTGTATGTTTCATTTCCCTTTTATCCATACAAAATACTGCTGTGAGACGCATCAAATGTGTTTCCACCATTTAATTTCAAACATGAAACAATTTGCATGAACACTTGTTATCATATTCTTATTTACAACAGAGTAAAGTCACCACCATTACATGCACATGTAGCTGATTAAAATGTATCAATCACCCATACCTCCTTACAAGCTGATACAGAACAATCTTTCAGAGCACAAGCACCATCATCTGGCCAAAATGGGCATGGCCTGTTGAGATTAACCTTCAACAAAAATAAATAAATGGTCATTATACTTAATTTTCCTATGAAAATTCAAACAAAATTTCTGTTTAATTTACAATGTAAAAGCAACTGTAACTTAAGACCACAAAACTAATATAAAGCAAAGTTTTAAAGATTTTGAAACATGTTTTTGGTATCAACTTTTACAGTGTAAAATAGACTTAAATCAAGGAAATCTCTTGCATAAATTTATTACCCTGATTCAGTATTTATTTCTGTAGAATTTCTTATGACAGATGGGAATTTAATCAGGCATATTTAGTTTGTAAGGACTTGTAGAAAACAGTGTCATACAGATTCCAATATTATTATAAAAATTTGTTAGAAAATTTCATTCATTTTATTCAATCCTAGTACAGTAATGATATTGTAATGTTCCATACCCTGAAAAACTTGAAGAAATTTTTTGTAACCAGTTCACTTATGACTGGATGAATTTCCTTGTTTATTTGATCCACTGTCTCTACATCACAACAACACTCTTCTGGTTTCCCTGATAACTAAGCATAACAAAAGCAGAAGACAATTAGTAAAAGTAATTTTCAATTCCATAAATGTGCAATCTACAAAACAACAACTGGAGGATACGCTGTGGTTTGACACACATGCAGCAATATCAAATTTTGTACATATGCTGCTCATTTCAGCACTTGCTTCTCTTATGCAGTTGTCAGAATTCTCCCATATTTTAAGCACAGCAGGTTAAAGAAATTTGCAAACCAGTAGAGCAATCCTTTTCCTTGTTATATTTTCAGGAATTCCAAGCAATTTTAGGCAGTAGCGAGAGGTACTACACACAGTAGTATGAGGTACTTCTACACACCCTCATTTTACACACATGCAATTTTCATTCTTGAGGAGTGGCTGTAATCAAGTTGACAAAAATTAATGGTAGCTCACGACTATTAATTTATTACTACTGGTAAATACACATTTCCTTATAAACAAGTACAATTCCAGCCCTACTCTATTGATGTTACTGAATTAATAATATTTAGTGAATAGAAGACAGATTTATTAAGGAGACAGAGTAAAAATTGGTTGCTAGAGGTTCAGTTATATTACCTATATTCTGAAGGAAATTAAACTCATCAATTATATAGGGTGATATAGCATTCCAATTTCCTGATATTACATGTAAGATGAAGCAAATCGAAATCACTTTACCAAGTAAATAATTCAATTAAATACTGGCATATTTCACCCAGTTTTCTCATATTTGAAGGTAACTTTTCCATGTCCCGTGACACTAACTTAACCCTTTAATTCCCATGAGTAACCAAGACAGAATTTCTCCTTACAATACTAATACAATATCAACCAGATAAGTGATGGAAATAAAGAAAACTATCAATTTGGGGATAATTAGTTGATCCAATACTAAATTCTCTGAACTAACATTATAAGAATTGTATGGTTGACAGTAAGGAGAATGACAAATTTGATCTGCAAGTTAAAGAGTTAAGTGCACATCCACTCTTTTTATAGATATTTACATATTCAAAACGTTCTGTCTCAAAGTTTCAGTTTAAAAATTTCATTGTTAGGGTATTTTATCTTCTTGATATATTGGATTCAAATCGTCAGAGGAAAGAAGTATCTGAAAAACAGTATAACATGAACAAGAATATGATTGATCAACAGCGCATCTAGTCTACAAATATACGATTTACAAAAGGAATGATTCACTTAATATTGGCTTTTTAAAAGAAATCCTTCACATTTTAATGCATTTGAGGTCTCCTTAAGTTTAGAGTGGGTTGCTGAACAAATTTACTTTCAGGATAAAACTGAAATGTGTAAAATAGCTTCAATAAACATGGACAAAATTAATGGTTCCCAAAAAAGACTTAATACTTCATTATAAACAGAAAAAAAAAATCACTCACTAAAACAAAAGGGCCTTTGAAGAAATAGAGGAAGTCAACAAACAATTGGCTTGACAATATGAAAATTTTGACAATAATATGAATATGTATACCCACACAACTAAGTAATAAACAGAACTTTTCATTTTACCACTTTCTGCCACAATTTTTTCTTAATTTATTATTTTTAGTTGAGTTGATAATGAAGGGTCAATTTTCTATTTGAAATGCCACCTTGTAAAAAGACTGACTTTTTCACTTTTTTGCAGGTGGAATGTAAAGTGTACCCCATTATCATTAAACCACTCAGGTTAAGAACTTGTCAATATCATTTGACAGGAGTCTGCAAAATTTAATTGCGATAAGTTTTGCTCGACGCAAAAATATTTTAGGAAAATTTTACTTGCTGATGTATTTGGCCTAAATTTGTCCCAACAAGTTCACTGGTGGAATACTCATCACGGTCAAGGAAAACAACATCTGCTACATCTGCATGTCGCTTCCAGTCAACACTAAATTAAAATTTTTCATTCGATAGTAAACCAATTGCAATCGGCCACGAGGAAACTTGACAAAAGGGAGGGTATAATTTTTATTTTTCTCATTCAAGTTTACAGTTTGATTCAAAAATAACAACAGGACTTCCAGGGGCTTGAGAGAAATTTTCCGCTCATCAGCGAGGAAAAAAAATAGTTGCGAGTGAAGGTCACACAATCTTGTGTACATGTACATATAAATTTCATGTGTCGAATTGCATAACTTTCCGATCGATAAAAGCTCATTGTATACATTTACATGCTTGACAGAAGCTCCTACAAATTTTGTACTCGTAGCTTCTAAGTGTTTACATGTCGAATGTCGCTATGGCGAGTGATTTCAGAGTGACACCATACTGATTCAAATATAATTTCAAAACATGACTTCACTCTCGGACACAATTGCTGTAATTTTTCGTGGACAATCGGTTGAATTTTTTCCTCCATAACAAATAATCTTCCTGGATACGATAAAAAAAAACTGCCAGAATACTGTATGAAATTCTACTGTACAGTTAAAATTTAAGATTCAGCCAAGCGAACCAGCTGTCTGATGGCCGGTGGCTCGCTTCAGCAATTACAGGAACACAAACATGGACCTGTCTTTGCCAGCCACAAACAGTACCTACCTTACAGAAACATCTCTCTGTCGACGAATCGAACCACCCAGGTGACACAAAGTACACCAAAAACCAAAGACTCAATAGAAAATACTTATTCATCATAGGAGAATTCCAGTGGGCAAACAGTAATTTACATGTTAGCGTTGAAATTAAAGAGCAATTTCGAGGTTCGCGGCATAGATAGCGCATGCGCTAGTGGAGTTCGCCGCGCTTCACTGCGCTATAAAATGTGGCCGATGGGGATTGGCTCAGAACGGTAAGAACAAGCTTTGATGTTAAGTCAGCTGCCGCGACCCATGACTGCGATCAAAAAAAGCTCCACCAAACTACTTTACAAACCTCACTGAACTGAAATGCTGATTAATTCATTGAGGAAGAGGTTAACTTCTATTGCTATTTGCTTTTGGGCCCTTACAGATTGTGCATGTAAATGTAGCACATTACGCCACTAGCATTGCTTGATTTTTCCTAAAGAATGCTCAAAATTATCCTTATCTTTTAAAATTATGTATTTTTTCCGAAAAAAAGAGTCACAATTACGTATGCATTGATAACATGGCATACGTTCTTTATTTTGAGTACTTGGTCTGACAAAACAGAGTTTACTATTGCATTTAATTCCAAATTACGATCCTAGCATCACGTTTCTCTTCAAAATCATTTTATTGCCCGGCCATGAAGGCAGGATCCGGGATCGACACAATTTTTATTTCAGGTGGTGAAAAGAATCAATCTTAGAGACCAAACAAGTCATTAAAAAAAATAATATAATGACTATCCTAGCAGGGCTACTGTCGTGAAAATAGCAAAATTTATGCACGGTCTTTCCAAATTATGCTAAAAATTGTGCTAGCACAATATCAAAAAGGTCTATTTGCTTCTGGAAATCAATAATTCAGTTTTGATTCAGAGGAAAAGTAAAGAGCAGCCATGATAAAATATTGTTTGAGATGTCGTTTTTCTTCAAACAGTTTTTTTATGGGTCTTTTATGTGAGGTTTTCTTGCCATGATTTCTAATTTTTGTTTTGAATCCGTGTATTTTATAAAATGAATTGGCAGGTTTAGCTCATTTTGCTGTCATTTAGTATTTTCTCCCATATATATACCGCAGAAAATAATTTGTACAGCCTACCTATAATCTCAAAAGTATGTTGGACGAACATAAGCCTATAGCTTAATCAATTTTTCAAATCTCATCAAACTAGACTTGATTTATCTAGAAAAACAGAGAGGGAAAGAAGCAAGTGATGCCTGGTTTTTTTTTTCTTTTTTCAAGTTTGTCTGTATATTTTTTCCTTCTTTTGTCATTTTTGTTTGTTTGTTTGTTTTTTTGGTTCGCTTTTTTGTTTGTTTGTTTTTTTCGCTTGTTTGTATGTTTACCTTGCTTGTTTGTTTTATTATGTTGATTTAGCAATGGGCGGAGACGGGTTAATCAGTAATCAGAGTGAGAACGGAAGAGGAAAGGTGGGGGGGGGAGCATACACATGGGAGTGACGCATAACAGGACACGGTCTTTGAGGTCTTCAGTCTTGCTATTCAGATTCTCGTAAAGGTTGTAACTCTGGATCAGAAGCCTTGAAAAAGGTTTCAGTGACTGTTAAGCGTGGAATGCAAATATATTAACAGCAACCTGTTTTAAATCTAATCTTTGCTCCATGGATTGACTGAATATCATGAGAGCACTGCTCCAAATTCTTCAAACTGACTCTGAATTAGTCAATGTCAAGATCGCCCCACAATGGTTTTTTATCACAGAGGTGCTCTCTAAATAGCAGTGGAAAGAATAGCCGGAATTAAAGTTTTTAGTTGCAATGCTGGACCATTTCTTTCTTGGGAGAGGGGGCCTGATGATCGGTCGGATCACGTGACTTCCGTTAGATCCCAGAAAAACGGGGAATTCTCATCACTTATTTTATCTCTTAGCAACAGGTGACCGTAAAACAGCCACCCGTCAAAATTAAACAGATCAGATTTATTTCCACTCATATCGGCGGTTATTTTAAGAAAATATATTGAATGGTGAGGAAATAAAGGGTGTTATTTTGTATATGACGCCAGCAAAATTTACCATCTGGTTGTGAAAACATTGAGCCAATTTCTGGTGCTCTGATTGTGTCCCTCTGCATCACAAACATGAGATAGAAATTGGTGAAATTTATTCCTTACTGCATGAGATTGCTTCCTTAATAGGACACACATCGACGAAAAGTAAATGCACTTGCATTTGGGTTCTCAATTGGTGACCCCAAAGACAAACTTGCATTACACAACTGTTACGCACGAGAGATCATCAGGACTCACCTTACTGCCGAATACAAACGTTTTGCATGGATCATTTACGCAAGCAGGAAGAATCTCCTTTCCAACAGGGTATCAAAAGCAACGACAGAGCTGAGAGGCATGCAGAAATAAACACACACTCAGAACCAGAGGAAAGAGAGATGAACTCCGAGGGCGAAACTTATTTGCCAAAAACGTTTCATCTTTTATCTGTGGTCGGACCTGGCCCAAAGCATGGTGAAAATTTTACAGCTATTCATCTGTTTTATCTTATAGTTTTTCTACTGATTATCATATCTTCCTACGGATTATATCAACCTGCCGTAAACGCTACCTTAGCTGAAAAAATCTTCTGCTCCCTCAACAATAGCATTTCAGCGACAAATTGTCAAACTATGTTGCCATATTCGCTAATTTATCGCATCTTCTTCGCGACTTCGGTTTTCTTTCTGATTTTATGCGTGATTTTTTACTGCTGTTCCAAAAATCATAACATCAGCATCAGAGTCCATTCCGGGTTCTGGATTCCAAAATTTGCGTTCCTCACGTTGCTCATATTTTGCGCGCTAAATATTCCTAGGGGCGGTTTTGGATTGGCATGGATGTATTTTGGAATGGTTGGATCGTTTCTTTACACGCTTATACAATTTGTATTCGTGTTGGACGCCACCAAAGGCTGGAATGAATTTCTGACTAAAAAAATGGACGACACCACCTCCGCCAAATTCTGGAACTTTCTAAGACTATTATCCGCCAGTGCCATGTATCTTTCATCATCAATTGTGGTAATTCTTTTGTTCTTGTTGTACACCAAACACGACAGTTGTAGAACTAATTTATTTCTCCTTATAGGAACTGTTTTATTGTGTGGGATAGCCATTGTTATTTCAGTGTTTCTGGATTCCTATCCAGAGCGATTGATGCAGACGAGTTTCGTGACGATGTACACGACGTATTTGATTTATGCCTCGCTCAGGTATGGACAAAGCGAATGCGACGCCGAACGAGACTACGCAATTAAGACTGGAAACCAGCCTGATTTGAATTTGTATTCGGTGGCTGACGTGTTGATAATCTTCTGCTTGGTAGCATTTGCATGTTTGCGGGCACCACAGCCCTATTACAGGAAATTCGGACGAGTTATAATTTCTAGGGGGAGGATATTAACTGGAAAAGACAAAAGCTGCAGTTCTTCGTTTCTGCATTTTGTATTTTCATTGTTTTCAGTCCATCTCATGATGGTCATAACAAACTGGTACAATCCTAGAGAAACGCATTATGGAGAGGAAGCGGTAAACTGGGTTGCACTCACACTGAAAACATTTTCCAGTCTCGTCTCTATATTTCTTTACATTTGGAGTCTTATTGCTCCAAGTATATTTCCCGACCGTGACGTGCACTCCATACAAGGCATTTTGACCTCTCTTGCGACATTCACGTGTAAAGCACTTTACGTCGTGTTCATTAAACCGTGTCCTTGGTGGAATCAATCGAAATCAACTAGGTTCGCATATACCTTCCTCCTATTGGCTGGAACGGTCGCGTCCTGCACGATGTATCTTCCCGCCGTTAGACGCGCGCTCGAAAGTAACCCTTATTTCTGTAGCAGACTTACAAAGATGGGAAATTGTCTAAGTATGGATCCAGCCTACTTAGCAGTGTACAGGATTTGCTTTTCCATGGCGGCGTTCTTCCTGCTATTCGCAATGATTCTTTACTCAGTCGAATTTCACAGCGACCCTCGAGCCTTGATCCATAATGCATTGTGGTTGGTCAAATTTGGCCTGTTTTTCGGTCTTGTCCTCTGCACCTTTTTCATTCCCATGGAATTCAGTAAAGTTTGGATGTACTTCGGACTTATAGGCACTTCCATGTTCATTATTATCCAGCTGTTTCTGCTAGTGGATTTCACGCGAGTTTGGAACAAAACCTGGGCGCGAAAAATGGAAAAAACAGGTAAAAGATGTTGGTTTTACTTAGTGTTTGCATGCACCGTTATCTTTTATGGAATCTCTGCCGCAGCCATTGTCTGCTTCTATGTTTTCTTCGGTGCTTCGTATAAATGTAAAACAAACAAGATGTTTGTGAGTATTAACCTGGTTCTCTGCGCCGTGGCAGCCATTATATCGATCCATCCCATGGTCCAAGATGGCGGCTTACTTCAGTCTTCTGTAGTAACAGCTTATTCGGTGTACCTTACTTGGTCGGCACTATCTTACAATCCTAACGAGCGGTGCAATCCAGTTGCAACGTACGTTTCTGAAGCAGACATGAGGCCCAACCTTAACATTCAAGCTTCGTTAGACTTGTGCTTATTGGTGATTACTATCATATATTTCAGCGTTCGGGTGTCGCCAATAACAGACACCTTACGAGAACTGATTGCGACCACACTTCGGCTCATCGTCGGACTTCGCCGACGAAAGGTCAAAGACGGCGAGGACCAGTCTCCGGACAAAGAGCGAGGCAATGAAGCTGCTCTGCATGAAAACGAATCTTCGCAACAATTATTTGAATTTTCCGATGAAAAAGTTCCATATAGCTATTCGTTCTTCCATTTTGTGTATTTCGTTGCTGCAATTCACTTAACGATGGTGTTAACAAACTGGTATTCTCCAAAGGATGGTTCAAACATCAAGCTATCTATTGCATGGGCAGCCATGAGCATAAAAATGACTTCAAGTTCTATGTGTGTTCTCCTGTACATTTGGAGTTTAGCGGTACCTATTTTATTGTACACTAAGAAACCTTGTTAGCTTTCTTCACGAGCGACCTCATTTCAAGACGAAGTAAAAAATACATTCATATTGAAAGGACTGTCGAAATGATTGTTTTCCGAAGCGAGAAACAGCGCGAAACAGATTACGAAAAAACACTGAAAGGGTATCGGACGAGGAGGAGCAATATTGCCAATTGCCGGATACTACTGATGTTTGACATGGTTGCATACGCACAAATTTTAGTTAGTTAGTTAGGTCTTTCATATTTGGTACTCAACAGAAAAGAAAAGAAAATAGGTTTTCTTTTGCCATGGGATAATCTCTTGATTTTGTAATAGATTGAAACTTCTGTCCTTTCAAAGACATTCCCGGTTATTATAATGGCCTTTAATTTTTGAGGGCTGGAAACTAGACGTTTTTAATAAAATCCTTCGCAGCTCTCAGAAAAGAACTACATTTTAGTGGCATGCGATTGCATGTTTGAGTCGACTCATTCTGTTACCTTTTGCACTCTTTCCAGCGTTGATACCTCCCTACATGCTCCCACGAGGAGTGTGACCTGTTAAGTGAATAAAGCTTTTTCCTTCTTGCGTTACCCCGAATTTGGCCATTTACAGATATCCGCTTTCTACGTACACACAGGCATACCCTCAGGATGCGGAAAGAATAAACCGTCAAGGAGTCTTTCAAACCTGTGTCGTATTACTCCCTCTTTTCTTGTGCTTCAAGCGAAACGATTGGCTTCAGTAAACTGAGCTGGGTCTTTAACAACGAGCTTGCGTAGTTAGCAAACAAAGCTTTATTGTAGAGGAGTAAAAACGGTGTCCTCACTCCGGTAACGATCGCCCTCTACGGACGCAAAGACCCCTTTCTCATCCCAATTCTGTAAGCCGGTCAATCAGGCTATTTTCGTTCGTACGTATTTTTTCTTTATTCATTTTTTTAACTTTTTTCAATCACTTGCATACTACAGTAAAGTAAAACAACTCTTTCAAAAAGTTAATCAACTTTATTTATCATCATTTCAAAAGTCAGAACCACGTCCAAGAAAGTACTAAATTAAGTGACGAAAAATAGATGTCAAACTAGACAATAGGACACTTGAGCGCCCAATCTTTCGAGTCGAAGATAAATCGAAATCGGGTTTATCTAAAGGATGAAACAACATAAAATTTACAATTGTATAATCATAATCAAGTTTTAAATTCTTCATAAATATTATCCCACTTTTTATCCTTCTTCCCCTTTTTGGTGATCGGTAGTAAATGTTTTGACAACAAGCCGATAAACTGACTTGAATAAAAGTTTTGAATTTAGTTCACCAATCACCGGGTAAGCGGAGTTGAAGTCAAAGTCTTTGCCAATATCAATCTTTGTCTGACTGTGAACTGACCTGAATCAAACACCTCCCTCTTCCTTCCTTCCGATTAATATAAATTTGGATACTGAAATTTTTGAAATAACGAGTAAATAAATAACTGATTGGTTTGATGGAGACAAGTGAACAATTGCACATTTTTTTTTTTCATTTACTTCAACATTTAAACTGCGCCTGGTAAAAAGGCTCGAAACAATAGCCTACTTTCAAAATTCCTTAATTTGTTTGATTTAATTACCTCATTGCCTCCTAGATTTAGAATTAAGTTAAAGTTATTTAAGCTACTTACAGACTGATCGTATGGTCTATAAATACGTTATCTCATTCTAGGTCTGTGAACTCGCCAAAACAAATATAAAACTAGTATAAGAGACCAACTCTTAGCTGGACTCAACATAAACGACATTACCCCGTAGGTATAAATCAGATTAAAACTTGATGAAGCTTGCCATATGAACATCAACACAAACACAAAATGTCCCAGGCCTTTCTTCAGGGAGTGCAACACGTAACTGTGAGAGAATTGGAAAAGATGATTCTGGGATGCGGCTTTGCTGCTTGTTGTAGTATTGTTCAGCTCCACAAAATAAGCAAGGTATAGGGTCAGCGGCAAGTTTAAAAAGAACAGCTGCAAAAAAATCAATAACTTTATTTTATTCAGTTGCGTTACTCTTCGCAACCCCCCCTTTCCTCTGCCACGCTAGGGAGCTCAGAGCATTAAGGGTGAGGTGACGGATGAGAATAGTCGCCTTACATAAAATTCAAAACTAAGAGAGTTATCGTCACAATGGTTAATTCCGTTTTTATTGCGAGTTTAACGTATGCCAAAGCAGACGAGAGTTGTTTTAAAGAAGCCCATGTCTCATACAGTGCAATCACGACACTGAACGAGAAAAATCGTTTTTATATCAGGAGTATTAAAACTACTATTACTCTGGGTTAAGAGGCCTACTGTCGTCACTAGTGTCACTTCTCTCTCTCTCTCTCTCTCTCTCTCTCTCTGCTTAAATCTCGATTCAAATAAAAGCATCCCAGAACCAAATTTCTTCAGAAATGTATAATATATAGATTTAGCCAAGCCTAAAAGCGGAGCTCGCTTTTTTTTTCCCGTACGTCTTAAGGGCACGACGTCTTACCCCGGCCAGGACTAGAACCCGGGTCGTCCGACTCGGAGCTCAGTGCACTGACCACTAGACCACTGGACAAAGCCGTGACGTTGGTGTGCCCGCGGTACAGTTGACCACGCATGTTAAAAGAAGCATCTTGTACGGTCGGTCGTACGGTCGTAAGTCCAAATTTTTTCGACTTGATGGGTTACTACTATTTTGTATAATTATTATTATACTATTACCGACACCGCATTTACTATAATCACTGTGACAACCTAACCCTCTAAACAGAATATCGTCCTCGCACCAAGTCTTTCTTACCTGCATAATTCCATAGTAGTAGGTCAAGGAGCCTGGGATCCAGTGCTGTTTTAAATACATACCATGAACAAACAGAGCACCAAGATGGCCTTGCATCATTTCACCAATGACCCACGGACCTAACGTGATACACAATACGAAACTTTCTTTTCTTTTTTTTTTAAGTTCTACCGATTGAGTTGCATATTTTTATACAACAGAATAGTGCGTTCAAAAACAGCCTGAGACACCAAATGTCAAAATAAAATAACAAAAATTGTCCAGTCCTTAACTTGAAGGTAGTTCTTCTTTTACATGGAACTGAGAGGTCAAATAAGTCAGTTGCCTAACTATATTGATCGTTCTTGTTGATCTTTTTCCTCAAAAACGTTCCAGAAAACTCTAGGAACAGAACTTTTCCAACATTTACCAACCTGTTTGGTCGGTGCTGACTGATAGTAAGAACTCTAATTGTTTTGTAAAGTTTGTTCCACTAATTTTCAACGAATGACGAGATATCAAGCGAATTGGAGAAAAAGAAACACAAAGGAAACAAAAAAAGAATAGCCGCAAGTAGAATGTAAGACAATAATACAACTAAAGGAAGAGATAACAAGCTGTTAGAAACAAAACAACAACAACAACAACGACGACGACGGCAATAACAAAAACAAACTGGTATGGAAGAGAAGTACCCACCTACACCAGTGTAAACGCCAAACAAAAACAGAGGGTAGAAGAGGTCATCGGTGTGGGCAAGAAGCCATAGGCGATTCCACCATCTTCCTAAAGCACCACAGAGAAAACCTCCGAGGAAATGAAAGATGAATGATAAATTAATAAATGAATCGATTTAATTAGTAAACATCCAAGATTTTTGGAATGTGTCCGTTGCAGGGAGGGTAGTCCCACGGATACTTCAAAGGGGGGTCCTGAGGAGAAGGTTTTGAGAAACGATTGAAAGCAGGGAAACACACACTTTATGCCGGATCTCCCTGTGGAGAGATTTCGCTCTCTACCGTCACTGAAAATTGTAAATAAACCAATCAAACTGCAAGACTGTTACTATGGCAGTAGGAACATTTAATACTCCACTATTTTGATTGGTACTTTTACCACTTGTCTTCGAGTTCTTCTAGGCCAGTGAAGGATACAACAGATAAAGCCCTTCGTATAGCGTGGACCCTAAACATAACTAGTAGTATAACGAATAGTTAAGGTATTGGGTGACTTAAAGTGCCCTGTGCTGCAGTAAGAGGACAGTCTTAGAGTGAAAAGTAATCATACGAAATAAATTTAAAGGCGTAACTATTATCCTAGTTCCAGTCCAGGGATAAAGATGGCGGCTACAACTTGGTTAACCAATGTTTGCAATCCTGAAATAGCAGACGAAGAAAGCAATAGTTTGAAGAAATCGCTCCTTGTTCTATCAACACCGTTCATGATGGGTTCAAATATTTTTTCTTTTTTTTAATTAACTTCACGCTTCTAAAAGGGTATAAGGGTTTTCTAGCTAGAAATCGTGGCAAATGTACAAATACAAGTTCAACATGATGGAGATCTGTGCTAGACTGATATATTATTCTCGACAATGAGTTGCAGAAAACAATACAAGTAAACTGTAGCGTCAATACCTTTGCATGCGGAAGAATCACAGCGCCTCACCCACCCCAGTCCTAAAACGATGGTTACAAAAGAAACACAGTATAGAACACGGCCCTGTCGAGAAGAGTTGAAAGCTCAGTTTAGTCTCAACGAAACACAAAATGACTGAAATACTCAGTTAGGCATAACATTCATGGATAAATTATTGCCATGCAGAAACGAAGAACTGTAGCTTTTGCCTTCTCCAGTTGATATCCTTCCCCTAGAAATTATAACTCGTCCAAATTTCCTGTAATAGGGCCGTGGTGCCCGCAAACATGCAAATGCTACCAAGCAGAAGATTATCAACACATCAGCCACCGAATACAAACTGAAATCAGGCCCGTTTCCAGTCTCAATTGCATAGTCTCGTTCGGCGTCGCACTCGCTTTGTCACACTCTCATTTGTAATTGTGAATACATTCACAGCGAATAGAAGTTGACCGTTTCAAAGTGTGTTTTCTGAGCTTTCTTTTATTGGTCATGGCGTTTATTTTTTGAATCGCTACTCGAACAATTCATTAATTGATTGACTGATTTATGATGCATGATACAATGAGCACTCATATCGCTCCTTTCACATCAAGGTGAGTTCGCCTGAGCTTCCAGTACTTACCAAAGTAACAAAGTCAGTCAACAGAAGAAACGCCGGAATGAGATCCAGCGTTGGACGGGATCCATCCACTGAAAACAGTTGCGTCCTCTCACTTGATCGGCCATCGGAGTCCTGTAAGATATAAAGATTAATCAGTCCGTACCACCCAGGTGATAAGTGCTTTTGGCGCGCGCTGATTGGCTTGCTTGGAAGTGATTGGCAAGTACTGTTCACTTCCGAGCGGCCAAAAAGACAAAATTGCGCATCATGAATTTAATTTCTAACCATTTTTTGACATATTGAAGAAATAAACTAATTCCTTGGTTTCTGTGTGGTACATGTTAAGACAATTAACTTATAGCGTTGTCCTCGCTACCCCAGACCGACATTTTCCCATGATACCAACTAACTCATATAAAGCAGGTAATTTAGTGTTAACAACTGGGTTGAAAACGTAAATTAGCCACCGTAAAGGGTAAAAAAAAGCTGACGTTTCGAGCGTTAGCCCTTCGTCAGAGCGATTGACGAAGGGCTAACGCTCGAAACGTCAGCTTTTTTTTACCCTTTACGGTGGCTAATTTACGTTTTCAACCCAGTTGTTAACACTAAATTACCTGCTATACTCTCTCACCGACGCAGCACCACAGTTTCTTTAGAAACTTACCCCTTTATTCATAACTCATATAAAGCACTGTACATGACAATTGAAAACCTCTGTAATGTTATTTACAGCTCGCTCGCAACTGGTTCTTCAAAGAGAGCATATTCTGCTAAACTTCTTTCATTTAAGTATCGAAGGAGAAAAGATGAGGTCGATAGGCGGAGAGGGGTGTGGATATCAATTTAAGATAACCCTCACCAAGTCCGGACCTCAAATTAGTTTAGGTATTAATTCATCTATATATAACGATCAGAATCAACTGTGTGTTTCATATGGGAGCATTTAAGAACGATCATTGAGAACTATTCCTGTTAACGCATGCGCTCCATTGATTTCGATGGCACAGACAGGGAAAGACAAAACTTCTTTCTAGTAAAGAGATCAAGGCGAAGTCACTTTCGTATCTTATCTTCAATTCAGCCGAACTAAAATTTACTTAACTTGGTCGCTGTATTTGTGTGTTGCTCAGAATATCGTCTGTTGTTTTGATCTACTCCATATTTTACTTCCGTAATTGCCAAGTCACAGTCAATAGTTACTATTTTCCCTCTAAAAAAAAATCTGGAAGCTTTCCGATCCTTTTTTTTTCTACAAACAAATCATTCTTTCAGAGGGTTTCAGTTTTCATAACTCTAAATATGCCGTGAAGATAGAATAGATTATCGTTGTGAAATATCAAAATACAAAAATACATCGAAAATGAAAGTTGGGGTTTCCCCAGGTACTAGGTAAAAAATCTGCATAATGCGGAATCAGTCGGGTTCGTTAAAGGGTAAGAAAGGACAAAGATGAACCGGTAAGGTGATTTTTTATGTCCTAGAAAAGGAGAACACTTGATTCGGTTCTTAGATGTTTTCGCTCTGTACACCTACTGGGTTAAAACCGACAACACTATCTGCTAGAACACACTTGGCTATGTATTCCTCTCAACAACATTACGTACAAATAACATTATTCTGGACCTCAAATCGGATTCAATTGACATGACAACGTATAGTTGCTGTGGGTAATTAACGGTAATTCAGCATTCAGACTTGGCCTATTTCTGTAAGCCTGAAATTTTGTCAACGAATTCATAGCGTAGACTTCGTCACCCCCGACCGACATTTTCCCATTATACCGCTGACTCACTTCACAGCCCGCGTGCAATTCGTTTCTACATTTTAGATCTTCAAAGACCGTGATTTCTACCAAACTTCTAAATTTTAGTATTGTGAGCAAAAGATGAGGTCGATGAGCGGAGAGGGGTGTTAATATCGATTTGAGATAACCCTCGCCAAGTCCGGACCTCAACGTAATAGTTGTATGGATTCATCTATATATCAAGATCTCAGTTGACAATGTGTTTCATATGGGAGCATTTAAGAACATCAATAAGAACTGCTCCTGTAAACGCATGCGCTCCTTGCATTTGGATGGCACATAAAGAACAAGAAAAATATTTTCATCTGATAAAGAAATAAAGGAAAAAACATTTTGATATTTTATCTTCACGAAATACAGCGGGACTGAAATACATGCATACCCAGTTGGTCACTGTATTTTTTGGTTGGTCAGAATAACTTGTGCTATTTTGATCTCCTCCATATTTTCCGAAATGGCTGGGTCACAGTTATTAATAAGTTATTATTGTTCCGTCTACGGAAATTTTATTCCTGCAACTTTTCAATCCTTTCTTTCCACACATAAATCTTTCTTTCGGCGGGTTAAAGTTTTTTTTGATCTCCTCCATATTTTCCGAAATGGCTGGGTCACAGTTATTAATAAGTTATTATTGTTCCGTCTACGGAAATTTAATTCCTGCAGCTTTTCAATCCTTTCTTTCTACACATAAATCTTTTTTTCGGCGGGTTAAAGTTTTGCCATAGCATAATTATGCCCGGAAGATAGGCTGGATTAACATTCTGAATTATTAATAGACCAAGACTGAAATCGAAAATGAAAGTTTGGGTTTTCCCCGTTGCAGACAATAAGGAAAAAATTTGCATAGTGCGGAATCAGAGAGAAAGCAAAGATGTCATCGAAATTTTATGCAGGAAAAGACCTGAGTCCAGTTGATCAAAAGGCGGATAACGCTATCTAACGGATACATCGCTACCCAAGGGTTAATTTTTAAGAAAACGAACAGCGCAATCCACCAGATAGAGATTTATCCAGTGGAGAGCGTTATCACCCTTCGAACAACTAGAGCTAGATTTTCTTCTCAGTAGGTTGAGAATTTGCGGGTTTGTCTCCTTACTTGAACTCTCACAGTGATAGAATGAATGCCAGATGAAAATTCTTCGGGATCCCAGCGACAAGCGTACAGTGCTCCTTTAACGTGAGTAACTTGTGAGTCGAGGGGTTTTCCATCGATTTCAATAATAGCAGATACAACGGGTGCAGGAGAGAAAGCCAAAAACCTGTTAAACATAAGTCAGAACAATTTCAAATGAGAACATTTTAGATCTTACGGTGGGTTATTGAAATTTCTGAAGTGTAATTTCAACTGGAACCATGATGTTGAACTACAAACAAGGTCATTGCCACAGTACGTTACGTCGACGGTAATGAGGTTGTAAAAGCTCAACTGCAGTAGACTAATTGTTCTAACTTTCTGTTTCTGATTGTGTGAATCTTCCGATTCTATGATTCATCAACAGTTTCCGGTTGATTATTTTACCAATAGATTTTTCCACATCTGTGTTAGTCTCCACTCCAAATATTCCACTGGAAACTATTCGGAAACAATTCCTGATATGCTGCTTATTTTGTGGGAGAATTGGAAGATCGGAATAGTCAAGAGGCACGGGTTCAAATGCCGTCGAAGCCTGAATTTGTTTCAGACAGTTTTATTCTGCAATTGACTAAATTGTACTACACCTGCGAGAATCATTTCTTTGCTTGATTTTCATCCGCAGGTCAAATGAAACTTGTTTAATTTAGAATTGAATGTATTGCCGGCAATGTGTAAAATACCTTATGTGAGAAGACTTTCTTATTCTTCCAAGAGGTTCATAGGGTGGCATAATGTAATGTGCATCTTTTGGGTTGGTTATGAGCACAACAGGCCATTTGTTCAGACGAACATCAACAAAGGAGAACATGTCATGATCTATTGCCATAACTCTGTAACTGAAATTGAAGAGAGTGGAGAATGACTGTCGACCCTAAGATCAGTATGCATATTCTCCATACTGTTCTCTATACATTCCTAAGGTGCTGACAAGGAGAATTTGTTTAACAACCAAGCTGCTTTAGTTGATGATCATTTCCTTTACTCTCATCACCTTAATGTGTGATGCAGGGGTGATAATGTTAGGAGAAATTAGATGTTAATCACTTTTAGGGGTCAATGGGTTGAGGTAGTGATTAATCTAGCATTTTTGTTCATAGGTTTTTCCAGGTCAAAGGAGAAAGTCAAAAGACATTACCTTTACCTCCCATGAATGACCAAGACAGAATCTCTCCTTACAATATCAATGCAACATCAACCACATTGGTGATGAGAGTAAAGAAAAATATCAATTTGGGAATAATTAATCAATCCAATACTAAATTCTCTGAACTAACATTATGAGAATTGTATAGTTGACAGTAAGGAGAATTACAAATTTTGATCTGGGAGTTAAAGGGTTAAGCAGTAGGCTGACAGCTTTACAGGCTGAAGTAACAAGTTACCAGTAACAGAAATTACCCTGCCAGCTTTGTTATCTGGTTTTTCCAACCCTAGGCAAATAATCATCACCATCAACAGAGCCCACCCTACTTCTTTCTCTCTTTTTTTCTTCTATGCAAGGCTTACTTTCTGGTGTCAAGCCAGTCTCCAAGTTCCAGCTCTATGTGACCATCTGTGTGAACAGCATGCATCTTGGGAAATGTTTCCAGCAGAGTGTGAAGATGACCACACAAGTAAACTCCTCCAGTCCTGAAATGGATTTACACATGCTACAAGTGGGAATGGTATACTCCTTACAATAAAGTGTGTCAATAAGGAAATATTTCCACATAAGAGTTCCTTAGGGTCCTTGTTAGAGAGGAAATAAAGTGGGAGTTTCCTAAGGAAAGAAGAGGAAAGGCAACATGTTCAGTGAGAATTACTTGCATGCAGGAGCTTTAAATATTACAGAATTTATATTGCTTTTGGGTCATTGGCTGTAGAAGATAGATCCTCATACAAACCCAGCAGAAAGGTAAACACATATATTAAATTGAATAATAAGCCACTCACTTTAAAATCCTCCGAACATAGGGAGTTGTTGTGACTGAAAAAGGATGGTGTCCAAACCAAACTGTCATATTAAATGATTTGCTAGCATCAGCTAACCTCTCCATTGCATTAATACGGTCCTGAAAGAATGAAATCTTATGATATATGATTATCCTTCAAGCAAGCCCTTATTTCATTAGGGCTGCAGGTTGTGCATTTTTCCACCTGAAGCAAGATACGAGACATGTCAGGGAGAGATTTAGGGGGTCTAGCACTACACCCTTTGCAGACTTATTGCCTGCTCAAATGCTCAAAGCCTCATAATTTCCCTTGGGTGAAGAACCAATAGTAAGGAGGGCCTCCTCATAGGCTTATATCTGACATATTTCCTATCTTTTCTACCCTCCAAGCTTCCCCCCACTTCATATCTTGATGAACACTACTCTTGCGGAAATGTGAACCAACTGTGAATAACTGTGGTATCATCTTAATTATGAGAGATGATTTTTTTCAGTCACTCAGTCAGGCACACTGAAACTCAAGAGGTTACACTTATGTTAGGAGCCTGGCTTTTTCTTAAAATTTAACAGAAAATACCATCATTCTTCAACTTACACTACCTGGTTTGTAGTACTCCTGCCAATGATCATCAATTATAGAATGTGTGTCAATTTTCACATACCTGCTCCACGTGACCAAAGAAATTAAAGGGCCTCCTTGGGCCAGGATTTGGGTTCATATCAATACCATTAAATGCATAAGAACCAAACTTGGTACTGTAGACAAACTGGTATGGCATCATGGTACCTCTGTCTCTATCTGGGCCACTGGATGAGTAATCTCTGAAAAATTCAAAGGGAACAGAATCAACCCTTCAGGCCCTGAGATTGACTGGTTTCTAACTTCTCCCTACAAAATCACCCCTGAATCAAACATTAAGGCACAAAAAAGAAGGAAATCATGACCAACTAAAGAAGCCCTTGATTGTCAAATTCTCCTCGTCAGCACCGTGGGAAATGTATAGAGAACAGTGAGGAAAATACAAATTTTAATGTTAGGGCATAAAGGGTTATTAAGCTAGTGAATTGAATGAGCTTTAAAAACTTTGGATACACTATCAACATCTCTTATTATTTCTGACAGGAACAAAAGACTACTGCACTTAAAAAGGGGAATCTAGTGGTCTATCTGCAGTCGTGGGCTTTTTTCCATGCACCCTTTATGTAATAATGACATTTGACTTTATAAATCTTTTAAGAACTAAGCATGGTAAATATATGCCTTTATAAGATAGATTGGAGTAGCTTAAAACATGTGCCTTTCTACTTCCATGTACAAGTGCACTTTACATTAAAGTTTATCTACAAGCAATGATTTTCTCTCTCACTCAGTTTAATCAATGATCTATCCTAAAGTTCAATGGTTGTGATAAAAAACACAAATTATACAAGCACCACAGAATTATCACAGCAAATACTCCCAAGTTGAAATAAAACCCCATTGATTTAGTCACAGAACTGAGCAATTCCATAACACATTTCATTTTCACCCAGAAATAATTTCCCAGTCCCGATCTATTTAAAATTTTGCCAATATCTCTTTTCAACTATTAATAAAAGCATACTTACTTGAAGAAGTTCTCCTCGCTTGTATGTGAGGGAACACTAAATGTATCTGTAAAAGAGAAAAAAACAATGCTCACGTGCAAAAGCTTCGCTCACACAATTTTGATCCATGTGCACCTGTAGACTTCTTTGCCCCCCTTCCTCCCTCTGGCCAATTACAAATAATAGAACACAGCCCCTTGCTGCCTTTGGGTCCTCTCATTTCCCAATTTTTTTCCAACATTGGATGGGCTTGAGAGTAGAAAACTGAAACTATAGAGAAAATTTATTATAGTTCACTGATTTTTTGTCAAAGTGCAATTTATGAATTGAGTTTTTTCACTCCCCATGCTGACGAAGACATAATTTCTCCTCACAACATCAATACAATATCAAGCTGACAGGTGATGAGAGGAAAGAAAATGTAAATTAGGGGATTGTTCATTGATCCAACACTAATTTCTCAGAATTAATATCAGAAGAAATATATAACAGACAATAGGGAGAATTACTGGTTAGATCTTGAGGGTAGAAGGATTAATTACATGGATCTTAAGATATTCATCTAAAGCTTCCTTACCATGATTTCCTCTCAAGTCTAACCATTTTGTCCTATCCTCAACTTTTGTTTCCTTTAGCACATTGAAATACTCTTCCCACTCTTCTTTATACTGTTTAGAACCAAGTTTGCGGACATCTTTTGCATCTGTCAAGTCACCTTTTTAATTTAAAAAAAAAAAAGATATGTTATTGGAACTAATTTTTGCAACGTCAGTCAATTTTCTATGAGCGTAAATAAGCACGATATTTGCACTGGAATTTAATTTTTTAATCATAAGTAATTTCAAACAACAAAAACAAAAGAAAATTCATTGTCTATTAGATTTGGGGGAGGGGACTGGTTAATAAACAACAGCATCCAATAGGCACAAAATGATGCACTGATATTTTTTTGCAGACATCATCTGTTCAGAGATTAGTGAACAGTTTTGCAAGAGCAGAGCTTGAGGAAAACAGTCCCTTCTTCTGTAACAATCACAAATAACTCTCTTTTTTATTACATTGTAAGCCAGGACTCATCATCTCAGATGTATGGTTTGGAAATTGGGGATCATCACTTGTGGTATATCACCAGTCAAGATATTCCCCAGTTTGAGTGGGATATAAATTATTTGGTCACATAATATATTTAGACCAATTGCACATGAGCATAAATGTTTAATGGATTATAACTGCCTATAGCTGCTACAATCTTCAACATGCACAGGATATCAAATCCAGTTATGGAATAAAAACCTAGTATAAAACTTCAAAGCAACTGCAGAATACCTGGCCATTCATTTACATGTCACTGAATAAGAAAAGCATCTATTGTGTTATGCCTCAATCTTCAAAGCCTCCCGACCTATGTAAGTGAGGCAGACCAAAGTGGCCAGGTATTCTGCAGTTTAGCCAAAACTTCAGTACCTGTGGCCAGAACCGTCACAGGCTTTATCACATCTATATTTTCATTACAAAATTTCTTCAAATCCTTTACTCTTTGATTATCACGGTATTTGCTTATATGAATGTCAGAGATCTGTAATGAAAGAGATATAAGGAAAGTAAATTTAGTCCAAGCATATTCTATATTAAGATTAAAGTATAATACCACCTGCTGTACAGAGACAACGCAACAATAAAACCATCAGGAAAAATTATTTCAGGATGGCAATAACTATAAATACGGGCGATATATTTAGTTAATATTTGGTATAATTTGCACTTCTAAAAAGTTAAATAACACGTATAAAACCAGCCGGGTAAAATTTCCGCACAGCCCCATTCTACATTATGCATAAAAACAATACATTGCCATTGGGAAAACAGATTTGTTTTACAATAGTATGGGGCTTTGCGGAAATTTTACTAACAATACATTGCCATTGGGAAAACAGATTTGTTCTACAATATTATGGGGCTGTGCCGAAATTGTACCGAAATTAGCCCACAGAAAATCCTTTCGCGATCCATATATTTTTCTTCTTCCAAAAGCCGGTCCGGAAACACTTCCTACGTATCATCATGATGTGATTAAAACGTAACAGTTTACTCCGTGACTTTACCTGAACGAACCAGAAAATATTATCCATCTTGTCGCTCGGAAATGGAGCTGAATTAGTATTTCTGTGTTGCCTAAGCGGTTGGCCGTGCCCTGTATAATAATCCAGAAGTACAGCAACAAACCATGATGAACACAAAATAACAACGAGGATGATCAGCGATAGACAGCCTCTACTACCGACCACCATGTTTTCAAACTAAAGCCTCGTTCAAAGGCACTAATCGTTTCCGGTTTTTCAGGTTGTACACATGACCGGAAGTAAAAATATTTATTTAAAAGAATCCTATCCTCGGGGAGAGACTAGGGGAGATTACGTAAATATTTACATAAGGAACAGATGTGTGTTACGAGAGGGCTGGGGGAGGTTGGTCCGTGGAGAGAGGGATGGTGAAGGGAATAAGGCTAAGAGAAAGCAAATTTACACTTTGAATATCATAATTTCGAACCCTCGAAAACATGGCTGAGGACGAAAATTAAAATTTGGATAAAAAAAACAGTTGAAATAGAATGAGAGGGGAACACCCAGACCTCCACAAGGAAGATTGTGACTGCTGAATATCGCGAACAATTTAGGGTTTTCAAATTGCTGCCACGATCGATACCGTGAGATCTTATTCTCTTAGGGATGTCACGCTTTCTCCCCCTCCGCCCTCTCCCCCCATCGCCTCTTTCCCTTCCCATCTTCCAATTGGGAGAACAGCTACTGAAGAGATTAGTGAAGAATGTTAGGATATTTACGCGTAAAAGCCGGTTGTACTTGTATATCATTAACTGATGGGTAACAGAAGACATGGTAGCGTCCAGAGCAGGCAAGTGAGTGCTCAGTATTGTCTTGGTGAAAATTATGGCTGGGTAAGAGAAATAAATTTGTACCAAAGGAGGAGGGGGGAGGGGGTGGTGGAAATGTGACGGTCACAAAGAAGGGGAGGGAAGGGGGTGGGGCATTGAATGTTCCCCTTTCCCCGCCCCCTACCCCCAACGTCGACTCTAACTCCAAATCAAACATAGTCGGTTGAATTTGCGAGCCTCTTAACGTCAACTCGCCCTAATAAGACGCCTGCACTGCAGGCTAGAGACACGATTATTGAACTGCCATTGACAATTTTTTTTTTCCTTACCACTTAACTGTGTTGAATATGAAGATCAGTTCATTCTTATCGGATCTCATCGTCTGTCCACAGAGAACATGAGATGATTCTCTCTTGCCACGGGTCAAAGATATACATGATAATTTACTTCATGCACCATATCTGAAAATTTCGTTGTTTTTTTTTAGCTTCGCTTTGTTTTTACTTTCGTTCGTCTCTGTTATAATTTTTGTTCTGTTGCGTTTGTGCCATGACCTGGTAATTTATCAGTATCAACGTATGCCCATCACTTCCCTTTTTGTTTTTATTTTTAACCCCTTGATGAAAGATTCCCAAAAGTGAACTTTGGTCGGTGACACAGCACATATCCAATTAATGAAAGTGATGATAGATTTTCAGCAGGTCAGCGTTGTGGTCAGTATCACCTCATCAGGGAGGGATTAGCTTTCAGAACTTTTCCTCCTTCCCCCACCCTTATACTCCTCTCTTTTCTCTGAATCAGCCACCTACCCATAAACACACTACCCTGGTTCCGCAAAATTTACAATGTGTTCGATTTTGTGATCAAATCCTTGAGGGAACGACAACAGTCACGCCAGTCCCCAATATGGCCCAAACATCTACACAGGCTTCCGCTCGACTGCAAAACGCAAAAAAATTTTCCTGTATTAGTCCGATCTCCCCTCCCTCTTGTTTACCAGAGCGGCGAATTTCTTTGTTTTCTTTTGGTTTTTTTTTGGTCACCTGATACTAGGCTCTACGTCACTTGGCTCGGTACAAAATCACATGACTTTTGCATGACACTGGCAGTGCAGAATAGTACAAGGCAACGCCAGGTCTGTGTATTTCGTGCGCTTTGTTAACTCTTCATCAGAATCGAGACCAAAATGCTGGCCGTTCTTGCTTCGTTGCTCCTTGTGGCTCTTGTCAACGCGCAGAGACCCGTACCATGCGGTTAGTTCAAACATTTTATTTTATTTCTTTTTTATCCCTCCTATATTGTTTGTGCATCGATCAATGCTGAGCTGATCGTTTTTTTACTCACATGCGAATGAAGTACGCACATTTACAGAGGGGCTCAATTAGTTTCCAAATCGTTGGTTTCCATCGGAATGGGAATGCCCCAGGTGGTATCGTGGAAACTAGCTTCCCTCGGCCTCCATCAAATTATACCTGGCGCTAAGTGGTCTATGACGCAACGGTAGCGAGCGCAAGCTGCATTGCAAATTTTTTTTCTCGCAGTGTCAGCTGTATTGAACATTTCAGGTAATTGGTTGAGAGAGAATGAAAGAAAACAGAATGATTCGAGCACGAAAGAAGAACGCTGTTTAACCATGTTACGTAACATGTCTGACAATGAAGCGTTCCCATGCAAGCTTTGCAGAAATTTTTTTGAAGTGTGGAGATCGAAAAGTACTATATTGTTTTTACGAGGTGCAGTCCATCAGAAAAATTTATGGCATTCTTAGACGACTAGATGGTTTTCGTGAGATTTGCCCGGGCGGGTATCTAGATTGGCCTCTCGGTGCAGAAAAATGCTTTGGATAATCCATGAAAGTGATGCAACAGTGGTGTAATATTTCCTCGTCGTCGAGTGCTCCCCAGCACAGTTTTCAATACAGGCTACTCGAATTTCTTTTGATGTCATATGGCGAGTTCCAGGAATTAAGGACGTCAGCCTCGTTCCCAGATCGAGGTTGAAAGAAGAGCCTATTCACCCCTTGTTTTGGTTCCTTTCCCGTGTCTCCTCTCCAGTCTCCTTTTCCATTCTCTTGTGTTTACATAACAATTTAGCTAACCTTTCATGACAATCTTTTGTAAGTCGGCCTAGAACGGAAATTTCAAATCCATTTACTTTGTAGAAATATTTTGCGCATAGTAACATAATCACGTGAAATTTTCGTTCACCCTTTGCACGCTACATTATTATTCACATACTCCATACGCTCATGTAATTGGTGTCAATTTATCTCTCGTTTGGCTGTTTTCAGCGACCCCTGACGAGTGGAACGGACGTCAAATGACGGTGAGTAGCATTTCAGATTGGGAAAACGATCTCCTTGCTATTCTTTACATTACAAGTGCTTTCTATTTATGCGGGACACGATGAAATTAACTTACATCACGTACGCGAGTTCGATTTTTTCCCCTGCAAAAATTTAATGGAACGGGATATAGCTGCTCCTTTCGCAAAGAAGAGTTTTCCTTTTCCTTTTTTTTTTAATGAGAATCTGGGTTCTATGTAAACTTTGCCATAACGAAATAAGCTGCACATTTCATACGTGGCTTTGTGCTGGCGGATGAAGCAGATGGTAAATTGATTTTCTGGTAATTGCAGTAAAATAAAAAAAACTGGAAATCACTGTTTTTCGGTTACTCTCCTTGATAAGATTACTCAAACAAAACATTATTTGAAATGCTATTATAAGTCAGCAGTTTATTACTTTATTTCTATATCTTTCTAAATAGCTTGATCGAGAAAAGGAATTTTTTGTGTTGGGAAGAATAAGCTACGATGCTGAAAATGAAAGGATTAGTATCGTTGAAGAAGTGGATTTATTTCAGAAAGGAAAAAAGTATTTCTACGAATACATTTTATTGCACAAAGAGGTAAGTAACTAAGGAATCTTAAACTCAATAGAGGTTTTCCCTACCCATGTTAACAATTTTTTAACTCTATAGCATGCATTCCACCATCAAATTACATTTGTCAAATTACCTTTTTCGCTGGGAGCGTGAAGGGAAAGAATAATGCTCCCTGCCCGCGGGGAAGATTGAAAAATTGGTAGAGGGCATGGCTTTGACTTCCTTTCTCCATAGGTGAAGTCCGCCACATTAATGAAAAAGAAACGTAACTAAGTTGTGTGTCTTTTTATATTACGAATTAGGGCGTCACTGCTGTCACCAAGGAAATTAATCATGCTTTTCTAAATGGCATAGAAGATTTCAATCAATATTGGCGCTAAATGACACTGGATATTCATTTTTTTTAAAGAAAGTCATGTACCAAATCGAGCTGAGTGTCAACAAGACGGGCAAGTGTAAGAAGACAGAACTCACCGAACCCTTCCACAAATTTACAATACCGGAAAATGCCACATTTGTTGGAGAAGGAACCGTTGGCTCCAATGCCCTACCAGGTGCAGGAGTGAATGTGCAGCTTTTCGCGGGAGAAATCCAAGGAGGTTAGATTTAACATTTCCTATGAAAGAACGACTGATTCAAATAAAATAAGATTCATCAATTTAAGCCGGAAAAAAAAGTAATGGTCAAACTGGGGGAGGGAGAAGTCGATATATTTTTCTTCCGGGGGGGAGGGGGTCATATGGTTTACAAGGGGAAACGAAGGGGGGATGAGTTGTCTCCAACAGAATTTAAAGGAGGGACTGAAGAAAATTGATTGCCAATGAAGGGGGATCATTAGAATTCCACAGGGCTTTATGAGGGGATTACGTAAATTTAATTGTGACATTATCAAACTCCTCCCACCCCTCCCTCTCCCCTGTATAATGACCAGTCCCATTGAGCGGTCTAACTCAGAAGATATCTTGGACCATAAGGCAGCATGGGGGGGGGGAGGGGAGGGTGGGACGTAACTGAGTTGGGATTTTTTTCTGACTTTACATTTGATTATTTTAAATAATTGTAAATATATGAAAATCCCATATGTGAACTGCGGTTGAAGAAAAGAATATGGAAGCGATGTTCGCAGTTATCAACACTACTTAGTTAGTGGTGAAAGAAAAGCCTGAAAAAAATTCAGGTCCGTACTGGATTTGAACCCTTGACTTCTGCTATACCGGTGCAGTTCTCTACCAAATGAACTGACAAGCCAACTGGGAGCTTGAAAATTTTTGGCAGAAACTTCCTAGACATTCAAGCCATGTCGTCCCAACAGTCATTCATAACTATACGTGGTTTAACTTTCAGATAAATACTTCGTGACGGTTACTGAAAAAGTTGTCTTCCAGTCCATGAAAATGTTGAAACTAAGACGGCTGGTGTCATGCATACCAGGTTGGTTTATGTTGTTTTTTTATCCTCAGAGTTGGAGAGAGGTGAAGATTTTGTATGTCATTTAAGCCGATAAACTGGCGACTCCCCTCCGTCAAGTAATGTGCTGCTTCCTCTTCTGGATTATAATGCATTGCAACGTTACCCCACAAACTTTCTTCAGGCTTCTCTGACAGTTCGCCGTTACTCATTTATATTTTCCGATGAAGAGAGGTAGTGTGGAAAAAAGAATTGTCTCGCTCGAGCACATAGCAGGAGGCACAGTGACCCAGTTCTCTTCTCTAGAGGTTCTTTAACCCTTTATCTCTTAACTCCCATGAGTGATCAAGACTGAATTTCTCCTTACAATATCAATAGAACATCAAGCAGACAAGTGATGAGAATACCAAACTTATATCACAAGAACTGTATTTCGGACAGTAAGGAGAATTCCTAACAAGATCTTAGGGGTTAAAGGATTAAAACAATTGTTATTTTTTCCTTCTCTTTTAGCTTTTTTGATCTTGAACTTGGGGTGGACCCTGAGCGGTTTATTCCTCCAAGGGAGTGCGAATAGCCGTGGACGACTCAAGGAGCATGCGCAGCTTTTCATTGCTAATGAATTTGCTGAGAAGTGATTAGTTTCAGATCAGAGGCTTCTTTCACTGGTCAAAGAAAACCAGGAAAGAAAACTCGGAAAGGAGCTTGATTTGTAGTCAATAGTGAATCGTTTAATAAACATCGTCTGCGAAAAAAGGTATTTGCGTATGTGTCTGTCTTAAGCGATTAGAAGTCTGACCTAGACATTCCGAGAGTTTTTAAAAATCGGTTTGAGGAGACATAAGTTACGACTGGGGGAGGGGAGGGACATCCCACTCCACGCCCTTTTTATTACAATGCAGTGGGAAGTATGATCAACGAATAAATTCCACTTTCTTGCATTTCTCTCTTGTTTCCCGTTCGTCAAATTTGAAAATGATCTAAAAGCGGTTTATTTTGCTGAAAGGAACAATGACTGTTGACTAGCTGGTTTTTTTGAGACAGCAGACTTGAGAATTTATCCCCAAAGGCCGGATCCCATTACTCCTGCCAAAGGTTTAAGTTGTGCCCGTTGGATAACTTAATTAGCAAGTAAGAACGCCAAAGCTATTTCATTGTAGTAATTTTAATCGAGAATCAAGCTTGGTACATCAGCCCTCACACGATGTATCTCCTAATGTACGTTAAAACCTGTATTGGAAATCTTAAGGACTCGTCAACTTCCCTGGTTTGACCCAGGGAAATCCCCTTTTCCGTCCGTTTTTCCTCCCGAGAATCCAGGGAAATCCCCTTTTCCGTCCATTTTTCCTCCCGAGAATCCAGGGAAATCCCCTTTTTCTTTCGTTTTTGTTCTCGAGAATCCAGGGAAATCCCTGTTTACGAGCATTAATATGAGACTGCAACAGAGTGAATGCGTCGCTCAGCGCATTCCATGAAAGCGCTGGAAAGGTTCGTATACTGATTTCCTGCTTGCACTTTTCTGGTATAATCAACTTTCCAGGATCAACCGTGGTCTTCAAGTCAAGGAAACTGGAAAAATCAGAAAACAGACAAAAATTGAGAAATCTGACAAGCCTTTTTTAATTAACCCTTTACACTCTAACATGAGTATGCATATTCTCCATACTGTTTAAAGTCACTAAACCGCTTAGAATTTATGAGCAAACAAATAAACGGTTACAAATGCATCCGTTTGGTATACTTAAGTGGAGCAAGGAAAGAAAAATCCCTGTTGATGGACAGAAATTAAACTAGTTGGGCGGAAAACGGGCAACCCAATACTCTTCACAGATAAATAAAAAAATTTCTGTAACTGACAGATAAGCAGTGTTAAGGACTGAAATCTAAAAGGGTCGGGAACTGGTCAGCGTAGTGTTGTGTGGATAAGCTGTCGAGGAGGAACATCATGCCAGCACTTTGTTCTTTACGTGCGTTGTTGACAAGTATTCGGTGCTTGTAAAAATGGTAATGAGTTATCATTGAAAAGTCACACTTTCTTTCTAACTGCGGCTTTTCGTTGGTAATAAAGTTTTTCCTGTGAAAATCGGAACATTCCCTTGTTGAACAATTAATAGAATTGGGTGTTAAGTGAATGTAACACTTTGAAGCTCCTTAATTGGTTGCACTTGACACCCTGTTTGCTGGATAAAAGAATTTAAAATTCTAAGGAGGCGTTACAAGCTATCCGGTAGTTTAATAGAAAAACTATACCTTCCTGAGATGGCTGAATGTTTTGTTTTCACTGCATAGCTTGCTGGGATACACTGATCGCCAGACTCTAGTGTTACTACTCCTCCCTCTGCATTTTAAAATAAAAAAATTTAAAAAATAAAAGGCTTCAAACGGAAGCAATTATTTATTTCTCGAGTATAAATATGACAAAACCGATCACATAAAACCTTTTTTGAGCAGATCGATAAATTATACGACAGTTGATCTGCACAAGAGAAAACAATGGAACATTCGATCCCCACCTTGAATTGTTATAGCTTTCCCCCACCAAATTGCAACTGGTTGTAATATGAATTTAAAAACCATTTCGCCATCTTAATCTTTAATGCAAGCACAGAATACATAAGACAGCTTTTCAGGAGCGGTTGCTATCGAGACTTTTTTTGAGAGGCGGACCACTGGCGTCACATGTGGGTTAAATTTGAAGCTGATTTTCGTCAGTATTCCCAAAAGTTTTCTCAGAGCTCACCATGCAATTTTCTTCCCTCCGCAGAAACCAACATTCCAAACATTACTAAACACAAGTTGGACACTTATTAACGAATTTACAAATTTCAAATTCTGTGTTGCTAATCTCCAATCAGGACACCAACATCGCTGATATTGACTTTATTCTGGACAGATACGAAGGTCAACAGAGAGACCAAGGAATTCCTAAGGACCTCTCTGTAGTTCATTTGGTAGGACATTTCAATACCTAATCGCAAATTTATGAGGTGCGTAGTCGGAGTGTCAGGCTTGCATAAAGCAATAAGCGTTGCCACACTTACCTTCACCATCTTGAAAGGAATAAAGTTCCACTAAGGCTCCTTTTGATCCGAGTGAACCTTTGGCGACTAAACTCAGCGGCAAGTCTTCCAGAAATTCAGGAATACTCTTCTCCTCACTTGAGTCAATTTGGCATCCGTCTGGGCTTATTTCATAGATCTTACCCTATTGAGAAATCCGTTTTGTAGATAAAAAGATTTTAAATAAACTACAGCGGAAGTTTGTTGGGTTAATACTTAGACAGCCAAATCATTAGGTCTTATTCAAATTACCACTTTAAAATTTCCAACTCTATAGCGAAATTGAAAAGACATCGTTTAGATTTGATTCAAATTTAAGGGATTGGGTCAGAAACTGCTGCCATTTACCAGTATTTATTTTCCAGATGACCGAAAGAAACCATCTCGACTTCGTTAACCGTGTACGTTTTATCTCAGGTTTCAGGTAGTTTGCTTGTTAGCGAATCATTCCTTAGAAGAGGGTCTCAATAGGGTAAAGGCTTTTACGGCTAGCGGTTAAAATTTTGGCCTGTTTTCGGCTAATGATTAACATCGTTCCATTGTTTCCACCAGACGTATTTTTTACGGTTAACTTTCTCCACGACCAACCGTTCAATCTTGTCAATTTTTACGCCTGACTAAATTTTTTGGCCGGTTAACGGCTATCGGTTAACCCTATTGAGAACCTCTTACAACATTTTCCTTTGTTCTGTTTAGCCGTTGTGAGTCAAAAGAAACATGTGTCATGAAAATACTTTCAATATTGAAACAAAAAAGGTGAGTTAGTATTACCTCTCTATAGTCCATTATTAAAATTTTATCGCCCATCTTTTTCTGCATTCGTTCAAGATTCATGTCTATGGAGAATGTCATGCCGTGTGCCTCAGTTGAACCTGAATCATCCACCTTGACCTGAAATGAAGAAATTCTTGATGATTATTATTATGATAAGCTTAAAAACGAATAGCCAAATAGACGAACAATTTTATTTTAATATGACTGACTCTTTACAAAGATTTAGATGGTGACGAAACAGAACAACTTTCAGGTGATTCTGTTGTATAACATATTTCAAGTACTGATGGAAAACTCCAGTCACTACAACTAATTCATTTTCTCCATGTCGTTGGAACATACCATGTACAATCTCCCTGATAACTGCTTTGGAAAACCTGAAAGGAAAGAAAAAGGAGGAAAATCAAACAGGAAATTTTTAACCTTAAAGAACGTGTCACAATTGTAGTAAAAAATGAAATATTTGGAAGGAACGAATAGACATCAAGAGTGTTTTATCACCAGAACATGACAGAGACCGCCCACTTGGATTCGGGTTTGCTAAGGAAAAGCCAAGGAGAAAACCGATCATCAGAACGACTTTCATCTTAGACTGATGCTACTTTGCTACAACTGTGATTTTGATTAAGCGCTCAAGCCATTTTATACATTTCTTTCTTCTGCACATTTTCAGCTGCGTAAATGGAAAAAAAACTCAACAATGAGTTTTACGCACCTTGGAGCAATTTAAAATTAAGTGTGCGGGCAAACAGATATGGTTACCCCTTTTGTTAAGTTTTTCAGAAAGAAAATTTTTTGTTGTTGATGAAATAGTAAAATAAACAGGAACTCAGTATAATTTGCCTCTCCACTTCCCTTTGAAAACTTTGTGCTAACCTCGTGGCAACTAACTTTTACGTATTCTTTATCCTATCTTACAGTTATCAATGACGGTACAGGCGCTCCTTGTTTCGTGATTTCTCCAAAACAGTCATTTCAAATTTCTTTTGTTCCATTGAACAGTATAAATTGCGACAAAGGCAATTTGAAATATAAACTAAATTTAGATATCACGCACAATTTTAATTGTTTGGTATTTAACTGTTACTGAAGATGTGTTAAAATGTTAATAACAGTTAGTGCTGACTGTAAACTTCGATAAGCGTTACCTTGGAAGCAGTTGAAACACGCCGAGCGGAAAAACATCGAACCGCTTTTGAGATCAAAGATGAAGCACATCCGCTTTAGAAATTGACGGCAGTGAATGGAAAGGCTGGTTCAAAATACGTTTGCACTTTTAAGTTTCACTGATAGCCGGAAATAAGCGCTCCAGCGTAAAAAAAATTATCTAACATTAACATTATTATCTACTGTCTAACATTATTATCTACCTTCACAAAGAGAAGTTATTTCTTAAATATATTTTGCAGAAGTTGTGTAAATGAACACTACTGACAAAAAAATAAAACGATTAGGTTAAGGTTTGGTAGAATGCCACGTGGGAAACAGGAACTAAGTAAGACAATAAGTTAAAATTGGATAAAGGAAAGTTTATGACTGGACTCAAATTTTACATAATCGAGCTTTACATAAGCGGTTGTATTCGTTTCCATAGTGACAAGGCGTCAAAAAAGAACGGAGGCACTCTTCACTACGTTGTTACCACGACGCAGAGGAAAGATTAGCACTCTGAATGCGGTTTTTTTTAATACATATGATTTTCTAGATTTCAAGCTCTGACTCATCTTGAAAGTAAAAGTTGTATTTGAAATGTTAGATCATTAAGTTAGATAAAGTTGGGCATTTTCAGTGGGGAAACTCATTCCATGGTAAGCGCGCACGTGGCGGTAAAAATCATATCACTTTCTTTTGTTTTCGAAGGAAAATTTATTCATTAATATGTGTTATCCTTAACTGAGATATACTCCTTGAAATAAACATAACATAGAAGTCTTTTATACAACCAAGCTCACATAAGGGTATTTTATGGTCCGTCGTGGTATAGTGTCTTAATTGGATTAACCATCAGCCGAAAACGGCAAAGAAATTCAGCCATTAGGCATGAAAATTAATTGATCAATTTCAACCGTTCTTTGTTCCAAACCCATGAAAAATCATTATTTGACGACTTTAATGTTGGCATAGCTACTGTTCAAAATATTTTCAAGAAATTACAACAGCACTTAACTTGGGATTTCTTTCTGAGGGTATTTTGAAGATGCCACTTGTACGAGTCGATAAGCGAAAATAAGTTCTTTTATTTAACAAATAGAGAAGCCTTGACTGTGCTCTGTTCTGTTATAAAGCACGCAGGAAGCGGCTAGAGCACGAAAGAAGTGTAGGGAGAAACACGAGACGTAGTCGAGTGTTTCTTCCCACTTCTTGAGTGCTCTAGCCGCTTCCTAAGTGCTTTATAACAGAACAGAGCACAGTCAAGGCTTCTCTATTTGTTTTATAATAAAGGATCCGTTAAAGTAACCAAGCATTACTTTCAATTTCCAAAACAAACTCTATTTCCAAAGCGAACAACAGTGTCGTCAGCATGCTCTATACCCTCATAAAGCATGCTACAATAAGCTAATCAGAATCCCTGTTAGAATGGTTTAAATACTCTGATTGGCTGTACAAGACTAAAGCTGTCAAAAATGTCAAACCATCAAAGTTCAAAACCATCAAAGTTCACATTCTAAAATACAAACTAAAATAGTTCGGCAAGTCGAATTTAACACTCACTTTTGCTTGAAGTTTTTAAGTCTCTAATACAGAATCTTGAAGTGAAATGATCAGTGAACTTCAGCCGAATTATGGCTCATAAAAACACGTGAGTTTTTTCACATGACAAGGTAGAAAACAAACTGTTCAAGGCGAGTGCTTATTGAATGAACGACAACCGAATTCACCAGAACATGAAGATCGCGCGGGATGACAGCGCCGCAAAACTCGGCTGCAGTGACTGATGTGACTTTCCACTCAACGTATCGGAAAGGATATCAGAGCAAGCTCTTATTTTTTCACTCGAAGGGCGGCCGATGTAGTTTCTGAGGCTTGCTTTATTGTGATGACTGGAGATCGCCATGATGAGCGAGCCGCGATGAACTTTAGCATGATCATATTCGCTCAGACACCGTCATGATTAGTATGAATTTTAACAATTATGCCAGTTTGGTTATATTTTTCATCATTTCTGTTTTTTTCTGTTTTGTTTTTGAACACTGAACTTTATATACTATACGAGTGTTAGCTGTGTTTGATTTTTATTACCGTACGTAAGCTTGCAATCTAACTGAGCGTGAAAATCTTTAAACTCGGAATGTCTATTTTGTTTTTCCTTTGAGGATTTTCGTATCTGCTCACGTTTTAATAACGTAAATCACGGCGCCTGGTATGTTTACAAACCTTTGTTTGGTTCTTCTGTTGCTACTTGCCGGCTCGCTTCAGTTCCGAAATTTCACTTTCAGTTATCGGAAAAAAAGCTAAAAAGAAGTCCCGGAAAAGGTCGAACATGCTACAATTTGACAGATGGCGTGACAGCTTTAGCTCAGCTCTATGCTCTATACTCTCATAGAGCACGCTCTTTCAACCAATGACAGCACGCGTTATATCCGAACTTTATTATAAATATATATAGAAGTGTTCGAAAGCGCTGAGATGATTTATGTCGACTGTATATTAAATAACAAAAGGTTTTCGTGCATCAGAGAAGTGATGTTCCTGTTTTATATTTAGGGGTTTAAATACAATTAATGTTTAGCGACAATCTGCGACTTTTCCAACCTGATAAATCTCAAACTACTCGACATAGTACAATTTCACCTAAAACCTGTTTCATTTAAAATAAGCTCATTTCTTAACGCATGATAGTTTTTTTTTTTTTGGGGGGGGGGGGGTCATCAAATTTTCGACTTTGATGCTTTTGTTTATTGATCTTTGTTTTTAAAAAAATCTTGGGGTATCAATTCTAGAAATCGCCGAAATAGTTAAAACTTTGTCAAAAAGTGAATGCAAAACACTAACTTGAGATGAAGTTGTCTGTAGGCTTATAAAGATGTAGATATTTTACACTTGTAGGTTCGTCTTCTTAAAACAGTTTTCTAGCCGCATATCACTGCACTGTCATAATATTTCAGGTTCCCTAACAAAATATGAAAGAAACCTGCTTATCTGATTATCACTCATCGTGAACTTTTAGAACTCTAACTCGGATTTAAATTTTAAAAAAAAAACACTAAATGGACATGTTTTTAGCATTTTCGTTTTGTTACAGTGAATGTAATAAGAAAGAAAAGAACTAAATCTTCGTCAAGAAGCATTAACTACAGTGGAACCTCGATTTAACGAGGTACACACCACGGGACTGCGGAAATTGGTTCGTTATATCAAGGGTTCCACAGGACGAAATCACATGTTTCCATATTTCTGAAACGTGGCGGAAACATGCAACTCCATGTTTCCGTTATGTTTAACATGCACAAAAAGTGGTCCGGTTCCGTTGTATACGCAGCAACGGAAACGCGAGAAAACGTCACGAAACCGGTAACGGAAACACAGGTTATCCGTCGTGTTTCCAGAATGGTTTAACACGTTTCTGCCACGTTTCCGTTTACGGATTCTTGCAATTTCGTCCTGTGTTCGTTTCATCGTAAACCTCGATTCAACGAATTTGTGGAAAAACGCAAATGGTAGTGTGACGTCGCGCCACCCAGCAGTTTGGGATCGAAACGATCACTTTAAAGAACATTTGTGTTTCGTGTCTATATAAATATAGTATATTGTACGTTTGGGATTCGGGATTGTGTTCGTGTTAACGAGGATCTCGTTATATCGAGGTTTTGTCCCATATATTTTACTGTAACTTTGGTCGGCTTGAAGAGTATCGTTCGTTTTACTGGAAACTTCGTTATTCAGGGGTTCGTTGATCGAGGTTCTACGGTAGAAGCAAGAGATTATAAGTTTTTATTCTCTTACAAGTGAGTAGATGCACCCGCTCGTTTTCAACAAAAAAATTAAAAAACTGGAAAGTGGATTTTTTCACACAAACTTCTTATTACTCGAGGACGAATATGTCGTAACCAATGTCCCATAGAATACTAGTAAAAAATAGTACTTTTCGTGCGCCAAATATTAGTTTTAGTTTCACTAAGAGATTATAAACTGTTGGTATTCTCTTGTTTTCATTGATTAACGTATTCCCTTACGAACGATGAGCTTTGCGCATTCTCGCTGCGCGACAGCAAAACTTTCAACTCCTATCATTCGACCTTTTCGCTCTCGCCCCACTCTTAGCGCAGCCAGAAAGCGAAGAAGCTCTGCGCTTGCAAATTCATTACGTGACATTTCTCGCAGGCCAAGGTCATGAGGTTTATTTGCGGGCCGGAAAGCCCTCGAAAAAAGGACAGTCTTTGGTCTAATGTCGTCTGTTTATGTGCTTCCTTATCTCAAGTCCTTGTAATGGGTATTTGCCAAGGGTTTGGTGTGTTCTTGCCAGCCATTATGGACGAGTTTCATACTAGCCGAGAATTCACCGGTGAGTCTGTTTGCAAAATTATTTCTTATACGAGTACTTTCAATGAGTTTTGGAGTATTTAAAAATCAGACTGCATAAGTGAGTGAGATGTTTCCTCGCCCTATTTTTCCCTCATGAATAACCCTAAAAAATTATATTTGCTCGTAATGTGCAACATCATGTCGTTAGCTGCCCAGTTTGTTTGAGCACAGGCCGCCCAAGCTCCAGCTGTGAGATGATCATCTTGCGAAATTATAAGAGTTTGTATGGGGATATTTACGACCGCTCTTAGTAATAAAAAATGACAAATTCTCCATTTATCGTTATGCATTTCTAGGTTTACTACGTAAGGGACGCTTCTCTTACGTAATAAACCTAGAAATGGACAACACGCTAAAACACAGGCGGCCTAAGCTCACGTCTCGAGAAAAAGCCAACGATAAATTCATGAACGCGTCACGCGTTGTGTTACTCGGTGTTAAGTTACGGGAGGAACCGTTGAAAATTTGAACACGTTATAAGGAATAGTGTGGGGAACGAAATATGGTCGATTTACAACGATAAATATTTCGAAATATGAATATTTTACACGTAAAATCAATAAAACTTACTCATGCCCTGTGTATCCGTCATAGTTTCTGGCGATTTCTGCCGTTTTAAGCTTGCTTTACCATCACTGTTATCCATGTCAAAAGACGACTTCATATTTCGAAATATTTATCGTTGTAAATCGACCATATTTCGTTCCCCATACTATTCCTTATAACGTGTTCAAATTTTCAACGGTTCCTCCCATAACTCAACACCGAGTCACAAAACGCGTGACGCGTTCATGAATTTATCGTTGGCTTTTTCTCGAGACGTGAGCTTGGGCCGCCTGTGGCTAAAATGGGTTCTTTTCAAAATAGTTAGCGGTCAGATAATAAGCAATACACTGTGGAAGTAATTTGAGGTATTTTCATTAAGAATTTGACCGTATTTTTTTATTCCAAAGAGCGGTCGTTAATATTCCCATACAAACTCCTACGCTTGCGCCATGACTCTTAATTTGCAAGATGATCATCTCACAGCTGGAGCTTTGGCCACCTGTGATAGGGTGGGCGTCAGGGTGACCTTGAACAGCCGCAACGTCTGGAAATTACTTCAAATCCTAAACGACTGAACGACGTATTTTCCTTTGGGTGGGGGATAAGAACCGTAAGCGAAAAACTTGTATTATGTCAACTAAGCGACAGAGATACGCTGATGTTATGAAGCCATTTACATCAGGAAAACAACACTCCAGGAGAAAAACAAAGTGCGACGAGCCCCATATTGCTTTTTGTCACACTCAACATAATCTATCAATGACCATCCTTAAAAAGATCCTTTTACAAGTAAGCAACTGGCAAATTGTTTAGAGGCAGCCTAAGCCTCACAAGATTTATAAAAAGCTTCCCTCAGTTTCATGTAAAAAGTGGGGAAAATAATTTTTAAAGACATGCTCATCAGAGCAAAGGTCGAAAGGTCAGTTACTTCGAAGTAACCTAACCACGAAAACAGCAAGAGTCGCGTCGGCCTATCGCCAACAGTAAATGAGCTTGGATTCTGCGTTGGAATTTGTGGCCGCCCGGTCATTTTGAGCTTGGATTTTTGGCTTGTGTAGCCTTAGGCTTCTCTTATGCAGTAAACCTAGAAATGGATAACTCGCTAAAACGCATATCGTTCAAGTTTTATTTGTGAAAATTAGGTTTATATCGGATCATATCCCTTCGCAATGCGCCCTTTCTCTCAAGTTTCCTTCGCAATGCGCTCTTTCCCCAGGCAAACAGCGGCTGTGAAGGAGATGACTGGTTTATTTTTCCTTTGTTTTAACAATCTGTTGTTGATTAATGAAGTATTACCAAAAGGTGTGAAGTGTTATCTCTCTTGATTTATCCACAGCCTGGATTGGCTCAATAGCCTTTGGAATGAGCTTTTGCCTGTCTCCTGTGGCTGGTCGATTGTGTGACCGCTTAGGCTCGCGTTACGTGGCGATAATCGGCACTGTATTCTGTTCCCTGGGGCTCATCCTAACTTCCTTGGCAAGAAAAGTTGAGCTGTTCTTTCTCACTCATAGCGTGATGTTCGGGCTCGGGGCTTGCTGCTGCCGGACAGTGAACTTCCTAATAACAGCCAAGTATTTTGTCAAGCGAAGGTCGTTTGCGACCGGGCTGGTCACAGCGGGAACTGGTTTGGGGATTTTCGCTTTAGTGCCGATAGCTCAAATTCTGATCGATAACCTTGGCCTCAGCGGAGCATACAGGGTTCTTGGTGGTGTAGTTTTGGCGAACTGTCTCCTTGCGTTGAGTTTTGATCCTAATGTAGAGGAAGAAGTAGCATCAGTGGTGCAAGAAAACACAAAGAAAGGAACCGAGGAACCGCAGAGAAACCAGCAAAAACTTATCGATTTATCAGTCTGGAAAGTACCTACTTTTGCCATTGTAACTTTGAGTTTTACAGGAATATCCATTGTACTAAATACACCCCAGTTTCACTTGGTAAGTGGTAACATATTCTGTACATTTCGTGTCAGATTGTCACCGTACTTTCTTTATTGACTCGATCTCCTTCCCGAAACACCAGCGGTTTTCTGTGTTCTAGATTCGAATTTTACTGGCCTCTTATAGGTCACATGGCCTTTGATAAGTAAAAGTGTATCCAGAGGGGGATACATTTTGATCTGCTGGCTAGATAAACTGGACTGGATCCTGAACTGACCTATGAATCGGACTATGGACTGATGTCTTCAACAGCCAACAGTATTAGTGATAATTGATAACTTCATTTACGGATTGCAAAGGTGTCCTCTTAATTATTTACTTCAACATACCACAGGTTCGGTTCTGCAAAGACTTGGGTATCCCTGAAGATAAGTCCTCCAAGCTGTTGATGATCTATGGCCTCAGCTCTTGCGTTATGCGGATAGCCTCCGGTAAATTGTGTGACATCAAATGGATAAACCCGATTTATGTTTACCAAATTGGACTATTTACTATTGCTGTGGCGGTGATATCATTCGGTGTAGTCTCTGCCTATCTCCCTCTCTGTGTTGTTAGCGTTTTCTATGGGATCGGAGATGGAATAAGTCTTTCATTAACCAATCTTCTGCTGCTGACCGCAGTGGAGCCTGAAAGACGAGCTTCCGCATTTGGATTGGGTAACATGTTCATCTCGATTTCCATGACAGTTGGTGCGCCACTAGCTGGTTAGTAAAATGATATTTTCAGTTGTGAAGTGAAATTCTCGTGGTTTTGGTTACTCATGTAGCTCTACAATAGTTTTATAAATGATTATGTTTTGTTTGTCCCGAAAATCCATTAACCTTAACCGTGCTCGGGCGTGACACGAGTTTGATTAGGAGGAAAAAGCCCCATGTTCTTTTTTTTCGATTTAGGTGGCCTTATTTCAAGATGACACCTTGTCTGTAGAACCACAATGTCAGAAAGCGAAACCATGATTAGTTTTTAGTAAGTGCGCTGACAAAGGGCTACCATTCGAAACGTCGGCTTTAGAAACTCTATACGGAGGCCAATTTACATTATCAACTCAGTTGATAAAACCAAATTATTTTGTTAGACTTCCTCACCGACGCAGCACCGCAGTCTCTCTAGAAAATAACCCTCCCCCCCCTTATTCTTTATTAGTTTTGTATAGTTCACAAGAATATTGGGTTAAACTGGACTTCCAACTCACAAGTTCAGTCAGTGGTTTCATTGTACTTCGAAGAGCCGACCTTCTAAGGAACGTGAATAGCAAAGAATTCCTTCCACACGGTTCTTCTTGAGTTTGCCGGCTCATTCAATTTCATATAGCCAAGGAATGTTATACTTAGTTTTTCCTCCTGTACCAACAAAACACTTCTGCTTTTCGCTTGAGACAAAGGAAGATTTGATCGGTCTCATCCATCATTCTATGCCAACTAAAATTTATTGAAATCACTCATTACAGCCGACAAATTGTCACCTCCTTTCATCCTTAATCCTAGTGAGAATGGGTATTTTCTACTGAGATGACTTAAACTGTCATCTTGTACTGATAGTGGCTACCCTTTTTAATTGGCAGGCTTCATCGCGGACAAAGCGGGCTCTTATGAGTTGGCATTCTACATTGCTGGTTCCATGGGTATGATATTTTTTTGTATTCCATTTATCTTGCTGTGCCTAAGAGGGAACGCGAATCAGCGGGAAGAAATAAGGGCGACAAAAGAGAGTGACGAAGTTTAATGCTACTGACAGCCTCAGTGATAACTTTGAAAGCTGTTAACCCATTGCAACTTAGTGCCGCGGGGAGGAACTGCCTCTGAATTGATGAAAGACCTGGAAGACGAAACAAACCAATTAAGGTGCTAAAATTTTCGGATGGAACTCAATTCTGGACAATTTTGCACAAGTAAAGGCCTTCTGAAAGTTGATGCAAAAACAGTCGCTGATACTTTTGCCTAATCGTCATCTTCGATGGGGAACAACCTTTGTGTTACAAGAGAAACGCACATTGTGAAGTTAAAGCAAAAAAGCTAAAAGTTATAAATAACTGATTAATTGAGGGAAATTGTAGCAAATGCTGTTGGAAAGTACTCAATACACATGAGTGTAGAGCGGAAGACAGTTCAAAATGACTAAAATGAAACACGCATGATTCCGTGTTCCCCTACAGGGAATCATGCGTGTTTCATTTTAGTCATTTTGTACTAAATAAGTGATTATTATCAGATGAAAAAGCGAAAATTCTTTAATTTTGGAAAATAGTAAAGATTTAATATGCGGTTCAGTAGAAACTCTAATGTACATAGTTACAGGCATGTCAATCTTGCTGGCTTTGCATTTGATTACGTCGAGTAGACCCGAACATTTAACCTCAAAGGGTGTATTGTGTTTTTCTGCGAATCGACCTCCGGTTAGACGAGTCGACTTAACTAAAGACGCATCGAATCGACCCATGCAAATCGTGTCGATCGATGTCGAGAAAGGTACAAAGTTTTAAAACGCACGTGCTATGCTATTGTTCTGCCAATTAGATCTTTTGTTTTTCCATGTCCTTGTAGCCGTCGCCATCGTGGTTTGCTTAAGGCCCCTAACAAAGAATTCAAGACGATTCTAAGATGGCAGTCCTGGAGGCGGAATTAATGAGGGCAGCAAGCCAGGAAAACAAAAGAGCGAAATAAAAAACTTAATTAGAAAATTAAAATGATGTGCCCTGGCAGTTTTCGGGTAATTGACCTTAACAACGAACTGTCTTCCCTATATCTTTTTCATATTTGGCAAGTATCGCATTTCAGTTTCTGAAAGGTTAGTATTATTCCATCCTGCGCTTTAATGTTATTTTCCCACCCTTGATAAGCCTCTGTTGTAGAAAATAAGGGACAAAATATCGGTTCGTGGGGGCTATCATCATCGTGTATCATAAAAACACCACTGGCGCTGGTCTTTCCCCGGTAGTCCTCTGTTCCTTCTGATAGTTCCTTGAAATCATTTGTATCTTCACTCTCGTTACTTCGCTTGGTGCGATATTCCTGTTCGGGACCTTGCACGTCTTCCTGATTTCTCTTCTTCGACATCAAACGAATAGTTTTTCCATCGCAAAGCACGCTGCAGGTGTCCTTCAAGGAACACTGAGATTGATCATATTTCGCAGCAGCTCCCTTTGGCAATTTCCATCTGATAGGCTTAGGCTGGTGAATATCAACACAAATGACGAGCTTTATTGCATCAGAGGACGCGGAGTCAGAGGAGTTTGCATATACCTCCTTCATGATTATCCGAGGTTCTTGGCAACTTGTATAATTAGCTGAGAAAGCATCGCAGGATTCAAACTTTTCCGGGTGGTCTTCTTGTATTTTTTCTCCTTTAAAATCTTGAAAATCGTGTAAAACTTCAGGACGCCTGCTACGACTACTCCTTCTAAAGGAAAGCTGAAGCTGTCTAAGGTCTTCGTACTCTCCCTTCAGCGTCTTCACAACTTCGATTTTGAAATGCCGGTTGAGTATAAGGCAGTAGAGGAGTGGATTAGCCAGAGAATTAAGCTGGGTCAGTAACTCGGTCCAACGGAAAACTGAAATTTCCCGAAGGATGGGCATTTTAGTGCTTGCGAAAACGACGACCACAGATGGAAGGTAAGAGATTAATAAGGCGAATGTTAGTATGGCTGTGGTTTTGGCAATGTTTCTCTCCATCCTTTGTCTGGCTTGTGCAGCTATTCCACGCATGTTATTTAGTTTTCGTCTGCGTACAGCGATGTTAGCCATGAGATAAAAATACCCAATCAGTGCTAAGCCGAACGGAACGTTTAAGGAGACGATAAATTGCACGATTTTAACATACCTGCAGTTCACACCTGCCCTTATTAATCCACGCGCGAGAACAGTTTTCAGAAAGGACAGCAGCCACGAGATTACCACGCAGCAAACAACACGTTTTTTGGTGACAATCAGTTTGTAATTCCACCACTTTCGCACCGCCCTTTGCCTCTCCCAAGCAATTCCAGTCATATGGTACAGAGAACAACAAGCAGAAGTACACAACACCAGGTCATTTGCCAGCGCTATACGGCAAATAGATACGCCGGTTACACCAAACTTCCTCTTGAGAAGGAACGCATCTCGAGTGATTGACAGGGGCATGGAAATGGCGCCTACAAGCAAATCTGACACAGCTAGACTGACCAACAAAATATTCGAGTTTTTCTGCAGCTCTTTCCTTGTCTTCACTGCAAAGATCACTAAAATGTTCAGGAGAACTGTAAGTGGGCAGGCAACAGCGGAGGTTACGATGGAAGCCGTGAATGTTATCGTGTCCGTTAAAATCCAAGTGTCACCTTGTTTTCTTGAGCAGAAATATTCTGTCGGCCCCTGACTTTCGGAGATGCGCGAGAGGGTTGTACTGTTAGAGCCCGTCATAGCACAGTGAATAAAGGGATGAAATAGAAAATAAGAATCACAAACTTAAATGGTCACTGAAAGATCTCATGATAAACCATGATTGACGTCTCTACTTTTATATCCACATAATTACCGTCGGTTGGCGCGTCCAGGCAAATTGCTTTCTGAGTCGTCATAGGCTAAACGTAAACGTAGTATCATAGTTTCCTTTATAACATTTACAGATCTGTTGTTATGACAATTTGCGAATGAAGTGCAGGTGAAAAGAAGTCTACAATGAACAGAGGAGAGGTTGGGGGAGTGGAGCTGAGCGGGGCTGGGATGAAGGAAATCATTCGAGAGCTAAGTACTTGGAATAAAACATGTGTCAACGTACGTCCTTCATATTCATTTTCCCGAGTATAGCAATATCTTATGGTGATTTCATCGGTACCGATGGTCGACGCAACAGAACTACTGGTTTGCACGAAAACATTTGCGTTCTCCTTCAGAAACCCCGACTGACCCCACGCAGTCTCGCATGCCAGCTGTTAGGATGCAATCAAACTAATTGCAGCAATTGTAATCCGCACAACACTACGATTATACAAATCCAGTGAGACAATCATACGGAAATGCCAAAATGATAAACCACTCGCCCCGCAGGCCCACGAAAAAGTAACTTCAATTAAATATTTTCAATCATTAAGTTTGTGTCTTGTGGTGATTGCATCTATGTTTGCTCAGCGTCATCTGCCAAATCTGAAAGTGAATGACAACTCAGAGATTCTTCAATAAACTGATAGCGAAATATTTCGGGAACGCTTTAAGAAGGAGTATAACCAAAGTCATCTAATTCGTCAGTGCAGCTGATTCATTCATTTCAGCCTTGATTATGCATTGCCTGTAGTGATGCCAAGGTTCACGGTACTAAAAGTCATATCCACAGAAGCGATTAACACGGAAATTCTCATAATATTATCAATACACCATCCAGCAAAGTAAAGGGAGTATACAAACTTATCAGCGGGAGGTTTTTAAAATCTCGGAAATCAAGTCGGCGAAGAAACTAGTGAAAAAAGTTACGAGAGCAAGAGATCAAATTCAAACTCAGAAAGAGCGTAAATCCAAGATGTATCAATTTTTTCCCCATGACAGCTGCCTTGATTTGTTTGCAATCAAACACAAATGTAGTCAATTAAAATAAAACACGAAAGTAATGGCTAGAAAGAACTGTATTTTTTTTTAAGGCGGTCTTTGTGAGTCTCTTGCTACAATTTTGACGAATTAATCTTAAAACAATTTCGATACAACTGGAAAAACTTGACACTTCTATCGCTTGTAGAAAGATCGAGTTGGCAAAAATAATAGTTGGTCGCTGCCTTACGTTTCTCTCCAAACAAGTTAAAGTATTTGTGTTTTTATAAAGAAAACACTTCACAGCTGATAAGGTCTTATATTATCAACACATTTTTGCCGCAGAATGTAACGAAACTGTTAGGAGAAATTCACTGGCATCTCAAAAAGGGGCAAGGGTTAGGGATTGATGGTGGCAAGTCTCAAACGGTTATTAAAATAAAAGTATTTCCTTGATAACAATGGGGGTATGTTTCTACAGAAACTGCGGTGCTGTGTCGGTGGGAAAGTATAACATGGTAATTTAGTATTATCAACTGAGTTGATAACGTAAATTGGCCACCGTAGAGAGTTTAAAAGCTGACATTTCGAGCGTTAGCCCTTCGACAGAGCGAAACGTCAGCTAACGTCATTCAACATTTCCCTATTTCCCAGTTGATTCGGTCTTATTAAATAAGTTGATAATGTAAATTAGCCACCGTAGAGTTTCTAAACCTGACGTTTCGAACGCTAAGTCCTTCGTCAGAGCGAACATTTCTCAGTTGGTTCGTGCTGTTTTGAAAAAAAAGAGAGTTCCTGTTGATGGCAAAAAAACCTAAGCCGTTTTGAATTTGCAGCCGTTAGGACCTCACGGTTATTAAGGAGTTCGTGCCAGTTTCCTTGTCTTCCTAGGTCGTTGTCACGAAATGCAAAATCGAATGCCTAATCGCGAGTGATAAATAAAAAAGATATTTTTGCATTCATTCGTAAATATTGTTTAAAAAATTTGATGAATTGTAGTTTTCAACAGTAGAAACCACCAATCCTGGAAATTTTTTCCAACATTTTTATGTGAATAACCCCTTTTATTGAGGCGCTTTAATCAAGCTATTTTGATTTCTTGCTCCAATTGCAGTTTTTCGAAACGTGTGTGTGTTTTTTTTTTCTCGAACGTTATGCAAATTATAAATTATCTACGTAGACGGCTGCTTTCACCACAGAAATACTTCCTCTATTTTAGGTGATTGATCGAGAGCGACTGAGTTTTAACTCCCAGTAACCAAAACAAAGTGTGTCCTTACGACACCAATACCATAATAAGCGGACAGGTGATGAGAATAAAGAAAATTATAAATTAAGGGAATCATTAGTTGATTTGATACCAAATTCTCCGAGCTGAAATCTCAGGAATTGTGTAACAGACAGTAAGGAGAATTACAAATAAGTTCTTAGGAGTGAAAGGGTTAAATTCATGTGTGGGATCAATTTCGGTTTAACTTTCACAGTTTGATGGTTAAACGTGAGGACCAGAGCAGACGCACGCAATATTTCAACTGAATGTCTAGCCCTTTGACTTAATGCTTTTCGAAATATTATCTAAGTTGCGAAATCATACTAATGTAAAATATCAGGTCACAGCAGGCAAATATAGTGGCCGGTGAATTCCGCGGAGTATCGACAATTTGGCTGAGGAGTAAGCCACGTTGCCTCGCAGATTCTGTGCCTAATAGATTCACTTCACAAGCCATCGTGACCTCTACGCTGGCGAAAATATACACAACTATATCGGTTCTCTGAGAAAGAGTACCTATCAAAGGTTGCTTAGCCTCAAAAGTCTATCAGTTACAAAAGCTGAAGTACTTGCAGTGAAAATGCAAACCGCGCTTTTCATGGTACTCCGAAGTGACTAGGACTAATAAAAAATAGAATTGGCTGGAAGTAAAGACAAATGAAACTCCTCTGCTCCCTGTGATTAGGGTCCTCTTTTATCACAATAAAAATCTTTTAATTTCTTATTTTAATCCGTTGCACATTTTTTGACAAACTGCAATAATCATTCTTCCAATAATAGATGAACCCATATAATAATAATAATTCCTTCGAGGTCGCTCGTGGTGAAGGGGTTTAGTTTATTTACTTTGTACGTATTTCTAACAGGAAGAGACGTACTGAATTTGACCATGGTTTTCCACGGGCATTATCAGCGTTTGAGGTTCCCTTTCATCGCGTCGGTTCACTTTTACGCAAAAGATGACAAATGGAAGAGCGGTACTGGCCAGTAAAACACCGCCGACCAAATAAAACGCAGGCTTGTAAGAATGAAACTCATCAGCAATGAAACCTGCGAGAAGAGAAAAAAAAAAGTGAAATGCTACTCGACTCACATCAACTTATCTTCGGGTTAGATGGTTAAGTCTATACTACGAACAAGGCAAAAAAGTCAAACCTCGTTCTTTATTTCAGGGTTAATTGGTATTTCCCGGTGTGGTGGTTTCAATTTCATGAGGGCTTGATAACGGACTGATAGCGGCAATTGGTATATAAATACACATTCATTCATTCATTCGTTTCAATTGAGTTGATAACGTAAATTGGCCACCAGGCGTTTCGGGCGTTAGCCCAACGTCAGAGCGACGACGAAGGGCTAACGCGCGCGACGTCAGCCTTGAAACTCACTAAGGTGGCCCAATTACGTTATCAACTAAGTTGATAATACAAAATTATCCTGTTATACTCTCCCACCGACGCAGCACCACGACGCCCACTTTATGAACTCGTTCTTGATTATCTTTAGGAGTAGCCATCCACAGTATGGGGTGTGGTCGTACGGATGAGATTAGTGCTAAATAAGACCTTTTTAAGTGACTGTTACAAACCGGCGTAACAACAACTTATCGAAGTACCTACTTGCTCACCCTTAATGCCCCAATATCAGTAGGCATATTCTCCATACTGCTATATAAACATTTGCTACGATGCTGACAAGGAGAATTTGTTTGAAAATCAAGAGCTTTTTTTATTTCGTGATCAATTCATTTAGTTTTTCTTTTTTTTTTTTGATACTGTATGTAGAGTTAGGATGCAAGTCACTCTTTGGGATGATAGATAACGACGTGAAACAGCATCGACACGTCACAAAAAATATTCTAAAAAATATGTCAGTTTTAATCTATTAAAGTCCTAGCGATCAACTTTGTCAACAAATCTTTGTTGAGCAAATACTTGACAAAACTTACCAATCAAAGGAGGAGAAGAAAGAACGGAGAAAGAGCTCAAAAAGTTCGCCAGGCCAAAGGCTGAGGCTCTCCTCTTTGCTTCCACGCAATTCAAAAGTACGATATTCATTGAAGTTAAAGTTATACCATTTCCAACGCCAAAAAAGACACTACATAAAATGAAACGAGTTTGACTATTCGCCAAAGGAAGAAGAATAACAGATACCGCGGTGATAAGGCTGCCCACTTGAAAAACATAGCGAGGGTTGACTCGCGTTAGATCACAAACACAACCTGCTACCAGTCTTGCAATACACGAGGCTAAACCAAAGTACATCAATAACCTTGACGAACTGTATGCTGGGAGCCCTTGTTCTTCTGCGTATTTCACCTAAGGAGAAAAAAGAAAAAGTAGCGTAGGATTTTGCGATCCTAGTTTCTTGGTTCAATTAAATAGCATAAGCTTCGAAAATCAAGAAAAACTCGGAGAATTTACAGTGGATCGTCCATGAAGCACCTAAGATAACATGGAACATGAGAGATCTTCAAAACAAATTTAACTATTTAACGGTAATTAACCCCTGCTGAAGAGTGAAACTAACTGCTCCTCGCAGCAACCCTGCTTAATAAAATATTAAGGTCGTGAGAATGAAGAAAATGATCGCTGACTTGAGGTACTTTTGACTTTTAAACAAATTCTCTTTAACACTGTCATAGGAAATGAATAGCGAACAGTGTAAACGAAGTATACTGATGATCGGTTGTAAACAGTAACTCGAGACCTTACACCATCTTCCGCCAGTTTTTCTCCAATTTTAACAGTTGATAAAGAATATCCCTGCAATTTGAAGGCAAGAACAATCGGCAGAAACAGGTTGTTTAGTGCCAATTAAGGCATCCATTTATTAGGCAGTGTTTCACGGTCATAGATTGAAAACAGGCCCTCAATACTAACGCTATGGTACAACTCGCGGCGTTTCTTCGCCAGTAGGAAGGTATGAGGCTATGGTATAACAACGCAAGCAAGCAAGAGAGATCTGCAAGGGGTGTACTGATAACTAGTACCAGATCCCCGGCAAAGGTCTCCCCAACTCGTCTAAAATCTTTCCGCAGGTCCAGAAAGGCGTGTCCTGCAGCGCTAACAGTCACGAGAGCCTACTTTGTACTTACCAAGTGAGTTCGAGTAGGTGACTGTCCAAAGCGATCTAACGCAAATGTCAATGCAAAGACGGTAAACGTCGGCACTCGCCAGACAGAACAGTCCACCAGCTTTGTTTGCGTCCTTTCATTGAATTTCTCTTGTTGCAATTGTATCGTTGCGTTATTTGATTCATTTTCCTGCACATTAGGATCATATGCCAGTGCTGGAATCCCCGTTACAAATACAGTTCCACTCAGGAATCTTAAAGTTTTTTCTAAACCGAACCTATCCAGTAAACTTTCGGTTAGCGGTGCAAACACAAATAGACCCATTCCAGCAGCAGATGTTAGTATCCCTGTAGCAAATGGCTTCCTTTTGCAGAAATATTTTGAAACAATTAAGAAATTTGATACACGAACACAGCAGATACCGAACCCAACAAACAAGCTGTAAGTCAAATAGTAGACGAAGGCACTTTTGGCAAATGATGCTAAAACAAGTCCAACTGTTGAAGACAGCACCCCAAGCATGGTGACGAAGCGGCAGCTAAATTTCTCTGATAGACGACCAGCCACAGGACTGGAAAAAAGTAAAAGAAAGTATGCTAAGGAACTGATCCAAGCTGAAAGGCAACAGAAGGTGATAATAAGTCACAAAATGTTCTAACTCACAATTCAAACCTTCGTTTATCAAAGAAAAGACAATTAAGGAATAATAGTAATGGGGAGGAATACACAAGATGTTAGTTCACCCCTTACACCCTAACACCAGAATGCATATTCTCTATACTGCTCTCTATACATTTCCTACAGAGCTAGCAAGGAGAATTTATTTAATGATCAAGAGCTTTTTTTAAGTTGCTGACCTTAGTGTGTAATGCTAGTCACCCTTATGGGTCAAAGGATTTTAAAAAATTTCTTAAACTCAGAAGAAAAAAATGAAGCCAATACTAGCCACACAAAAAGTGCAATGTTCAAACTGATGTGAAATTAAATTATTTTCTGTTGATGAAACATAGAATTGACTTATAAATGGTTACCACTCTAGACTCTAGATTGAAAAAAATGTAAAACTCAGGCATGCAAAAATATTTACAAGGTATAAATAGACACTACAATTCTCCCAGGATTTTAAAATCACCAATTTTGTGCTTTAGTTATTTGGCACAAAAACACTTCAACCTTCATTATTATATTTTAATAAGCAGTTTTGCATTTTGACACACTGAGGTTTTTGGTTATTTTTTAAAATAATTTATTTTATGATTTAGTTATTTAGCAAATAGCCTCACTTCCTCACTTTCTTTTAGGTTAATTGACAAGAGAAATAACCAAATTGTAAATTAGGTCATTTAAAAGACAACCAGAAACATTGCTGTGTTTATTTGCTAGTTAACCAAACTACAAAATTGGTTATTTAAAAAATACCCAAAAAGTACATTAATCTCTTTATTTGCCAAACCACCAAATTGTAAAATTGGTTACAGTATTTGCTAAAAAACCAAAAAGGTCATTAACGTCTTCGTTTGCCAAACCACCAAATTGCAAAATTGGTTATGTAGCAAATAACCACATTTTTTTCTTGGATATTTATGAAATAACCAATTTTGCAATTTGGTCATTTGGCAAATAAACACATTAATGTTTCTGATTATTTTTTGAATAACCAATTTCATGATTTGGTCATTTAGCAAATAAAGACATAAATGTACTCTTTTGCTGTTTTTGAAATAACTATTTTGCATTTTGGTTATTTCTGAAATAACCAATTAGTTTTGTGTTTTGGTTATTAACTGGCAATTATAACCACATAAATGTTTTTGGTTATTTTTGGCAAATAACTACAAGTATGTTTTTGATCATTTTTTAAATAACCTGTTTTTGTGTTTTCAGGTTGCCCAGGAAACAAATACATTAGCCTTTTCTTAACTTAGAAATAACCACAATAACCTTTTTTCTTATTTAGGAAATAATTGATTTTGTATTTTTGGTTATTTAGAAATGAAAAAAAAAAAAAATAGAACATGATTACAAAGTAGAACCCCACGGACTCAAACTCACTAAACTTGAATCCCCCAAAAACAAGAAGATCTGATCTCTTTTGACCCCATTTTTTGGTCAAGCACTATCAGCTAACTCTAGCCCCCCTCTCAACTCTAATCAATTTTGTTTCCCTTAGGAGTTTGAGTTGGTGGGGTTCTAATGGCTTTACTTTTTACCACTTAATCCTGAGTCAAACTTGAAAAGAGACTTATAAATTACATATTAGAGTGAGTTTCATTACTTCTGGACTTCAGCCCTTAAAGCAGGCCTATGGAAAGGGTGTTAATAATGCCATTATTTGGTCTATAAAAGGGTCAGGATATATTCTTTGGGAAGGTCATCCACTGAAGGACAAAATGTGAGAAAATCCAGCACATCTTATGTCACACGGTACAAAGTCATTCCTCTACTCAGCCAATAATCCATGCCATTCCAGATATTTCAAAGGGATATTTTGTGAACCTCCACTGACATTGAGGTCATTTATAGTTTAATTGAGGGATCATTTAAGGTACCGAGGTCAAGTGTAGAGCTCTACAGTCTATTACTTCTGAAAATTACGCACGAATAGAGCTAAAAAGAGAAGAAAAAAGTGGGTTTTATGCCATGTAGCTAGCCGGATGTCGACCCAAGCTTGTTAGCGATCAAAGGTTAATGTAAAATTGATAACATCACTAGAAGGTCGACAGTTCTGTATCAAAACAAGATTTAAAATAACGTTACCTATATCTTGTCGTTTTGAGTTAAAGCGTTCCATGATCACCGGGAAAAGGACTCCAAAGCTCAAAATAAGGCCCATGTTCCCCGCTTGGCAGACAAAGGCGCAAGCACACACAAGATATGACCAGCCACTATCTTGTTGGCGTTTGGGCCGATTTGGGCCTCTTTGATTGAAGCAAATCATCTTTCGGTGCAGCACCCTGAAAAGAATAACATGAGTATCCTACGCTAGAGAATACTGAATCGATTGGGGGAAATTGCTCCGTCGTTATGTTTCATTTCAGCTTTAATGGGTTAGGCCGCTGCCACTTGCTCCTGAAGGCGCATAGACACGTCGCTTGTGGAAAGAGGGCAAACAGGAGAAATTTTGAGCTTCCAGTGCGTTTGATAGAACGGTGTGCTTTAAGGAAAATGTGCATTTAGGATGAACCAGGTGAACTAAGGATAACAGTTCTTATAAAGACTTTTCTCACGCGGACAATCAGTCTGCACGATCAAACTTTTTAAAAGCTATTTAGCAAGTTGTCATAACAGCTGGGTACTCAGCCGACATCATCGCCACAAGAGAATTCGAAGTATGCAGTCGAAACATTGTGATTAGGCCTTTCCCGATTGTGCCCATAAATTCTGAATGATATGGCTCACTGTAATTCCTAAGAGTCGCTCAAAAGAACTGCCAAAAATTCGAAAGTTGCTATCTATCTTTTTTGCGGATACTTTTAAATACACTTTAATTAAAACCTTTATTTTCCGTTCTTCACAATAATTGCCGACATCGGTCAAGAAAAACGGCTTGAAATTTTAATTAGTTGCTCACAACTATGGCGAAACTTACGGGTACTCTTAAGTCCAACGAAACAAAACACATAGTTCATTGGCTTCTTGCTGAAAGTCATTTTAGTCGATTTTCCTTTATAATATTAGATAAGGATCGCAATAGACAAAGGCCTGAGAAACGTTGTCAAGTGACAGATAATGTTCAAAAGATTGATGAACATTCAAGAAATTCGCATAAATTTAAGTTTTCTATGAAATCCTTGCCTTTCTCGTGCTTATTATGCGCTCTAAACCTATATCTTGATCAAACCTTTCTCAGATGGTTTGATCATTAGTAGGGGATCTATTGTAATCTGGGATCGGTGTTTATTAGGAATTATTTGTTCTCATGGCGGCATTTTGAAATTAATTCAGTTCTTTTAATAATGTGAAGTTTTTTAGTTAGGCAAATGTTGCATCGTTTGGAAATATTATTGTAGGCACTTGTTGAAGAGATGATAGACCAGCTTATTTTGTCGTTTTCCTTGTTGTCCTTGAGTTTTCAGATGTGTTTTGCTAGTTTGGTGCAGTCAGCATATTTTCTGTTGCGGAACGATAGTTAATGTTGCGTATATCGTTGTTTGAAGGTCTTTGAATGTTCCTTCTGTTAGTGCGATGTAGTTCTTTCCTGTGTTGTCCTTGTCTGTGGTCACGTTGGCTTTGTAGATTACGCTGGTGATGAGGCAGTTGTTATCTAGCGGGCATTGTTTTTTTTTTTCTGCAGTTGAATCCGTTTTGCGTAAGCACTGAAACATGGAACGACCTAAAACCACCTAAAACCACCTAAAACCACCTACAGCTACCTCAAAAACTTCAACAACCACCTACAAACACCTCAAAAACATCTACAGCCACTCGCAAACAAACCAAAACCATCTAAACCAAGGCATAAATGTCTAAAGTAAGGCAGAAGTTTTGGCACACGTTTCATTTGATTACGTAATGGTCCAAGGTAGGGTTTTTCTCCATTTCTAATCTCAGCAGGAGCAAAACGTGAGTCACCATTGCGTAAGTGGCACCACTCGTGCAACTGCATGCTGTATGAATGCCATGCAAGCACGATGGCGTTCGTGTCAAAGGAAGATCCCGTAGGTAGACACAGTTCGCGTAAAATATTTTTGATGACCACTCTTATTCATACTTTTTCTAGACGTGAGCCAAAACGTCTGCTGGTACGCAGGGTAGAAAAAACCGGGTCAAGTGAGTCTTTTAACTACGACTTTATTTTACTTTTAAGTAAAATTATTTTTTGTAACTTGATAGTTCATTTTGTAAAGCTCTTTAAGTCTTCTGCTACTGAGGGAATATAAAATATCTCGCATTTCATTTCGTGAGATGCTTGATTATACAAGGGACCAGGGAGAGTAAGATTTCAAGGGAGGTGGAGGTTTTGTTCGATTCTCGTATTTCATGTACGTGTTATGTTGTCGTCTCGCCTTATTTCAGACATACATGCCTTGTTTTAGATACCTATAGGCGGCCGTCACCACCAAAAATACAAGGTGTCAAATAGATCAGCAAATACAAAGCTGGTCTAAAGATCAGCTGCAGGACATCATAGCTAATAAAGGAATGGCATGGTCAAATTATAGACGGTTTAGTTTTCCTTCATGAAACAGAACACCCTAAACATGAATAGTTAAGCCAAATGATAAACAGTCTAGAAATTGAAATTGCGAAATGGATTAGCTCAATTACGAATAGCTTAGCACTCATTTGCAATATAGTACACAAACGGTGTAGCGTTGCGTCAAATGGCTCAGGGTTATGTCGAGTAACACAGCGTACGCACAGACGGTGTAGCGTAGCGTGAAATAGCTCAGCGTAATGTCGAATGGTACAGCGTACACACAAATGGTGTAGCGTTGCGTGAAATGGCTCAGCGTAATGTCGAATGGTACAGCGTACATACAAACAGTGTAGCGCTGAGTGAAATGGCTCGGCGTAATGTCGTATGGTACAGCGTACACACGTCTTTGCAGAACATCAGACGCTCCAGCCGGACATTAACTTGCTTAGCATTACATGAAATATTTCGATGCTGTGGGGAATTGTCGAGCTTGCTTATGGCGTGACGTGAAGACAATCTCGCCGAAACCACCAAAAGTACAAACCTCAAATAGAACAGCGATCTGCTGAGGGGGCATGACGTCATCGAATGCGAAGACTGTCGCGAAACCACCACATGGTGTAGTCGCTGTGTTAAAGAGTCTTCACCTCGCCTTGCCGTTAAGCAGAGCCAATTCGATAAGTTTCTCCAATTTTTTTCCTGCCGATACTGCATTTATTAGCTGTAGTTCATGAAAGCGTTAATTTAAATAGCAACGAGACTGGATTCTACCACTGTTTGCCGGTGTCACAGCGGATTTGGACCCCCCGCGGATTTGGATCCCCGGTCCAAATCCGCTAGCGGATATGGACCCCCCTATCAAACTTTCCTATTAAGCATCGTTTGTATCATATTTGGTAACTAATTCTATTTGCAAGCTTTTTGTCGATGTTCTTTTCAATGACAACACAACATACCTCAACTAAGATAAAGAAAAACAGCCATTTCGTTCCAATTCTGTCGCTGTTAATACAGCGAGTCGTACAGATTACACAAGAATTAAATATGAACAAACTATTGCATTCGAACTATTCAAATTGTTACTCTAAATCTGATGCGAATCAACATTGGTATGAAACGTCATCACAATAGTAGAGACTACTGTGTCCAGTCACAAAAATGACCCGGTCTGATTTTCTAATTAAATAACATTAAACAGTTTCTGAACAAATTGCTCTTACAGTAAGTCGTTCGTAAAGCCTATGATAAGTAAAAATGTTTCTACTCTGAACTATTGGAACTCTCAGCTTATTTTCAAATACAAATCAACATAAGTGTCCACGTCTTAACAAAAGTGGAGACTATTATATCGAACTCAATCTTCTTTTCAAATTTTTAACGATTATTAACTGTTGAGGGATCCGAAATAACACCTTAACAATTACGAAGACGTTTAGAGTCTGGCGGTCTGCAGACAGTGCAGAGTCACTCGCCCTCCGGGGCAGTCTTAAGTCCCTCGCAACTCATGTGCAACCATTCCTCGCACAACTCGCACTGTACCATGTAGTCCGAACACCTGGGCATTGAACAATAACAAAATAAATTGAGGTCATACGTTTTTCTCTCATTGAATCTAGCAGTGATCGACTGTCGTGGAAAAGGTTCAAAACGACCCTTCTCCAAACATTGAACTTGCGCATTTTCCCTTAGTCAAAAGAAATATCCGACGGGTCATTTCCAGCTGCCAGTTCGTATGCATTGGCGATGGCAAACAAGCCACAGCCCACCCCTTCCTGTTGTATTTGTGCAAGCGGCAGTTCCACAACAAGGGTCCTGTCAGTGACCAAGGTTTGGTAACATTCAGCCCGTTGTATTTCCATCGATGACGTAAGCTTCTTCCTGGACGAACTGTCGTAAACCCGCAAATGTTCACTGATCGACGTTGAACAAACCCAATAATTTTTTCCAGTGTGGTGAATTTGAACAGATTCTTCAGAAACAGCAGTAAAGGATATTTGGCACAGCAGTGTATCTTGCCAGCCACCAATGTTCGGAAATTGCTTCTTTTAAAATGTTTTGTGATTCATTGATAACGTTGTCGCCAAGGCAACCGTTGCTTAGGATGGTATTACGATCCTTTTCGAGGAGATTAACTTTAACAGACTTGGTAAGTTCTGGCGAAGTGTCTTCGTCCTCTTTGTCGGTACCAGATTTGAAAGGCATCTCTGCAGAAGTGTTCGTGTTTGGGTGTGACTGTACAGGATGATAGTAGACCTTCAGTCTTGAGCTGTTAAATGATGTTTTCAGCTCAATACCACCTTCGTTTAGGAGCTTGTAGAAACCCTTTGGTAACACCTTGCTGATGGTATAGGGAACTGACCATGCTCGCTCCAGTTTGCCTCCTTTTCTTACCTCGTGCCGTAAGTTCCTCAGCAACACAGTGTCGCCCTCCTTGAATCTTAATGGCTGGTGCTTTGCGTCGTGCGACTTCTTTTGCCGCTCTTGTGCTTTGTCAATGTTCTGCATTGCCTGAGCCTTCATCATGACACGGACTTTCTCATTAAAAGGAGAGGGTGCATCTCCGTCTATGTCAGAAAGTGAGTTGGTGCTGCTGGGCTTTGACCTGATTTCCATCTCGATGGGTAGCACGGATGCACGGCCAAACATCAACTCGAACGGTATGAATTTGGTGGAGTCATTTTTACTAGTTCGATAGGCGAATAGAATGGACTTGATGTGCGCATCCCAGTCATCTTGGTTGTCGTTCACGAACTTCACAAGGGCTCTCGTTAGCGTCTGATTTAATCTTTCATCAAGAC